ACATACAGGCAGTATTCAGATTCTGGCGTTGTGTCGCGGGAGCGGTGTTTCCCGGTTGCGGATACTACCAGACTTTACGTATCGATATTTCGTCGACGTCCCGGCCCGCTAATACTCGCATGACGGGCGTACTCCGTATTCGCGCGGATATACGGCGTGGCACGGCGCGGTGATGCAAAATGCAAAAACAGCAGCATCGGTCGGTACGAGAAGGCCGCCAAGCAAAAAGTCACGCGATTGTCGAGGACGAGATGGCTGCCACGGAGGTTGCGGTTGAAAATGTTGTGCATGTGCGGTTAGCTAGGGGTGCATCTGAGATCTGTATGTACGCCGAGGTGTGTGCGGCGCTGGTGGAGCGGGTTGCAGTGCGGATCCATGGAGTTACATAAAATACCATGTATGAATCTGTCGAGCACATTCCCACGCGCGCATGGTCATGCTCATGCTCATGTTTGCCATCAACGGCGTGGTGTTGCGTTGGGGACAGGCAATACTGTGGTGAAGGAAGGACGGCGCTGCCGGGCATCCAAGTGTAAAGCGAGATGAAAGATGCCGGACACGTACAATTCATTCAGAGTTGGCGAACGGATACACGCTGTTGTTCCTGTACGTGGTGTTGGGGGGAACCGGTGGAACTCGGCTTGACATTCATATTCACGTGGGCGTCGCAGCCCGTTATCCCGTCTTGTAATTGAGACAAGACACGATGCAGACCACAAAGAAAGATGCCGACTCGTACACAAGGAACAGAGCGAGCACGACAAGACGGACAGGACAGATGGGCGTATCGTGTTGCGTAGTACGTCGGGCATCAACACCAGACAACCACAGGGCCATTTGCAAAACAAGCCCGCAGTGTATACTACCAAGACGGGTGTATTTTGCAAGAGCATGGCAAAAATTAGCCAGACTAGCAACAAATCCACAGCTTCGATTCACGGCCCTCTTGTACAATCCATCTCCGTGGCTCATCTTTGGACATGTTTGTTTCTCTGCGTAGCAGCATCGTCATAGCTTTGGATCTGGCATCGAACCGTGTCTGGAAATCAGGCACCTGGCAGAATCAGCAGAACCGCGCACGGCTGATTCACCATTTCCCTCAAAATAAAAACACAGCCCCGACAAAAAAGCAACATGATGGCCGATGAATAGGGACAAGGCAAATGGATTTTTTTTTACCCCCTCTTCATAGTACTATCCTGGCGAATTAATCACTGCCCGCACCGGTTCGACAAGTCCCGCTCCCGACACAAACACACAAGATTTCCCACCGTGGTCGCTTGGCAAATTTCCCGAAAACCCCATGGTTCCCTATTCATCGTAGACGCTCGGCGGAGGTGGTGGTACTAAAGACGTCCGTCTGGCTAGTAGTAATCGTCGTCGTCGTCGTCGTCGTCGTCGTCGCGTTCACTGTCGTCATTATTGCGTCTTGAAGAGGAGGATGGCACAGTGGCCGAGGTAGAAGTAGATGAAGTGTTTGGTTTCTGCCACACGTCAGTTGATTTCGCTTCAGGGGGGCCGTCATGACGAACCGTGGGTCACGAAGCTGCCAAAATTGCGGCCAACAATGCAGTGCCAAGTCGGGCCCTTTCGCTCGTCAAACTGTGCATCGTTAGCAACGGCCGGGTAGGTAGGTAGCGCGGCGATGCGGGATTCAGGGGGGTTGGACCAACTGTGCGCTTGATGTGTTGGGCAATGTCCTGTGGTGTTTGTACGTATTAACAAAGATGCGCCCCGGGGGTGATGGACCTTGCTCGGTTGCCTATACTTTTTCAATGGTGAACTTGGACATGGCCTCCTGGGCTACGCGTCGTCAGTATCCCGTGCCAGAGTGCCTTGTTGCGACGTGCCCGACGTACCGACTTCGATCGACTCTTGCTGCATGTCCTCGGTCTGTTTGGCACCCGTCAGCTCGCCGTTCGGCCTCTTGTCGTCGCTCGCCCGCTCCTCACCATGTCGGCCGACTTGATCTGGGCTGACATCGAGTGTTAGCAAGGGTTTCCAGCGCCCGGCGTCACGGGGAATCCAAGGGTGCCATGACGGGGGACGGGCTCGTCGCACCTTCAAGCTTCTCCCGGGGAGCGGGAGTTTCTGCCTGCTTGTCCGCCATTTCGCCGCAAGGTGGGGGGATATGTCGCGTCGCGTGTTTCTTCTTCTTGCGCGTCGTGTTCCTGTGCTAGAGTCTCAGCACTAAATGGCCCTTCGGAAAGTGTGCGTGCCCCCTGATTCGGGCGGTTGAAGTCTTGCCATCAGGGAGGCGTGATGCATAGGCCAGGTTTGAGGTTTGGGGACATTGGACCAAGGACTGACCCCTATTTGTGCAATAGGCAGATGCGTTACGGAGCTGCAATAAAGGGGACACACGCACTGGTCGGCGGCGGCGATGGTCGGGGCGGGATGGCGTTGGATGCTGGATCGTTCAGTCACAGGCGGGATGTCGGTTGTTGTATTCAACGCTGTTGTGTCTGGTTGGAGATGGCAAGGTCTCGAGCTGGACGGCGCGAGTAAACAAAGCTCCAAGTTGGCTTGAGCCATGTGGGACGAACAGCCGAACATTGAGGACATGGAACATTAATCCTGGCAACTCCCGCCCGGCGTCTCCACACGGGAACTGGGATGGAGTCTGATCACTGATGGCTTGTATGGGCATCACCGCTATTGATTTTTTTTCTTTTTTCTATTTTCTTCTCCCCTTCAATTCTCAGCAACTCCTTCTCATTACAGAGTACTCCGTACACAACGCCCCCTAGTTCAGCTCCAACGGGTTTTCTGCGAGGTAGTCCTCCAAACTGTGCAGCTTCCCCCGAGCCTGGCCCGCCGCCCAAGCCACCAGCTCCTCCGTATTCTTGCCATAGTATCCAAAGTCCTGTATATTCAACAGCATATGCACAATGTAATCCCCCATCGCTGGAGGCAAGAACTTCCGAAACGCGTCTTCCGGCAGCTGCCTGTAAGCAACAGTCTTGCCGGTACTCCTGCTGATAATGCCCACGATTTCCTCCATTGTGTACAGCCCCGTGGCCGCACAGAGAGTTTTGCCTTGATACGCGTCCGGGTTCGCCAAGATGGCAGAGACGTACTTGCCCGTCTCGGTGATGTCTATGAGCGGCAGCTTTGTGGCGGGAGAAGCAACGGTGGCGAGTACGTAGGTGCCATCGTCGGTGGCGTTGGGCCGCAGGTTTGTTGCGAAATTCTGCATGAAGGAGCCCGGCGCGAAGAAGGCGCTCTTGACCGGCAGTGTCCGTATGTACTTCTCGACCTGGGTTTTGCAGTCGAAATGCCCTCCCTTGCTATACCTGCCGCCCGAGTTCTCCTTGATGGAGGGCAGCGTGCTGAAGATGAGATACTCTGCGCCCACGGCCACGGCGGCATCGGCGATACGCCGACCCTGTGAAATCTCTCGCTCTTGCAGCATGCTGTCGTAGATGGTGGCGGTGAGAAAGTATACTGTGTGTGCGCCTTGGAGGGCTTTCTCGACCGATGGTGTGTCGTCGGCGTTGCCTGTGACGACCTCGATGTCCTTTTGCAGCAGATGCTGTGCTGCCGCCGTGGATGCGTCGCGGGTTACTGCTCGGATCTTGTATTCCTGGCGAAGAGTCGCATCGTCGAGGACCGAGTTGATGACCGATCCGCCCTGGTTACCTGTGGCCCCGAATACCACGAGGAGCTTGCTCATTGTGTGTATATTGATGATTGAGGGAGGGCCTAATGCCAAGCGAAGTTGATGATGATTTTGCTGGAATCTTGTGTCTGTCCTTTGGGTAGGTATAAACGTTGCATCAGCGTTGGAGCAGTGGCGGTTGCCAGGTTAAATACCCATCTTGACTTTTGCAGGAATAGAGTTCAGCAGCCATAGCAGCGGCCTTTTCCAAGGGCGCGAGTGCCGTCACGGAATTAGGGAAACATTTGCAGCCAGTTACTCCGGTCATCTAAGAATAGACCTTGAGCTAAAGAACGCCAAAAACCTTTGCACGGAGTGGTGTACGCGGCAACAATGCAGTGAAGCTTGTCAGCCTCGTCCATATGCAAACACACCAAAATTACCGGAACTACCATGACATGGTCCATGCCGATCGTTTCATCGGCCGAGGGTTGTCAGTATATCAACGTTAGAGACTCGAGTTGAAGACGGAGTTGAACATGGTTGGTGGAAATAAGGCAGAGTTATCTATCTCCTACGCTAACCCGGTTTCATATTTAAACAAATCGTGTTTGGTTCAACTTGATGTCTGTAAACTGCCCAGCGAGTGGTTTGGTGCCCTTGGCTACTCTTTCGTCATCCATTGTCGACCGCCTCGGAACGTGCATTGACAAAGGTTACGGGAACAGAGCCTTGACGGTGCTCATATCCTCCTCTTGTCTTCCGAGGTAGGGGCTTCCCGGGATCAAATCTTGCTCGGTCGGGCCCTCGGCCTGTAAAACCATAGAAACGATGCCCAGCGCGATTTGATGCATTGTATGGTGCGAAGCTCGACCTTTCTTCATGTAAGGAGACATATAATATATATTCTTCACACCGATACCTGGGAGGCAAGACTGCCAGAACCCGGCTGTGATTTGGTCGGCGTCGACTCAGGAGGAGCCGGTGGTGATGCTTTGATTCTTTGAGCGTGGCAATATAGGAGTGATAACCCCTTCCAAAGCAACTCCTATTCCCTTGTGGTCAGGACGCGATGGCCACACCGACTACTTGATCCCTAGCCGTCTCTTCCTCCGTTAACTCGTCCACCGAGGACGCCAAGTCCGAGGTGACGGGGTTGTTGATGACCCTTCTGACGCAAAAATATCGCTTGGATGAGGGAAGAGATTCACCTCGCAAGCCGTAACTGCATGATAGAATGTCCGCCCAGCACCATAAAGCCTGGAGCTCGGTCTATGGGTATTCTCGAGTCAAGCCATCAGATCGCGGACAGCACTCAATTTTAATCTCAGTCACCGTCATGCTCTTCCGTTGAGGCTACCACCTCTCAGCCCTGGCATATTCCATCCGCTCAAGCTTTTTATAATCCAGTTTGTCTGCCGCCGTAAGAGAGATTTCCGGCAGCACAAGGATTCTCCGGGGCCTTGCGTGAGGGGATAAGAGCATCGCCAACGAATGTCTTGATATCTAACTCGTCTAATGCACTTCTTGACGTGCTGGGTATATGGTACTCTGCCAGTAGATGGTCGTCACGAAAGAGCATAGCAGCACCTCCACATTCAGGGATGGCTTTGAGACTTCGCGCTTCCAAGTCGTCGAGGTTAAACCGGAAGCTGTGCAGCTTGATTTGCTGATCTTTGCGGTTAATGCTGGTCTCTCTAAAGGCGCTATCCCAGTTAGCATAGTCGCCCGTCTTGTACATTCTCCTGGTCGGAATACGCAAGACGGAGTCGGCGAGTCATCGGTTTGTGTTCTCCATGGGCTGATCGATCTATCCATTTGATACTCGGATACCGGCCAGACAGAGTTCCCCCACTGCGCCTGGCGATAGCAGACAATGACTGCGATCGAGTGTATATAACCTGCTAGGCGGGTTTGCCTGGCCAAGTCTGACATCCTCGTTCACTGCCAGTTGTTTGATTGCTGCGCCGAATGTCGCTTCCGTCGGGCCATCCATGTTGAAGAGAAAAGAGTTCTTTTTCCCCACACATCAGGTTCTTCTGAAAGGAGACCAGGCCCTTGCGAGTACATTGCTCCTCGGCCTTGGGCTAGCCAGTGGACCTCGACATGATGCATATGTGGGAGAGATCATATGGGCGAACGATATTGTCGGATAGTCTGCTCCATCTCTTGTGGCATAAGGACGCGTACGATAATAGGTACCAATAGCCTCTCCTCATCACCTTGCAGAAGGCAGTTCACTCCGATATCAACAATAGACCAAACATTGCATTTATCCTCTTCGGGAAAATGGGCAGTAGAGAGAAGACTTGTAGTCGGCACTGGTCTCAAACGATCATGTTCAGGGGAACTCTGGATTGCAAGTCGGTGCGGCTGTTATCCACTGACAGAGACTGTTCTCCCTCTTCATAGAGAGAAACAGGGCAGAACTCTAAGAATTAACGACAGCGTCGTTCAGCGACGGCGGTCATAGAAACAGTCGCCAAGATAGAGATGTCACCCCTCTGGCACTCCGCAGCAACGAGGATCGCGGCCAGATAGTTGCTGTCCAGCTAGACAAAACTGCCATCTTCTGTAGCGCTCTTAATGTCGCCAACGCCGAGTCCAAGCACCGTTAATATTGCCTGTACAACCTCAGATATTACGAACCGTCACTGCGGATCTTTGACTCCATGATTGCCAGGGTTGACTCGGTGTTCTCACCACTTGCTGCCACCGCTCAGGTACAGGACAATACGATTGGAAGAGCGCTGTAGGCGTTGAAAACCAGGACTTCCCGAGGCTCTCTTGGTTGCTTACTTTAATCCTACGGGGTGATGTGATATATATTCACATATACATATATATGGCAAAAGCCCATGTCGAGGCCGACGTTGGACGTTGGGCGCATCCCAACGCCGATAATCAAGTTCATGTATAACTACCCATCAGCGACTAGGTGTTCCACATAATACATTCAGGTTAGAAGGAAATTTCGCACTTTGATCCAGCCGTATTGAAGGTGAGTATGGCGGCCGTTGTCATCTACGATCCGGCATGACGAGTGGGATAGCCTCCCGCAGCGAGAGACACAGCCTTGTGTCTGCAGCAGCATATGGAACGCGTTTCATGAAATTAGTATACCAAAGCCGCAGCGTTGGGTATTCGGTCAAACGGTCAACTGTCCTTTGAACTTGCGTCAGGACCACCATATCACTGCAAGTGTCAACCTTGGACTAGGAATACCCAAGGTCAAACCACGAACAGCCGGAAGAAACACGACAGCACTCATAAAAATCTATCAGTCTCTGTATACTCCAACACTGTCCGTGTAATGTCGAAAAGCACAAGGTAAGCAACTGCTGCCGAAGTGTCAACGGGATTGACGGGACGATATTGGCAAGTATTCATTAAGTATGCAGTGTAAAAAAATCAAGGTCGCATAAAGAAGGGGGAAAGCACGATGGTCATTCATAAACCGCCTCACGGTTGAGGTAATTGCCGCACAAAAAAAATATGAAGGAACTTCAAGGGACAAAAAGAAACTCCTTGATGAGACTGGGACTCGAACCCAGGAGGATTGCTCCATCAGGAAACTGGTAGTTATTAAGGTGACCTTAACCTGACGCCATAACCAACTCGGCCATCTCACCCGATGTTGTTGTTGGCGACGGGGCTTCTTATCCATTCTCATACAGAGCCCAAGCGCACAACCAGCAAAAAAAAAGCGCAGGGCGCCACATTGGAAGGAGGCGCCGGCCATTTGTGGGGTCGCTGCCCTATTGCTACCCATTCCATAGTCGATATTGACTGGGTCGTGATATCGGAGCCAGAAAAAAAAACCACGCTTCCAGCCAGCACCAAAGAATAATCTGCAAGTGGATGAATGCCTGCCTAGTGAGTACAAGGTGTAATGCTGTATTAATTCACCAGAAGTTATGTATTTTATTATCATAGTGGTCAAAATATGTGACTAGACTTTCTGCCGGCATGTTTAGTAATTTATGGCAAAAATCGCTCAGAAGTAGCAAGTTACGACTGTGATGGTGATTTACAAATAGCTTCATGTATAGCGACACTTGAAATATATGGCCAATAGGTATTTTCACGTCCTAAATAACATACACTGTCAAAAATAAATATTGCTGGTATATACCTACTGATAGGGCAAGTAGCAAAACGGTATAAAAAAAAACCATCCGAGTGGAAAAATAAATGATGAGACTGGGACTCGAACCCAGGAGGATTGCTCCATCAGGAAGCTGGTGTTAAGGTAACCTTAACCTGACGCCATAACCAACTCGGCCATCTCACCGCATGCGATTGATGACTTCTCTAACGTTATTCAATATTATGAGCCATCCCTGCCCATGGTAAATTAGCCGACTTGTTTGTCGAACAATATTATAGAATCCGGTAATTGTGCACTAAAAAGTATTATATTCTGGATTATTTCCTCCTTAGGATATTAATAGAGAAATAGCTTTTTGCTCTATATTTTTCTCGTTTTAGTCAGCGTTTGGGTGTAGCAATTCATCTGGATGGTAGTATATCAAAGGGATAAAATCTCAATGGAATATGCGTTTTACAGACAAATCTATCCGCTGTTCCAGAACATCCACAAGGCTATTTAAGGATATTAAATCCGAGAGAGAGACAATAAAGCCGCTTTATACTACAATTTGACTACCCACGAACACGCGTAGACACGCTCTTTGTCACGAAGCGATGCCCATCCTTTAAATTTTCGAAAAAAGCAGGTCCTAGGGTAGGTTAGAGTAGAGTGCACATGTATGTAGGACATCAGCATGCACGGACCAAGGGGCAGCACCGATACCCGACCACGATAAGAAGGAAACTTTTTTTTTTTTGACCCGCTGCTTCGTCTATTCCTCCTCACCATCATCAGGCTGTCTGCGGGCGGACACCAACAACATGACTTGATACTCAGCCTACCTAACGACATTCTCCTCCTCATAATCACAATCATGTCTACTTCCCGAATTTTTATCAAGGGCCTGCCCCCCAACATCACGGAGGCCGAGTTCCGTAAACATTTCTCCACCGGAAATCGAGAGATCACAGACGTCAAATTAATCCCCCAGCGTCGGATAGGATATGTGGGCTACAAGAGTGTGCATGACGCGGCTGGCGCTGTCAAATACTTCAACCGATCCTACATTCGCATGTCTAAGATAACAGTCGAGACTGCACGACCCGTAAGTCCCCCTATGTCTCGTGCTGCCTACCATCCATTACGATGGTCGCTGATGGAATGTTAGATCTCAGACCCAGCCTCGAGAAAAGGACACAGTGGTTCCCGTAACCTCGGTGCTCCCGAAGGTCATACTGCTCCGAGGTCAGCTTCTGATCATGATGTAAACACGAAGAAGCGGAAGCGAGAGGAACAGGAAACTTCTGATCCAAGGCTGCGGGAGTTTCTCCAGGTCATGAAGTCTGGTCGAGAAGGCGCCGTTGCCGATGACTCGAATGCTGCCGTTGGAGCAGATCATGCGTTCAGTCACGGAGACGTCACTGTTCCAGAGGGGGAAAGTGATGACGAGTATGAGCAAATCCCGTCGAGAGGAGAGAAATCAAGAAGGATAGAGCCACGCCAGGACAAGTCAGACAACGTTGCTCGACAACCGCCACCAAGGGTTGAGAAGACTCCCAAAGATGATATCGAGGAGGCTGGTGAGAACAAGGCTGAAGGAATTGATTCAGAGATGACTGATCAAGGTCCATCGGCAACTGGCGCAACTGACGACGATTGGTTGCGATCTCGGACTAATAGACTGCTGGATCTAGTTGATCCTGATGACCTTGCCTCTGGAGCAGTGCTAAGCCCGGTGGATGCTACCACAGAGCAAGACATGGAGAATGACAGATTATCGTCGCATTCCTCCGATGAGGTGACACCTGGCACAGCAACTGAGGTGGCGACGAGCAAGGAGACTGCGACGGAAGATGCTGTTAGCGCCATCTCTCGCACGTCTCGGCTTTTCGTCCGGAACCTTCCTTACAGCGCCACTGAAGATGATATACGGGAGACATTTGATAAGTTCGGGACACTCCAAGAGGTACGTGGGTAAATCAAATCCGATCCACTCCACCCGCCATGACTTCCTCCCCGAAAAGGCGCAATGATGAACCCCATGATAGGGACAGCTTATACCTCGGTATATGATGTGAACCTGGGCGAATATTTTAGTAGATGCTTCGATTTCTGAGCCTATATTTTGATTACACACAGCCATGTTGGATGGAGCCTTTGGTTATTTTTGTCCCCACGACACACATGAAAACTAATCTTATTCTTGGTCCAGGTTCATTTGCCATTGACTGCTGCCGGGGCAACAAAGGGCTTTGCTATGGTGCTTTTTACAAATTCATCTGACGCGGTCCGGGCATTCCAGGCACTGGATGGGGTGACCTTTCAAGGGCGTATCCTCCACATCATTCCAGCCGATGCAAAGCGGGAGCAGGGGTTGGATGAGTTTGGCATATCTAAGATGCCTCTGAAGAAACAAAACATGATACGTAAGAAAGCAGAGGCAGCTTCCAGCAGCTTCAACTGGAACTCCCTTTACATGAGCCAGGATGCTGTCAACGCCTCTATTGCCAGCCGACTGGGTGTCTCAAAATCCGAGCTGCTTGATCCTACATCGGCTGATGCCGCCATCAAGCAGGCCATTGCAGAGACTACAGTCATCCAAGAGACAAAGGCTTATTTTGCGGCCAATGGGGTCGATCTGGACGCCTTCAAGTCGCAGAGGCGGGGTGATAGCACCATCTTGGTAAAGAACTTTCCATTCGGGACTACGATGGAGGAGCTTCGCAAAATGTTTGAGGAGCATGGCCAAGTCCTTAGAGTTCTCATGCCCCCAACGGGCACTATTGCTATTGTCCAGTTCGCACAAGCAAACCATGCAAAGGCCGCTTTCGGTAAGCTTGCATACAGACGAATCAAGGATAGTGTACTTTTCCTGGAGAAGGCGCCCAAGCATTTGCTCAGAGGAGATATCTCGGAGCAGACTAGCCGGCAGCAGGCAACAGGGGTGCAAAAGTTTACCGTCAGTGACTTGCTGTCAAGCGGTGATAAGGCGGAAGAGGTGGAAACGACGTCTCTGTTTATCCGCAATTTAAACTTTGCCACAACCACTAGCAGGCTGGCTGAGGCTTTCGAGTCTCTCGACGGATTCGTGTCAGCAAGAGTCAAGACGAAAATGGATCCCAAGAAACCAGGCCAAACGCTTAGCATGGGGTTTGGTTTTGCTGAGTTTCGATCTAAGACCCAGGCTCAGGCAGCTCTCAAGGCAATGGATGGGCACGTACTGGATGGTCACACTCTGGGCGTGAAAGCGTCACATAAGGGCCAAGATGCGGCCGAAGAACGACGGCGAGAAGATCGAGCGAAGAAGGCGGCGGCCCAGAGGACCAAGATCGTCATTAAGAACTTGCCTTTCCAAGCCACAAAAAAAGATGTCCGGTCACTGTTCGGGACGTACGGCCAGCTTAGATCTGTCCGCGTTCCGAAAAAGGCTGACTTTACCGCAAGAGGCTTTGCATTTGCCGACTTTGTTACTCCTCGAGAAGCGGAGAACGCGCTAAATGCGCTCAAGGATACTCATCTTCTCGGGCGCCGCCTAGTACTAGATTTTGCAGAGGCCGAGGCGGTTGATGCTGAGGAAGAAATCGAGAAGATGCAGCGCAAAGTAGGGGGCCAAGTCAATAAAGTAGCCCTTCAGCGACTTACAGGCGGAGGGAGGAAAAGGGTCACTATTGGCAACGACGAAGAGGAATTCGACACTTAGTGTAACAAGGAGGCAGAGCAATAACTATTTGGCTGCCGCCTGCGGATGCAGCACCGGACAGTACAGCGCCTATAGTTGATCAATTTTCTGCCCTATCGTCACTAGCCCAGGCTTTCTGGGTGGTCTCCCTTGGGAAGGGGCAGTGTGCGCTTCGACGAGCCGCCTAGACGCCCGAAGTCGCGAGCCTGGCCGACAACAAACATGGCGTGTTGTGATGAGCCGACTCGGAGAAACCAAGAATTCGATTTTCGGAGCGGACGGCTGTGAAATTGTCTGTTTGTCTGATGGCAATCTCTTTCGCATACCTGCGGCCGCCTGGACAACACCTCTCTGAAGGTGTGTCTCTCCAAGAGGCCATGACGGGCCTTGGTGTGCTGGACCCGCTCAACCCTCCCTTGCGTCCCAACGCCCTCGATGCAGGCCGCTGCAGACACTTTAGCTACCATGTGCCCGTTGGGTTTTACGACGAGACCTTCATTGGCCGGAGCTCTCGTCTCTTTCGGTCGCAGACATGGGTGCCGACTAGTGACGAACTGTCCAGGACCCATCCCCCACTGCCTGGACACCCCAGGCGCCTCCTCCATCCCATCCCCCCCCTGCCTTGCTGGGCGCTGTGTAGATAGATCTTGATATTTAGGTTGAGGGGCGAGAAAAGGATGGGTAGCTCTGTCAACCCTTTGTCAATATGATCCGCTGGAGCTTGTTGTCCTCCACCTATAGGTCTTGGATTTATACAGTCTTAGATCCTCCCGGGAAATAGAGCTTCGTTCCAGTCGAACCCATCACTCTCCTCAGATCATACATTTAGACCACCATTCCACATCCCAAAATTCCTCTCTACATATCTTGTCCTCTCCAACTCGCTCTTCCTCTTCCCACTCCAACTTTGGTTGCCATTGTGCGAGGCATTTTTGCAGCTTCAGCGGGCTTGGTTCTCGTTCGTTGCGTCTCATCGACATTCCTTGTGCCACTCACTCTCTTTTGCCTTTGCAGTTACAATGTCTTCACTCTTTCAGCCAAGACCAGTGCTGTCATCACAGCGTTACTCACAGTCACCAGACTATGTTGATACCAGACGTAGTATCCATAATGGCAGACTACCTCTTCGAGAGTCCACTGGCAATGCTCAATCCCACAGCTTTAATGGCTTAGTCTCTTGTTATCAGAATCAGGTGGCCTTAGCACCATCTATGCAAACCACTATTCCTGCTCCCATGGTTCCTTCACAATCCCTCGATTGCCTTTACAGAGTTCCGACTCCTCGTCAACAGGCTCGTTTTCAGAGGAGGCCCAAGACTTCCGTCAATCCCCTCTACTTCTGGCCAGCTTTCCGCCAGTATCGTAACAGGCAGGCTCACAAAGATACCCAAAAGGACAAGGGTGGCGTCTGGCGTCGACCGGAGCTTGAAGATGCCTTCGTCGACTGTAAGTGGTTGCCCTGCTGCTTGATGCAGACTTTTTAATTCAGTCCGCTAATAGCCGTCGTCAGCTGTACTGCTCATGCCTCACATGGGCCGCCGCAAGTTCTCCATGGGAGGCAAACTCCACGGCCGCAACATGCTGATCAGCGAGTACATCTTTGTGATTTGCATTGCTCTCTTGGGGAGCAAGGAGATTTTCCGAATCGACAATAGTAATGAAAGCATCGAACAGATGGGACGCAAACAAGTCTCCAGCCATATGCAAGTGGTGAAGAAGTTTTTCGAAGATCTTCGTTGCTGTAAGTTGAGCGTCTTGGCATACATTCTTTGCAAACTGTGCCTGCCTATGGGAGATGAGGGATACTAACCCAGTCGTCGCAGTCCACTTTTTGTTCCCGTCAGAGGAAAAGAAGGAGCCCGGCTCGACAAACTCGGATGACGGCTATGACGAAGAAGAGCAGGAGTCATTCAAGTCGAACCCTGTTCTTACAGCTCTGGCAGAGGGCCGAGTTCCCGACGTCAAACCCAACTATGAGTACTTCTCCCAGCTTCTGGCCTTGCAGTCATCCATCTGCACACGACCGAAGACGTGTGAGATTTTTGTCTCGTCTTCTGATATCAAGATTCGGGATGATGTTGCCTACGATGCTCATGATACCCCCCTGGACCAAGCGTCCTTCCCTCACTTGAATAAGTACACCAACTGTGACGACAGTCCCAACGTCCTTGGCAAGGATGTCCTTTTGCACGAGTACACTCGATCTCTTGACCGAACCACGTCCGCCTGCGCCAAGTCTGTGACCCGGCGATGGCAGAATGATGCCCCTGCCATGTTTGAGACTCTCGAGCTTCCCTCTAGAGACGAGGAGTGCTTGCTGCTAGAGATGTGCGCCACTCTGGAATTGCACGAACATGCCAAGTTCCCGTCTGGATCGGAGCTCACGGGGTTTGTCGAGGTTGCTATTACGCAGCCTGCTCTGCAGAACCATCGGTGGAAGTGCATCACACGCCTTACGAGACCCGCAGAGCTCCACAGCGATGAGGGCAAGCATGGTGTTTACACAAATGACAGCGGAATCCACCGCCGTGGATGCAGCGATTCCAAGGCGGAGTGCGAGTGCCACACCCGCCCTCGTCAGGATATTCACGTTCCTTTCCCTGCAGTGGAGTGGGCCAGCATTCTTAGCATGGCGGTGCAATATCCCGACGTTGAGCACCAGCGCCTGAAGGAGAAGCGACGCAAGTATGCCGATGGCGACGGCAAGAAGGAACTCGAGAGAGCTGGCAGCAAGCGCAAGCGCTCCGAGGATGAAGGCGACGCTGCCTCGTGGACTCGCCGAGAACTGACTGGCAGCGACTTGATTTGCAAGGTGGCCATGTACCAGGAGCTCTGGTCTTGCGCGCCCGATTCTACGCAGTGGACTCGCCAGGCAATCATCTTTTGGAGATTCAACACGACCAATCAGTGGCACAAGTACAACCCGGTCTTCAAGCCTGCTGGGACTACCTGGCGATGGCTGACTATCAATGACCCAATGTCCCGGTACCATCAGCAAAAGGCGCTGGTCTATCCAACGGCAAACGTCTCTAGAGATGCTCTCATGTCGCCAACTCCCACCATCCACCAACACTTGACAGCAGCAATGAATGAGACTTTCAACTCTTGGGACCAAGGCAGCAGCGCGCCTCACGTGCCACATGTTCCGCCTCTGCAAACCCCCAACAACAGCATCGGGCTTTTTGATTCATTCTCCAACGGACTAGCCACGCCACCACCAACGGCAACTCTGCCCCCGGCATATCCCACGGGAAATTTTGACAGCCGAAGCGGGAGTTTTGATGCTCGTAGTGCCAGCTTTGATACCAGAAGTGGTTCGTTTGATGGCAACCTGGGGCCGAACAATGGAGTAGCATTCCTCCCAACGACCGGTCCGCCACCGCAACACGAGCGCCAGCCAACAGCCCTTGGCAACAACAACCAGCCTTTCTTCGACGGACAGCAGTCCTTCTCCGAGGTGAAGCCAATCAACACAGCGGTCAACTCTTACATGACGGCCAGCACCTCGCTCGAACTCCCCAACCAGCTCGTCTACGACAACTCTGGCGTGGATGCCAGCAACATGCAAGGATGGGACATGTCTGCCCTAGACGGCTGGTCTGCAGCAGCTTCGGCACCAGGCAGCGCCACGGCAGAATGGGGACCAAATACCAAGGTTGAATCCCATGCGGGAGATCATCACGGTGCCATGTGGGCTCCTCCCCATTGGCCCCTATCTGCAGGAGCAGCGCCCAGCTCCCACGAGCGAGGTGCGAGCCCTCGACCCCTCAAGAGACGGAGAGAGACTATGGACGTTCATGTGCCCGTCACTGCTGGATGGTGACGACGATTGATGTGAAACTAATGTAGGCGCCCTATCTGGCATAGGGACGCATGTGTCACAAGACGTGGTGAAATTTGTATGGAAATGTGTATTAATTCTGGTGTTGGGTGGAACAATTTCGTCATGGGCGCTGGAGGCGTATTCTTACGATAGGATATGGTCTTGTTTCTCTACTAATTATTTTGATGGGATGATGATAATAATACCACATACTTAGACCTTTGAGCTATGAACAATTTTGAAACAAGTCTGTTTTTTTTTCATCATTTTTTTTCATGATAGTACTTGCCCACCCATATGCTGCTTGATGCGAGTGTTTGTTTCGCGGTCATCAAGACAACCAAACCCCCGCCGGGCCTGTGACGTATTACGAAACTCGGGAGTTGCCAACTAGCCAGCTTGGCGGGGGAGCATAGGACAAGTTCAATCCAATATTCGGAACCCCTGCCTTATCTCCACGCCCTCCTAGACAAGGGCACCCTCGAGGAGAGACTATTTTGGTTTACTTTTGTATTCTTCAACAGGTGGAGCGGACGCAGGAACCAGGAACCCGCACAGACAAAGGAAGCCCCTGGGGCCCGTCAAGGGAGGGATGGAGAGGGCTGATGAGCCGCAGTGCGGAGAGAGAGGGCGAGACATGTCGTGCAGTAGGCGTGACGCGAAACGCGCCGCCACATGCAAGCACTTTAATTAAGCACTTTGACTAACTAACACGAGCGGCTCTGCCCATGTAAAACGATTGGTGAGGTCTGCCAATATTTTTGTAGTACATGGATTTCAGGAAAATACAACAACATGATGCAGTGGACAATGGCGCTAGTACTAGCAGCAAACAACGGACCGTTGGTGGGTTTGTGGCCAAAAGGCAAGGGGAATGCGGCAGGAAGCAACAATGACGACTGGAATTCTGGGTTCGGGCAGAAATACGGCCCGTTGGAAATTTTGCATTCTTTGTGCGTAGATGGGCATTGTGTTGATGGGGGCGACGCTGAGGAATGCTGGGCTGCCGACGTCGTGGGCGCGCGCGAGGGCGGCGAAAAGGGGGCTGCGAGTGCAGCCGACTATTGGACTTCAGGGCGGGCAAAGGGCTGTGAGCTGCAGTTGCTTGCATTTCAGGGCGCATGTTTCCTCGAGAAGGAGTATATTGGAAAAATGGAATTGTTTGTTTGTTGTTTATTTTTTCGTTGGTGGCAATGCTTGGTGTTTACGGGCCGGGTCGAACGGGTACATGGCATGTTCTGCTAATTCGAGGTATGTAAGTGGCCCTGCCGATACAACCTCGACGCTGCGAGGGGACGGGGTGTTTGGTGAGAGAAGGCGATGTGTGGTTATCGTATGGAGGTCCGATATGAAGACGACAAACGGGTTCATCATCCTTCGTGTTTAGTTATTACGGCCTTGTTTGGCTGCTTGTTGTGTTGATTTCCAGCGTGGCACTGGGGTTGTCGCTTCGGAGCAGGTATGCGCGGAAATTGGGCGGGTTGGATATATGGATTATTCCCACCTCTAATAAAGGCAGGGCTTGAACGCAGTTTGTTTGAATCCTGTGTTGACGGACTGGTGGCGAGCAGTCGGGTGACATGGCTACACTCGAGGAAGAACCCTTATTCATCATGGCTCCTCTGGCGAATTCCAGTCATCTGCAGCTTCATGCATAGCCATGACCTCCCTTATAAGTATGCTGGTTAGGCACAGAGCTGCGGGTTTTGTCGGCGTCGCGTCTGGGTTAGCTGTCATTGTGTTCTCGCATATTGTCCAGTTAGCCTATCGAAGGAGCTTCGTCTTTGTGAAAGAAGTGTGTTTGACCTGTGACTACCAGAGGGAGAAAAGGACCGGATATTTCAAAAGGCGGTGCTTGATTGTTGCTCCGTAATGACAAAGGTCACCATTGTTGCGTTGCACATCTATCCGCACCGCACAAGATATCGTCTTCAGGAACACGGATGCTGCCGTTTCAGATGACTCTCCTGCAGCATGTCGCATGAAGAGGGAAAAGAAAACACAAAGTGACGTTGGTCAAAGGTACGGCCGGCGCTTGCTCTTACACAAGGATTTGCACAAAGAATTGTGTGTGAGCGAGAGCAAGCGGTTTGTGTCGTGCATGTTGTGACAAGGGCGCATGTTTTGTGAAAGGGAAACAATGGGCGAAAGAGAAGGTCGCAGGCATGCGACCCTTTGACAGCACGGCCTGGGATATGGGATGTTTGATGAATACCGGGAGCAGGGGACGAAGATGGGAGAGAGAAACGGCATGGCAGGCATGACTCCATGAGGGCCAGTTTCACGATCAAGCGCAAGGCCTCGGACGATGGACGAATGACAGCCAGTCGTGGGCCGGCAGAGGCGCCGGTTCGCAACGGTGAACGGCCCACGAGTGCAGCGTTAGGCGCGTGGTGGGGCGGTGTTGGGGTTGGGCGGCACCATTGGATTGGCCAGCGGGTTGTTTGGGCAGGAGCGAGGCAGCTGGTGGTGCAGGCATCGCCTTGAAACATGTGCAGCCTTCGGGTGCGTGCGTCTTGCAGATTGCAGAACTCTAGCCTTGCTCTTCATGCCCCCTTTGACCTTTGACCTTTGACCGCGACCTGGCCGCGGCCTGGACGGTCTGCGGCGTGCGGTATTTGCTGTCCTCCCAGGCAACGATAGGCCACCGTGCTGCCTCGACTGTTTAGAACCACCATCCGCCCGGCAGACTCTGGCGCAATGGCGATGGCTCGGCCTGTTCGCATCTAACGGCCGAACCTGCATGCAGAAAACAGCCTCTCTTCCCATGAAACCTGTGTCTATTTTCTCTTGTTCTGTGCCAAGATGCTGTCCGACCTGCCGACTCTCCCGTCAGGCCATGGCTCCCCCGGTCATTGTCTGTCGTGAACCAACACCGCTTGACTTGGTATACAATAGTCGCCATGGCTCGGTAAAAAGCCCAAGCCGTACGCATCAATGGTGAATGGCCAACTCACCGAGCTCTTCTTCTTCTTTCTCCTAGTCTCCTTGTGTTCTGGTCCGGTGGCTGAGGATTTTCTTGCGGCTTTGCACTTTGACTCTTTGTTTGGTCTTTGGCTTCTCATTCAGTGTTCCCGCCCAGTTCAGGCACAGCGATTGCAATTACTCATTCTCCTCGACCATTGATTCAACAAACAAACCTGCACCATTCGTCAGTCCCAATAGACCATACCACGACCAAGTCTCCCGTTTATTCACATTGCTGCTTGGGCCTTGCACACACCGGGCACACCAGCTGGCTGGTGGATCTGCCAACTGTCAACGGCCTGCTGTTCACTTCAATGTTTTGACAAAAACACCCAGCTCTGAGTCTTGTTCTTTATTCTTCTTCTTGTTTGTCTGGCCACTTGCTTTTTTTCTTCAACTCTTCTTCATCCTGTGTTCAGAGCGCACAATCAACAAAGCCGCCCATGACCGTGAGCGCTCAAGTACTTCTTGCCGGCCGCGGGACCTCTTGATTACTTTCGACAACCTCCCATCATTTTGATCGATTTATACCACACCATTTTCGATTCTTACCGCCAGGAAAATAACATTTTGTTTTTTTGGTCGACTATTCTGCCTCTGTTTCTTGAAAATTTTCGATTCTCGATTTTCTCCCGGCGAGAAAATATACCTTTGCGAGCATTTCAACAGTTTAGCCCCAGACAGGCAGACTCTCATTTGTATCTAGAGTTGCATCTACTTGGAAAGAAAACACATCTTGGCTCACGCCAGACTTATAGAAAGACACCAAATTCAGGATATACCCCGTTACGTCTCGTTACGTCCCGCCACGTCCCGCCGCGTCAACCACGATGAGAAGCCTCAAGTCTCTTCGCGGCAACCCGTTCCGTCTCGGTTCCTTGCTGGCCCTCGCCTGCTTGACATCTGCCCATTCATGGATCGAGTACGCCTACGTACTTGCCCCCAATGGTACAATGGTCGGAAACATTGGCTACCCCCGAGGATACCAGCCTCGTAGTACGTCTGGCTGGACCGACAAAATCCCCCAGTGGATACTCCCTGAAAATGGAACGGCATTTTACACCGGGGAAGAAATCTTGAACAAGTACCCCTTTGAACAGAATCCCAAGCAGCCTGTGCTTGAAGCCGCCCCCGGAGACCATATCGCCCTCCTGCACCTCGAAAACGGGCATGTTACCTTGCCCCAGACTCAGGCCAACAAGCCTAAGAACCGAGGCACCATCTACCTTTACGGCACCAGCGAGCCCAGTGAAAACGAGAAACTGTTTGACGTCCATCTCCTCTGGAACAAGGATGGCACTGGTGGTAATCAGAAAGGAGTCCTTCTTGCAACTAGAAACTACGACGATGGTCGGTGCTTCCAGCCTAACACTGCGGACATTACGAACCAGCGCGTCGCCGAGTGGAAAGACGACGGGGCCCAGAACTCACAGGAGTTGTTGTGCCACTCTGATTTGAAGCTTCCCGACAACTTGAAGCCCGGCAGCTTTTACACCATCTACTGGTACTGGGACTGGCCGGCCCTGAACCCAGCCAAGATTAACATGGACAAGACTGCGGATGGACGTTTTCCATGGGCCGGGTCGTTTATGCGCGGCGACAAGGTTCCCAATGGGTGGACCATGGATACCATTGCCCGCAATGAGAGCTACAGTAGTGTGATTGATATCAAGATTGTCGAGAAACCAAAGGGGTTTGCGGGCAAGGATGCCGGAAAGGAGGCGTGGGTGTCTAAGCAGAATGTTTACTCCATGGGTGTCCAGGATCAGATGGCCAACAACTTCCAGGTCAATGTTGATGGTCTTGAGAATAGCGGCACGGGCTCTGCACCCACTTCTGCGCCTGCTTCTGCGCCTGCTTCTGCTCCCGCCTCTGCTCCCGCCCCGACCGGTAGTTCACCTGCTGCGAGTTCCGACGCTGGCGGCGTTGCTACCGTCACGCAATATGTCACTGTGCCTCCTACCACGCTCATCACCACCGTCTTCAAGACTGTCGGTGGTGGCTACAAAAAGGTCCGCCGATCTGAGCCGGCCCCGGAGCAATCGATGCTCAGGCTTACGAATCACGGAACCGATGAAGCCCCTTTCACCACTGCCTCTCCGACAGACACTCCAGACCAGCATTCTGCCGCTAAGCAAGTGTCCTCGGCAGCGCCGTATGACCGGCGCCGAGCCAGATGGTTCTAAGCCTAAAGGGGTCCCTACAAATCTTGGCTTGGGTAAGGATACAAGGCTATGGGTAGATTACATTGACTGGGTGGTACATTGCAAGTTCGCTTGTATATATTGGTACCTTTTTTTTTTTTTTTACATATCGTTGACAACACGAAGTTAGGGAGATGGAGGAGACGTGTCGGGGCTGGGCCCAGTCAGCGATAGATAGGGATGCGATCTGAAATACAGTCGGTTGAGAAATGTGTGTCCTGCTCGTCATCTTGACGTTGTACATCCAATGTAGATGATGGTAAAACGAATCCCAGATGCCTATTTCCCAGCAACGAAGCCCAAACGTACACTTTGTTCAACTAGTACCTTTTGCCTTAAAAAAACACACACATTGCAATGGATGATATACAGCGCCTACACAGTCCCAAGTCCAGCAACTCTTACATCTCTCCACACTGGGCAATCACCACGTCCATGTTCGGCACGTCCTTGCCCTTGTACCCCGTCTTGGTGTGCTCCATCTTCCGGACGACCTCGATGCCATCGACGACCTTGCCAAACACGACGTGTTTGCCGTCGAGAAACGGCGTGGGCACCGTGGTGATGAAGAACTGGGACCCGTTGGAGTTGGGGCCGGCATTCTGCGGCACAGCGCGAGTCAGACGGATGCTTGTGCGAGAAGATAGAACCGACGACATCAAAACAAAACAAGCACGTATATCACACGGGGATGTTCTTTTCAAGACGTATTTGGGGACAAAAGAAAAGGGGGAAGTGTACGTACAGCCATGGACAAGAGGCCAGGCTGGTCATGGCGCAGCTTGAAGTTCTCGTCCTCGAATGCCTTTAGGCCCCATATACATGTTGATCCCGTGCCGTCGCCTTTGAGGAAATCGCCGCCTTGGCACATGAAGTTGGGGATCTGGCGAGTTAGCCAGTACGCTCGTGTGGAGGAGCTAAAAAAATACTGCGGGAAGGGGAGAGACGTACGATGCGGTGGAACTTGGAGCCCTTGTAGCCCTGGGGTTTGCCCTGGGCGTCTTTGGACTCGCCGGTGCAGAACTGGCGAAAGTTCTCGGCCGTTTTGGGCACCACGTCTTTGAAGAGCTCGAATGTGATGCGGCCGAGGGGCTCGCCTGCCGGGTGCTTTAGTATGATGGGCTGTCTGGTGGGCAAACAGCGTTGGAGGATGGATATGCGTGAGGTGCCGCGCCTTCACTTGCGTGTCGCTAGATGACAGGACGGCTCTCGGATTTCATCTTGGAGAATGATGGCCCTTTATTCCGGGATACTCACCTCCCAGCGTCATGTCAAAGAAGACCCTTGCTGCGGTCAGTTCAGATTCAGGAGGCTTTTACGCGCTGCGACTGAAGGGCTTCCCAGGTACTTACAGGGGGTTCCCTGAGGCGGGTAGCTGTGTCGGCGGCATGGCTGTCGGCCGCTTTGCCTGTCAGTAGATGCTGTGACTGGTGAGGCGTGAGTACGGAGTACCGCTGGTGAGGCTCCATGTCGTTTGTGAAGCGGCGCTGGGGTTTCTGAGGTTGGACTAAAGCGGACTAGCGTCGAAGCGCCGGCCGTTCTTTTGCGGACATGGAGATAATCTTCTAGAACCCACACTGGGATCAACTTTGTCTGCCAACTTGATAGTTGGTCCACCAATCTTGTATAGTAATAGTGTTTACAAATCACTCTGGACTTTTTGCAACTGTACATCTCCGAGGTTCTTGGCAAAATGATGTGTTGAGACGTGCGTTGTCTGCTTACGCCTGCGTGGCGTTGAGCTCATGACAAGGCCACACCCCCCCTTCTCAAAGGGTGCCTCCCACGATCGATGCATCCATCGAGCACATCGTCAGAAATGATAGCCCGGATCGGGGGCAGCCTGAATGGGACGTGGTGGTTTCCAGCTCGTCAGCCATGTCGTCCGAACAAGATACAGCCAGGTCCAGGAGCAGTCTAGCCCCAAGTGATGGGCACATCTGTCGGCAACGGTACGCATTCGCAGCGCTGAGGCGGCGGGGCAAAGTAACTCTAAGCCATTTTCGACAATACCATGACAGCATGTCAGAATGGCCTTGCTACTTCTGGCCCCGATCGGAGCTAGGGATTGTTTCTTGAAGTGGTAGTGTGTGAGGCTCGCGTGGCGTCTTGCATTTCTTAGTCGGCTCTGGCTACTCCGTATGGATTGTACGGGTGGAGGCGAAGAGGGATTCCAACTCGACGGTCATGACTACATGTCGTGCGCCCTGCGAGGTAAAATGAGGGTCCATGTAGGGCGTATACTCTGACATGGAGAGAACACATCTGGCTAGAGACCATGTGCGGGTGAAGTTGCTCTCATAAGCCAAAGTTGGCTGCGTCTCCGGAGAATCGAAGCAGCGACAATGGCCTGTTACACGTTGTGGCCAGTCAGGACGTTGAAGCCTGTGAGAGTAAATAGTGACAACCATGTTGGGAACGGAACCCGTCATGAGTCTACCCGTGTCAGCGTCACAGGTCTTCTTGAAGAGTCGGATGGAGATGCTAAAATATTTGAATCTTCTGAGAATCGTAGCTTGCACGCTCCTGAAAGACTCTCAAATAGCTCCATGAGTTCCATCAAGAATGTAATTGGTTTCTAGAAGAACAGGATGCTGCCTCTGTATAGCAAACTGCGACTTACATCCCGAGACAGGGTGGCAGCGACGAGTGCTTTTCCAAAGCTCACAACCATGTGGAACATTGAACTGGAGACAAATTTGTTTCATAAAGGATAATTCAAAACAGTGGCAAGATCAAATATCCGAATTATGTGCCACGTTAGCAGGACCTGGAGTTGCAATCGAGGGACCTGTCAGACACTTGCCGGAAGAGGTTTGTCAATAAAGGGATCAAGGCCTGGATAAAGCCTTTGCCTTTCACAATTCTGTCCAGATTCTTATCCAAGTTGGTTTTCTTGAGTCTCGTTTGGACACTCGTCTATCCAGAAGAATCCAACCGCGATCGAGGGATGGCTTCTTGTTGTTTCCTGCATCTGAACCTGACCCAAGTCCCTTGCTCAAGACATCTTTCAACTCGCCCACCAAATCTACCATATCGTTGCACGTTCCCTATAAGCTGTATGCCAAATACCTCCCTATATCTCCAATAGTTCCGCCTCTCCCAAGGTCCCGGGTAGTCCTGAAGCTCAAGTGATTCTGACGGAGTGGCGCCATCGCCGTCTCAACTGTCTGAGACCGAGGTAATTGAATGGTTTCGTATTTTCCCGGTAAACTATTGCACACAAAAGCAGGCCATTTTGTCTGCAAAGCAGTGTTTCTGTCTGCCCGAGTCGCAAGAGGGAATCCTCCTTGATCCCGAGACGGGAAGAAGAGCCATCTGATGCAGCACCAAGAACAAAACTCTCCCGTCTTATCGGTGTCACATTGCTTCCTTTGCACCAGAAAGGCAATAACGCTCGCTCACTCGATGCAGTTCCACTCTGCAGGGACATCGATATGTCGCCTTAGACTTGCAGGAGATATGCCCGGTTGAATACTAGACCAAGTCACCCGCTGGTGTGAGCAAACCCCTGAGCTACCCCAAGGCCTTGCAGGCTCGGAGACAGTTGAAGCCAATACCTATCAGCTAAACCTTGGAAAACGAGGCGTTGAACCGCCGGGTGGTCATGTCGTTCAACCCACCGCCTGAGTCTTTTATTTCTGGCATCACGAGAACTTGTAGGTACAGGAGAAGCCTTGCTTATGCCTAACCTGGTTCAGATCAGAGGATTAATTTGGCCAGCGAGCCGGCTATTTCTGCAGGAACCGAACTCCCATCATGGGGACCAAGAGTACCGGCAGGCGGTGAGTCAACTCTCTTCCAACTTCTAAAATGACTGCCTCGTTGATTCCGACTCAACCAGAGTTGTGAAGACAGTAATCCTTCGTAGACGGACTAGACAGATAGGGGTCTATCCAGCTTATATCTCTTGCTGGCTCAACTATGACTTGACAAATAGGTCAAATTGGATGTTGAAGAAGATCAAGTGACCCCTGATTGGTTGTGTGTGCATTTTGAACCCAATAAATTGCTCATCTAGGTGATGCTGCTGCGGCTAGAAGAGGATTTATGAGGCCCCGCGAGACAGTTTTCCGACTTATCCTGCCAGAGATTGTTAGTTTGCAGTCATGTCCTGGAGTAGAAGTACTAGTAAACGAAGCTGTTGGCTAGCAGATACGAATATTTGTGCATTAGATACCTTAAACTAACAAAGGGTCAAAGTTCCAAGCTAGAGCCGAGGCATAGCTGTATGCCGTGATTTTCTTGTTCAAACTTGACGCTGGGGGAGTATACATCATACGACTCTCTTGGACAACTGACACTGCACTGATTGACAATGCCTACGTACAATGACCATGATGGAATAGTAACATCATTGTCCTTGGCATGGCAGTCTCTCGATTGATGGGGTCGGGATTGAGTGTTGAGCGGGTTCAACTTGATCATATCAGCAACAAGGCATCCATCCCAACATCCCGAGTCATCAGCTTATTGTACAGAATGTTGTCCACTACATTCATATCGCAGCCCTGATTAGTCCCATGCTCGGCACCGACCCGAGCAGGCAGCGAGGCTGACTGAATCTGGCAAGTAGCAAGACTTGAAAGCTGCATTGCCATCTCTGTGAAGAGGTTATGGAAACCAAATCAGATGCTGAGTTGCTGTATACTCTCTAGGGGGGGTTGAGTCTTCGACGAAGGGATCTGTAAGCAGACTCAATCGACACATATAGCTAAGCTTCACCACCCACCATTTCTACGAACGAGAGATGATTGCAAATGAGTGCTAGAAGCTTAGTTGCTACATTCCATCCAAGACAAGCATGAGTCTTAAGAGGTTCAATTGGACCTACAAGTAGCGAGGCATCTGGATCACCCTACACATATAACCCATTCCCAAATTAACAGCAACTCATGCCCCCAAGACTATGCCCACGTTTACAGTTGAACTTGCCCCCCAAAGCACTCGATAACGAATTTCATCCATTCTATTGTTTCAAATGTAGTGGAGAAGTCATGTTTACAAAATCCATGTTGCACTGGTACACCAGCATAAAGAGCAACTCCCACCTCGCTACCCGGATTGGCCATGCCGCAAACTCAATCAACATGAACAACAGGTTCAATCACCGTTCATCACCCCGGCCACTATCCAAAACGACTGTGCTACCTTCCTTCCTGGTGTTCCGCAGCGCCAGTCACGTGGAGTATGGCTTTGGTATGGATGCATGTGGTGTCGTGAGATGGCAAGGGTGGCGTTATACATTTTGTGAGCGAGCCCTCAGAGTGCACTGCCGATTCTGCCGAGGACAAATTACAGATAGAAGTCTATTCGAGCAGGACGCGAGGGCGATGATGACCCTCCGCACTTGGCGGCACATCAAACAGATGGGTTTAGCAATGGTGTAAGTCGCACGGCGTAGTAAAACTGATAAGAGGTGCGTTTGCTTGAAACGTCATGACGCGTCTCGGCTAAAGTCTATCCCTTTAGGGGTTCAGAGAAAGATTCTTCATATTCCATGCCCTTGGTGGTTTGCGAAAAGAAACAAGGTTGTTACTCATTGTCTGCTGTTTCCACGGCTTACACGGCAAAGCTTGGAACAAGTGTGGCTGAGGCGCAGGTTCCTGATGACAATGATACGACTGTTTTCTACTCCGTACAGTGAGGGCTTTTGTTGAACAGGGCTGTGCAGTGGATAGTTTTGCGACTTGAATAGACATCTACCTTGGTAGATAGATGCCAAGTAGCTGGCGCAAATGCCAAGATTGGAAACGGTCAGATGGTGAGGAGTCGTGTAGGTAGAATCAAGGTTTCTACACAGCCATGAGGGGATGTGATGGGAAGAAGCGGGGACGAAGCGACTGGTTGGGTAAGGCGGGCTTTGATGTGCCATATCACAAATGGTGATGAATTGATAACGAAGCTTGAGAGGGTTGAGAACTTGGTGTGCACTCATGCCGTGCTCGGGGAGGCTATGCTTGAGGTTGTGTGTCAAAGGCTGAATACGCAAATGTCCAATGTCCGATGCGCTCGATACAAGGCTCTGATGACTGGAATTCGGGCATCGGTGTGTATTCGTTGACGCCTCTGCGGCTCAATTCTAAGGCGTTTCGCAATTGTACGCCTTGACTTGTCGACTTTATGTCTTGATCTTACCTTTGTACCACAGCACAACCTTTGGTCTCGCGGCTTATACATGCGGCTGGGCACAATCCGCATTCGCTTGATACACAGTCAGCTGGGCCTTGTATACGACTGCCACGTTTGTCGTCCTCAAAAGATGAACCAGACATCCCACACCCGGTTCCGAACCCGGTGCCAAAAGGTAGTAATCTGTACGGAACATGTGTCCGTGTCAATCGGTATCCCGGCATGCAAAAAAACGTCGTCACACAACAGTTGTCGAGCCAGTCAGTCTGCACAACGGCAAATAGTCGAAATGTTTAATTAACTTCTCTGCCTTTCCTGCTCGTACAATGCCCATGGAAGCTTTCATCGGGGCAACTCCGGCGGCAGCGGCAGCGCCACAAACAAACTGGCATTGAGTCTGAGACTTTGGACTGGGAAGTCGTCGGTCGGAGCGCGTTGAATTACACTGTCGCGGGACATTTGGAACAGCGCTTGCCGTTTCGAATGGACATTTGGAATATTTAATGCCACATCAGGCTATTGAGCCAACTAGCCTGTGCATAGCCCGTCGTCGTCATTTGATTGTCAGATGTGCTCAGCCGCATGGCCAACCGCCGAACTCGAACGGGGCGACGGGGACATGATAAATGGCCACTTCGATATCGATGCTCGGGACAGTAGGCGGCTTGAGGAAAGACACTGTGGGGTGTGTACTCCGTAGAAGCAGTCTTCAACTTGACTTGTTTGCTGAAGTCGAGAGCCTGGAGTGAACGAATGTTGGCTAAGCCACGCTCACAAGGCGAGTTGGCATCCACTATTATGCAAGCGTCAGGGCCACGATGCAGCCAAAACGTTGTAATAGAGTGTCCCTGATGAGCGAGGTCCACAAATTTGAAGCCACGACAACCAGCACACAACCGTGTTCCTGTTTGTGCGCTTGCGTCCGAAACCTTGCTCCAGCTGTTCGCTTCCCTCTCAAGTGACAAGGGTCGAGGGCCGAGCTGTGACACTCGTGAGATTCTGAGACAGGTCAAAGCCCAGCTGCAGTAGTGGCGGATAGCGATGTGGTTCAAGCTCATCGTTCTAGTATGTACAACGCGGACAGCGGAACAGGCAAACAGTTGGGGCATTTGATCCATGGCTCGCGGGCGGGCGGTCCGGCCTCAAAGACAGGATGCAGATTGCGATGCGATGCGATGCGATGCAGTGCGTCTTGTGGGTTCCCGGAATCAGGAGCCTGTGCCCATTCGATATTGTGGCGGACATGACAGCATCTGGAAACAACCGAACCCCCAGCCCATTGCACTGGAACGCGCACTGCTCTCAGCTTCACCTCAGCCGTTCCGCTCGTGAGAGGACAAGCTGTGTTGTAGACCATGTCTCACCTAAACGGCAAGTAGATCAAAGTTTTGTCCTAAAAGCAGGGACCGCGGGAAAACACAACAGGCTCGTCAACCACAGGGCCATAGCCAGTGAGAAAAGCCCTAGCGTTTTGAGCCGCCCTGGCGTGAGATCCAGCCACTTTTTCCAGAATCCGGCCTGCCCGGAACTGAGGTGTTAGGCATTGCGAAGCTTGAAGGGGGAAAACAGGGACCTCGGGAAGATCAGACGGTTGGGGCAGAAAATTTGAGTTTGCCGTGGCCGATTGCGATGTAACAGGAGTTGATTAGAATTTGACGACAAGGTTGAATTAGAAAAAAAAAATAGACAATAAAAAGGACGGGGCAATTGACGAAAATGGCTCCCTTGGAGTCTATGACGATACAAACTCAAGTGCTTAAGATAAGGACAAGGCAAAGATCACGGCTACTTCGGAAAGGCGGATGCGTCAATTGACTCTGGCGCCCATTTGCCGTGGTGCGATGGGGGCAAGACGGTGCAGGCGGCGACTATCATTTTGGCAAGAACGAACTACTAGTAGTTGCCCGTTGGCAACTAAGTGGATTAGCCACTTACTCGGTACTCGTTTGGGAAAGAGTAACTTGGGGGTTAGAGATTGTAGGTGGATTGACTTGGTGTACCTAAGTGGCCAAGCAAGTTGAGAGAAGGTCTGCCTTTCACGATGTGCATGGACGATGGCAGAATTGATGCATTGACGTATCGTTGGTAATAGCCGTCGGAGGAGGGCAATCTGGTGGCCAGTCCGAGTCATGGGTCTGCTCTCGGACGCTGACGAAATCTGACGATGCTACTCCGTAGAGTGCCTCCACACGCTTGAGCAGGTACGTGGGTACTTGGATTGATACCCCAGATGTTACGTCAGGCTGTGATGGATCTGAGGATGGAGGCAACTCGCTGGCCTTGGAGCGGAACGCGGCTTCGTTTCATCACTGTGTCCTCGTGTGAAGATAGCCGCCTCAAGTATGTTTCGATAGACGCAGGGGATCTCCGCGTGCAGTCATTACATCATGAGGTAAATTGCTTGCCAGCTGCTCGCATAGTACTATGTGAAACCCCGTCGGCGCCTTCAACGTTCGTGCAGAACACCAACACCTCGCCTCTATTAGTATATCGTGAGGCTAGTGCCAAGCCGTCTCGAAGGCCTCGCCGACCGACCGGGATGATTCTAGAATACCAGTGACATTCGTTATTCCCCGTCTTGGAACGGTGATTCACGTCCGTCCTTATAAGCCGGTCAGATGCAGTCCGGCTTACTGAATAACGCACCACCTCGAGACTTGACAGTTGAAACATTGATATTTTCGTAATACGCCAAATACCAGCACAGCTGGGCTCATGCATGCAGCTTGCCTTTGCCCCCCTCCAAGACAAGGGATGAGGTGATAGACGAGCGCTCCAGGGTGCACCTGAGGTGCGCGAGTCGCAGCGGCCAATCAAACGTGCCGGCTGCCAGGACGCTCCCTGTCACTGGCTGTACCCAACCGGACCGGAGGTGCATGCCAATCACCCCGTACTCACAACTCGAGTGCGGAGTACTACTTGTATGTACGTACTTGACCTTCTCCCAGGACCCACGAGGGTGATACATGTCTTTGGAACGGGCGGTACTTGCCTTCTTTCACAGAGGAGAGGGCGGCAGCCGACGGCCCAGGCGTGAGGGGTTGTTTCAGTCATGTACCCGGCCCAGCGTGCGAATGTACCTGCCGTGGACTGGCGTGCCTCATCTTGGAGGTGCGGTACCCCCGGGGCCACAGTGCCATCACAGTGTGTCGACCCGTCCACTCTCTGTGCCCAGATGGTGCCCCAGACGCAACACATGTGCAGCGCCGCAGTGCACATGCACTTGAGCCCAGTCCAGCCGGCCGGCGGCCCCCTGCAACATCACTTGCAAGTCCGGTCTGGTTTAATTTTGAGACGTTGAGACTGGGCCAGCTGGGTTCAGTGCTGGCCGGTGAACCCCATCCGAGGCCGTCATTGATCCCTCATATCCCTCACGCCCGACCCGCACACTGTCGTATACCCGCAGGCCATATGTATATTAGTTGGATACGCAAAGTGAACGTGTCTGGTTGGAAGAGACCGGACTGGCTGGCGCGGCTCAATCGATGTTCCGTCGCAGAGACACACACCGGCTGACTCGCCCGAAGCCGTTTTTGCAACAGGCGACTACGGCCTACTGGTCTACTGGTCCGAGTACCCGCGCTACCGCGCTGCACCAGTTGACATTGGGGCCTCCCCCAGCCTGCCAACTGCCTGGACGCAGGGTGTGCCAGCCCTTGGCTTTTGCCTCCGCTTCGCCTCTCCTCCTGTCTTTGCCCATATACCCACTTGCACTCCCGGCTCAGTCCCGACATTGAAACTCCAAAGCCTCTCTTTTCACTCTCTCATACGCCCCATCAACCATCGCCGTTGCACGTCTGCATCCGCAACGTCGCGACGTTAAACCGTTGGATGCTTGCCGTCCCTCACCTCGCCTGCCGTGCGATTGATTGATCCCCTCGTTTTCCCTCACTCGTAGAGCGGGCGACTGGACCCCGTCTCTCCTGGCCGCACTACCAGGTGCCGTTTCTCCTCTCGTCTGGTGTACGCCGCAGACGCCGGACTAAACCTTGGGATTCGCCCGCTTCTTGCAACCGCCGGAAATAGGACCTGGGGTGCCTTGAAGGAAACCCCTCGGTTGGCCTTGTTTGTCGGCTTATATACTCCATGCCGCACTAGAATCCCGTCCCTTTGCGCAGACGTTCGAGATTGCCCTCGGCCGACTCTTCGCTCAATCGTCACCATGGCTGTCATCGACCAGATACTGGGCGAGGCTGCGCTCCTCGTTGCAAGACAAGTGTCGGATGTTCCAACCGCAACACCGTCACCGACCGAATCACCAACGTCCAGCGTTACCCCTCCAGCTACCACTTCGCCTGCCAAGAACGACAATTCAGGTAATGGAGGATCTAGTTCGCCCCTCCTCTTCTTCGTTGCCCTTGGCTTTGGTGTGGTCTTTACAAATCTTTGGTAAGAAGTTTCCGGAGCTGGCGAAATGGCGTACAATATCTGTCGTTTTTTTTTGTTTCCTTGCTACCAATTCACACTCTGTCTGGGTAACGCTGGAGCGTCTTACAAGATGGCCTGTGCTTACATTACCTCAGGATCATCGTTGGTGTCAAGTATTGCTTCCGATACAACGCTCGCAACCGAGCCAGAGTGACCAACGAAGAGGGAGAACCCATCACTCTCGAGACCGTCCACCGGCCGCGCAGACGTCGCGAGAAGAAACTGATGACTATGGACGAAGTAAACGAGAAATTCCCCATGATGAAGTACAAAACCTGGGTATCAGAACGGGCCAGGGAGGGTTTGCCGACTGCCGGAGGTGTCTCTGTCCCGCCAAGCCGAGCAAATAGTATCCGTGATGCCGACGGTGTTCTCCCCGATGTCGCAATTGTTAAAAGCCACGTCTCGACCGAAGCTCATACTATTGATGAGTCTGAATTTGCTACAGCCGCCGACGTGAACAAGCGAGACGACGAGAAGAAGGCCAAACCCGAGTCAGAACAGGCTGGCGAGACGGCACAGACCTCCAGCGCACAAGAAGACGGGCCTGTTCCGCTTCGTAGAATGTCTACTGAAGAAGACGATGACGAGCACATTGACGCTGCCTTACCGCCTGAATGTCTGACGGCGCCTGGTGATTCATGTGCTATTTGTATTGATACTCTGGAAGACGATGACGACGTCAGAGGGCTTACTTGTGGCCACGCTTTCCATGCTGTTTGTGTCGATCCTTGGCTGACCAGCAGGCGAGCCTGCTGCCCTCTTTGCAAGGCTGATTATTACACGCCGAAGCCTCGCCCCAATCAGGAAGGCGATGCCAGTGCCAACAATGGCAATGGCCTAGATCCTCGAAACAACACCCGCCTCAACCTGCCAAGCGGTCTGCGGTCGGCTTGGTTCCGCAGCAGTACTGGATCATCTCGAGACACTTCTTTTATGCGTGGCGGCCGTGACGGCAGATCACGGGGCAGATCATCCCGGACACAATCGAGCCCGCAGGAGCGCGGCACAACCACCACAACGCCCGCCGAATCTAACCGTGGCGGCATATTATCATCCATCCGCTCGGCCTTGCCATTTGGTCGGCAAAGGAATCAGCAGTCTGCGACATCTCCCGCAACCACCACAAATGTAACACCGGCGCAACTAGAATCTGGCACTCGTCAAGCTGCTAGCTAGTGATGCGGACTGGGTGTCTTACTGGGTGTCATACTGGGTTTACTAACATGGAGCATTTCGTGCCCACACGATTAGGAAAAATTGGCCACCCCGATTACACATATATCACATTTGGCGCCCTTGGGACAAATTGATAATTACGGCTTTCAAAGCAATGTTGTTTGGTATTTCGTATGGTTCCACAATACTGCGTACCATACTACGCAAGCCGCGGCGACCTGTTCCTAACTGTGTATACGGTTTTCTTTTGTAGCCTCTTCCGGGAAACTGACTACTAGCTTTGTTAGCTACGCGAGGGGGAGTTTGGGAAGAATTTCATGGACGAGCCTCCAATGATGTGACGCAGTATTTTTCGTTGAGATGAACGATGGTGGAATGTCTCGACTGGTTGAGAGAGATGGCCGTATCTTGTTGCATGACGGCGCTGGGATCACATGGACTCTTTATTTAATTGTTTATTGGAGCGGCGGAGTTGGTCGGTTATATATGGCATATTTGGTGGCTGTACATGGTCAATAGCAGTAAATGTTAGAGTATACTTTTTTTTTTGGGTCTGTAATGTATCTTGGGTGAAGTACTCATCAATCCCTCAGGATTGGCTATTCTGGCGGTTTCCGCCACTGACCCAGTCAGTGTACATTGTTCCCGGCTCATGTAACTCGTCAAATAGTATCCAGCACGTCGTGTCGTCGGTCCCGTAACCCATTTGTATAAATACAGCTGAATATTATAAAAAGGAACCCTTTTGAAACCTGCCCCCGAAATTGGCACTCTTGTTTATCAACTCCCTCCTCGCCTTCTCGCCTATCTTGCCCCCGACAGCCATGTCCTTTTCCCGATCAAACGCCCTCTTGCTGGGGTCGTCGTCGTCGTCGTTGTCGTGCGCCGCTCGGCCGTTCTTAGCGCCGTCATCCCTTCTTTTGCGCGAGTGCTCGTCGTACAGGCTCTTGCCGCGGTGGGCATCTATCGTCGCGGCGATTTTGCGGTCACGCTCCTCCTGGTGCTTGGTGCGCTGGGAGGCACTGCCTCCGTCGGCGCTTGCTTCCGCTGTGCGGCCTAGCAGCGCGTCTCTTTGGCGCTTGAGCTTCTCCTCTGGCGTCTCTGTCCATATTGATGACGGGCCCGAGGATGTGGTTGCTGGCTTGGATGTGAATTTGCGGTTGCGCATGCGCGTCGGGTCGCGCTCCGTGTAGCCACTTGAGGAGGGGGGCGCGAGCATCCATGAGTCTCTTTGGGGGGCTGGGTCTGTTGCCGGCAGGCTGGGGCCGATGGTTGGCCGTTTGGAGGTTGCTGTTGGGAGGCTTGGGCCGTAGGAGTCTGAGTCGGAGGAGTCTGAGTCTGCGGGGAGGGAGGTCGAGTCTGGTTTTGCGGGAGGGCAGGGCTTGGTTGGGGCTGTGGTTGTTGATGGCGGCGCGGGGGGGCCGAAGGACAAGTCGGAGTCGGAGTCGGAGAGGTCGATCTCGTCGGCGTTGTTGCTGGCGCGGGCTTGTTTTGCGGGTGGCAATGAGGTGTGCTTGGGCGGTGAGGAGGACCGTTTGCGCTTGGGTGGTGAGGTAGGTAGTTGGGGGCCTATGGAGGGCATTTTTATGGGCGGGAGGTTTGAGTTGGGGGAGATGTAGGTTCGGTGGTGATGGAGTTGTAAGTTGTAAGTAGAGGTTGTATGAGGTTGAGGTTGCTGAATAGAGTTGTGGGTCTGTGGATCCCCAGGACCTATTATAAGCCGCGAGTACTCCGTATGAAGGAGAACTATAAACTTTAAGTGAGTAACATGAATGAGCTACCAGACCTGACTTTATATTTTGTCATGAACCCTGTGGTGGTTAATTAAGAGGAAGGTGTCCAAATCCCACGCCGAGAAGCATAGTCGCACCGAGCGACCAATTAACAACGCCTACGGAGTACTCCATACAATGGCGAGCTTTCAATGTTGCTTTCGTCGCGTAGCCCCAGCACAGTGGGCCAATCAGTCAAGTGCGGACCAGGGCTGGGGACTGGATCTTGAACGTGTGGGCGGACTAGTGCCCCTCGAGGGAGCATTCATTCACTTCATTTCTTCACCACCTATTATACTTTATTATTCCTGGCCATGAAGTGTTTTAAAATATCAAAGCCGGAGAGGCCGGATGGGATGACAAGGTACGGTCTCGGTTATTGAGCCGCTGTTTCCCGAACGACCAGCCTGCTTGTTCAAGCATTCCCAAAAAATGCTGGACTCCGCAATATGCCTCTTCAAGTGAGGTTTTAAATGACATGAGCGCAGTCGAGCGTGAACACAGTATGGGATCCGTGAATAAGCAGGAAAATGGTCATGTGCGGTTGACAGCTGTGAATGTAAGTGACCAAGTGAAATATTGACTTGCATATATATGATCAATCTTATTGTGGTTGGAAGGCCAAGGCCTGCCAATACATACGCCCAACAAACAAACCTGAAGGCATGGTCCAAATTCGGGCCGTACACGAATAGAGAACTCAGGGCAACTTAGTTGGAGCCGCAAGTGAGCTCACTGAGCGGCGGTGCAAAGCATCGTGATTCCGGTTTTATAACAGCTGGCATCTCTAGTTTCAATCTAAGCTGCACGAGTGTCAACATCAATGTTTCAACAGCCTCCATTCCAATTCAACGAGCCCACAGCTTCATAACCATGTGAACATATCCTCAATCAAGTACCGTCCTCCATTGTTAAATTCGGCTCACAACTAGCTACCCTCGTGATTCCTCAACTCGTGTTGGCTGTAGCTATCCATTCGGATGCCTGATCAGAGCCAAAATTCCAGCCATCTCTAGCAAGCCTCCTTATAAAGCTTTTCGACCAAGAGCATGTCCTTGTTGATACTGTCAAAAGCATCTCGACTCTGGGTATCCGTCATCACAGGGAGACATGCCGTGCTTAATGCCAAAAAGGCGGCCTTAAGCTCCTCTATCGCAGCAACGACCATTGGCTTGACAGATGGTTGAGACATGTAAACTTTGTGCTTGACTTCAATAGCGATTTTGAGATATGCATCTATGATCTTACAAAGAGCTTGAGCTGCTTGCTGTCTCTCTTTGACTGTAGCGGCGTCGGGGGGGCTGATCGTGACGGGGGGTTTAACAGTAGTAAGTGCTTTGGTAATGGCATCCGCCTCGGAGACGAGGGGTACGCAGCTCTCATAATCACCTGGCCAAGCTGTAATGCCTTGATTGAGCTTGTCGTAGTCGTGCGCAATGATATTCAGAGAAGCTGCCAATCGGTCAGCCGCGAAGACGGAAGCCGCAAGAGTGACGAGGCATAGTAGCTTGAGCTGCATATTGCGGAAATGGAGTTGGTGCGTGTTGTATGTGTTTTGGTACGAGTGTATAGTTGTGTTATAGAAAGATTGGATAAAGACTCATACGTACGGGAAGTTTGAGCTCTTTTATATTTCTGAAATTACCCCAAGTTCTGGTTGAGTACACAGAGCTGAACTTGATGACTTGATGATCTCCTTGTCATATGTGCCCATAGTGCCTCGCATAGACGTCGTCGCATGACTGTCTTACTTGCTGTTTGTTTCAGACACCGCATGCTGGGCGGGAAAACAAGCCACCACAGGACGTACGTAGTTGGCAATAGGCTCTGTTAGCCTATAAATGTGTCGGCATATTTTGTTCTAGGCCGTTCGGTACAAGAGGTGCTGGTAACGCGAGTCGTACAACACATGAAGTGACACATGATGGAGGGGACGAAATCGTGATGCTTATTTGGACTCCTCCGTTGATTGAGCTTTAACGTATTAGTTAGAACCACTAGTCGCACAGTTAGATATACGTAAAATACGATGCGTACAGCCAGCTTGAACCTCTAAGGAAGGCACTGCTCGTTGTTTTGTCTCAATGACGGACTAGCTACTGCTCCTCACTTTACGTTGGTTTAGCCGTTGTTACCCAGAGTATTTGTTCTCTGACTTGGAGTGCTTTGCCAGATGAGAAAGCCGGTCAAAGCCATGCAAGAGAGTGAGTCAAATGAACCGCTGCCATCACAGCAGTCCATTTCTTTGTTTGCCGCTTCCCAAGCCACTCTCACATGGCCTGTTCGTTGCAGAAAAGGCTGAGACGCTCAATTTTGTCTCAGAGTCTCGGCCCTCTGGCAAATAATTTGTCTTGATTCAACCATGTTATCAAGTTGAAATATTGATACCTAGCAGTATCAGACATAGACTTGCTAGTTAGTATTAGTTACGCAAACTTTATAGTAAAAAGCTGTGGACTTTCCTTGAACTAACAGTTTAGCGTATCCAAATACGTCAAGTATATTCTGTAGTCTATATTCCCTATCTTCATCTATTACTTGACAATGAGCCGCGGGATAATCACGCCACGGGGCGGTTTGGCTTATCCACATTGAGCCAAGACGACATAATTTGAGGAGTATCACATGAGGTTTTGTTTTTGCCTAGATACTACCCTTGTCTCGGGCTGGATTCTCGCCGGTCAGATAAGTGCGGCCAATTGGGCGATGTCGTCCAGCCGATACCGCATTACAATACGGAGTAGGCAGCACTCTTGCCGTCGGGACTTGGAAATGCATACTAGTAGGAAGCTCGGCATAGAACATGCGTATTATTAACGAGAGAAATCATGGGCTCGCGAATCACCGTCTAGGTTGCATTGCTCCAAGACACATGCATGTTTCACTCCAGCTATGGAAGGCTCGATAAGGATATAACAACGTCTCCACGGAGCACCGAGAGCTAGGATTCTAGTATACTATGTACAGTCTATAATATTGCGTTAGCCGTTGGCATCCAGGTTCCAGGTCAAACTGACGTCTTATCCTTACAAATTTACAATACAACCCCTTGAAAAACTCACTATAGGCTTTGGGGGATGAGCGTTTCCACATGCGAGTGAACTATCAATCCATAATTGATTCCTCACTCCGTAATTCCCAGCAAAATACCCGTCTAGCAAAGGCACTCTAAGCACCCTAGCCCGCCGCCTTCAACGGCTATCCGGCCCTCATCCTTAAGTTAAAAAACATCAAGTGGAAAAGAAATCCACTTGGTTGCCAACGGGTACACGGCTTATGGAGAAGTTTATGAGACACTGTCTCTGCCGAGTGTCCTTGTAGCCGTGACTAGCAGAATGAAAAGCCACTATCTCAGAGTATTGGCTGTATGCCGGTCCATGTCTCTGAAATTCGGGGGAGTTGGCGGGCCTCCTGCCGCTTATTGTAACATCTTGTTTCAATTGAGACCAATCTTATTCGCCTTCTGTCGGTTTAATCCCCTGAATACCTTGATACCATTCTTCGACACAATTTCCATCACATTGTGCCGGCTTTTAGTTGTCTGTCTCGGTATGTGAAGAGGAGATGGGACCGATGAGTCAATACCACTCTGGCTGGATAGGCCAGGACCGAAACTTCAGTACAACCCCAAGACAGTGGTGCCTGTCATTTATAGAAAGTTTGAAGGCATATGGCCTAATATGAATAGAGACGTGTTCGTCCATTTGTACGGAGTAATATAACTCACTATGCTGACCGTTTACGGAGTACCCCGTAGCTGGCGAAGAATTGAGTCCTACTTGAGAAAAAGCTGCCATTTTGTTCAAACTTCGGGGAGGGGTACTGAGTTGCATTCATGCAATCGATGCCTGATAAATCAACGATCGACCCCCCGTGGGCTTCATCATTATCCCTAGCCTGAAGCCAGAACCGTGCAGCTATTCCCAGTTCGCTATCAAGTTGCTCGAGCCGGGTACAAGCGCAGAGGTCAAAACCGCAGAGAAAGTTGGGTAGGGAGTGCTTCTTCATGGACATGGCTAGCCCTGACGGATAAATACCTACAGCCCCATGTCACGACGGGTATTGGATTGAACCGTTGAGCCACGGAGCAAATAGACGCAGCAATAGCCGCCCTTGACGAATGCCCCGATACCCAGCTTCCAAGTATGCCCTTATGGTCCCGATGTTGCAGAACCAAACATCAATGGCGGGAATTAGTTTTGGCGTTGGAAAATTTATGCATGTAATGCCGCAGCTTAGGGTCATGCTGTTATCCTGACTTTGAACCTGCAAGCGAAATGCGCCGATTATTGTATAATATATGCTAAGCAAAATACTACTTATAGATCAGTATATCACTCCACAATGACGAAAAGCTAGCAGACCGTGTTCATTCTTTTTGCTGCTCTTTTTTTCGAACCACCAATCTTGCTAGCTTCTGACGCATCGTGATGCGTTCATGGTGTATGACGCAATATCACGAGAATTCAGCCCGTCTACCATCAAAGCAGCCATGATGACATTGGCGGACCTACTAAGGAAGTAGTCAGACTCTGATGAGCGTTGGGAAACAGGACAAAGAAACAAGAGGCCAAAGAGTGGAAAATGGAATCTTGTCGTTTGCGACCACCGCTGCACTTGTGAACGCATGCGGGGGGTGTTGGCCGTGCATAACGTTGACATGACACAGCGGCAGGAACCACCAACGGAACATTTGAAACGTTATTCGATGCAAGGTCCAGGCGGCCGTTGGCTGCACGCTTGCGCCGGGAAATCCCCGGCCCGCTGGGGGCCCCCTGAAGCTCCCAAGTGACCCAACCGCCCGCCAGTTACGTCCCGCCCACATGTCTCCAAGGCTGGAGGCTGGAGACTGGAGCTGCCATCAGCAACACAACGCCATGCCTCTCGTACATACACATTCAGTTGCAAAGCAGACACGGCACGACCTGACACCCTGACCTGCCACTCTGGAATTCTCTATTGCAGCTTCACCCGTGCTCTGCGAACCAAATTACTGCCCCGCGAAGCAGTCCGCACCGATCTCCGATCCTAAGAGTAAAGCTCCAGCCTGTCGCAAACCCAAACCATGTGATGGAAACCACACTACAATGTCCGATCCAGAAGTCACATCTCCCCTTGGAGACAGCAACTCCAGTGGCGAGCAGGAAACAGCGCCTGGGCACGATGTAGACTCTGATACCCCCCACCTCGAGGAGCAGGAGATGGGCAATGGCACCGAGTTGCACCATGTCGACCACCGCCGAGACCTGCTGGAGAGTGAGGCAAATGCTTCCGAGGTGAGCTCGATTGATGCGAGTTTGGTAGACTCGCTGCCACGGCGAGCTGGCAGTCCCGTCGACTCTGTTACCTCCGGTCGGAGAGGTTCCATCCAGGTACGCGAAGCTGCATAGTTTTGATCCTTCATTTAGCACTTGGCTAACATTGTAAAAGGGCTCGTTTATGTCGTCACCAGGCAGTAGTGTTCTACCTTCAGTAGCTTCAAGAGCCGGCCTGAGTAGCCCATCGCCATCATTCAGGCCGTTCGATCGTCGATTTCAATCCCGCATATCCTCGTCCTCGTCCAACACACCACGCCCATTGTCGCCTGCCTTCCTATCACCGCACAGTCGAAACGCCTCTCTTAGCTCCAACTTTTTCCTAGATCAAAACGAAACCGATACGCCGTCGCCGCCGTGGGAAGTTGTACGATGGACCAGATTACGGAAAATGAATGCCCAAGCATTCTCAGAGGCTGGTCGTCGGAACTTTGGATCCCCGACTTCACTGGCGGTATCCGCGTCCATAGTTTTGGGCACCTCTAAGGGTATAATACTAATATTTGATTTTAATCAAAATCTTAAAATGATAATAGGGCCGGGAACCAAAGGTACGCTCTTCTTTGCGTTGCTCAATATTGACGTCACATCTCTGATAACAACTAGCTGTCGAGTCTGGGGCAATCACGGCTATCGCGATATCAGCGGATCACACCACTGTTGCTGGAGGGCATGCTAATGGAAATATCTTTACCTGGGATACCGGAAGAGCATCACGGCCGTTTCTCTCCATCCCACACTTGGATGAGACACAAGCGGAAAACAGGACAACTGACGGACACGTTCCCAATGCAGCCGTGGTACACCTTGGCTTTCTTGGTACAAGGCACACAGCTCTCGTGTCAGCGGATGACCGTGGAATGGCCTTCTCGCATCTCGCAACCCGAGGCACCGGCGCGCTCGGCCGAACAGTGAAAACTACCCGAATCTTGGGCCGCTATCCGAATGCCCCTGCACCTGCCGGGAAATCGATCAAGCCCAGTACCGTGCTCGGTTTTGCTCCCTTGCCTCTTGGAAACGTCGAGCAAGCGACAGATAGCATGGGACTTACGGCTATACTTACGCCATACCTTCTCGTGGTTGTTTCGACTACCCCTGTTGCCCAGACGCAACACAAGTCAGCTCGACCAAAGGATGTTCCAGCACATAGCGCCATGGCCGGCTGCCTTGCATGGTTCCCTGCTGTAAAGCTAAAAACTCCCGATACCCACACTCGGAGCGATATTTCCAGGGTAAAACTTGTCTACTGTTGGTCAAACGTATTGACTATTCTTGATGTTGAAGAGATGTACGGAGAGGATGCAGATCAGCCTCCTTCGCTAAAGTTCAAGGCACGAAGCAGATGGAAGTGTGAAGAGGCCATCGCCGCGGTGCAGTGGCTAGGTCGATCTGTTTTGGCTGTGCTGACCATCTCCCAACGTCTCATCATACTGGAGGACAGGAGCATGCGCATGACCGAGGCGTTTGACTTGTTACAGAAACACATATATCATAAGGATCTTTTTTCGAAACAACTTCACACTCTTGTGGAACAACTGGATGAGGAGGATACAACTATGCATGGAGTGGTGGCTGATGCCTTTTATATGAGCTTCAAAGCCTACAAGGGGCGGATGTTTGTGCTTGGCTTCAACGAAGTTTCTATAGGGGCTCTGTCGAACTGGGCCGACCGTCTCATTGCCATGATGGAGAATGGAGACTACATCGGCGCAATCAAGTTGGCGACTTCTTATTATACTGGTGACGCCGATAAACTTACGGTTGGCCTTCCAGAGGACGCAGCACTGCGACATGTGATGGTCCAAGACAAGATAATGGAGATAATGTCAGCTTCCCTGAAATACGTCTTCGCCCAACGGCAAACACAGGGTAAGCAAGATGACGATGCAGATCATTTGAGAGAGCTGGCAGAGACGTGTTTCGCAGCGTCTCAAGCTATTGAGGCTTCAGATTTCTTATTTGAAGACATGTACGAATGGTACAGCGACGGGGATGTTGGCGGAATCTTCCTGGAGACACTTGAACCCTACATCTTGGAGGGAACAATCACGGTCGTTCCGCCGACGGTTGTTAAAGATATGGTTAGTCATTACGTTACCAAGGGGTGGGAAGGCCGACTCGAAGAAATGATATGCCATATGCAAACGGCAACTTTGGACCTTGATCAGATCACAGTGCTGTGTAAGCAGCACGGTCTGTATGATGCCTTGACTTATGTTTGGAACCAAGCGCTCAATGATTACATCACGCCAATGATCGACCTACTGGGCCTCTTAGTGCCGCTAGTGACGAATGGAACAAACAATGGCATAATCGAAGACGATTATTTCAGCGTCAATGCTCTGAAAATATTTCCATATCTCTCATATACACTCACGGGCAGAGTGTATCCTAATGGGGAATTGATGGATGAGGAAACGGCGGACAAAGCCAAGGCAGAAATTTATTGGTTTTTCTTTTCTGGCACAACAATCGAATGGCCCAGAGGAAGTAAGAAAGAATTCATCACACGACCTGGTGACGAGTCGGAGCCTGCTTTCCCTTACCTGAGAATGATTCTCAAATTTGACGCGCCAAGCTTTCTTAGCGCCCTCAATGAAGCCTTTGAGGACTCCTTCTTGAACGATTCTCCAGAGAATCAAGTTAACGGTGGATCACGCATGGATATGCCTGAGGAGCAGATTTTCGGTACGACAATCAATCGTCAGTACGTGGTGTCGATTCTGCTTGATGTGATGAACCCAGATGAGTTCGCTCCGGAAGATACCATCTATCTCGACATGTTCATCGCTCGAAATCTGCCAAAATTTCAACAGTATCTACTGTTCTCTGGCTCTACCCTTTCAAAAGTCCTCACAGGGCTTTGTGCTTATCCCGGCGACGATCTTGCAGAGGATGCACAGCTGAGCGCCGAATATCTGCTTTCTGTTTATCAACCGCCAGATATGCCATCGTTCATGCTCCAGTTCAAGAAGGCCGGCTTTTACCGAATTCTCAAGCGCGTGTTTCGTACGGAGAAACAGTATGGGAAGTTGATTGCCACCTATTTTGAGGACCACGACGACCGAGAGTCTGTATTTGAATGCATTGCACAATGTCTTCGCCCGCAGAAGGGACTCGACGTTCGACAGGCAGAGGAGGTACAGCAAGTTATCGAGCAGCACGCGAGAGACTTGCTTGAAATTAGTCCCGAGCAAACCGCCCAGACGCTTGCGAGACAACCAACCGCGGTCCACAGGCATATAATTGATTCTGTCGCAGACGATGCAGCATTGCAGCATGCATATTTGAGAGCACTCATAGAGCCAAGAAAATCAGGCGATGATGAAGGCGACATCAAGGACCAGGAGCTTACCGAGCGTTATGTACAGCTCATGTGTAAATTCAACCCATCGCACGTTTCTGATTTTGTTGAAGCCATGCGTCCAACCGATCTGCGTCTCGAGAAACTGCTTCCAACTATGGAGGAAAACGGTGTTGTTGACGCAGCAGTCGTTCTGATGGCTCGCGATGGCCAAGTTAATCAAGCAATGGATCGGCTGATCAAGCACTTATTCACGTTGGAATCAGCACTACAGGGCCTTCTGACCGAAGCCAATGACTCCGCGGATGATGTGGATGTTGACACGTCAACAGTGGAGATGCTTGGAAGTTTGCAAAAGTATGTCCATGTTGGTATTTGGCTCTGTCAAGGCCAGACAAAGACATCAAAGAAAGTGAATGCCGTCAAAAAGGGAAAGACTCTTGCCAAAGACAGCTTATCTGAAGATGAAGCATTGTGGCTTGGTTTGATTGACGCATGTGTACAAATCACGAAACGACTGTCTCCGATTATTCTTGAGCAGGCTCAGAGCTCAGTTTTGAAGGATGACAAGGCGTTGGCGCTTCTTCGTTCGCTGGTTCAACACACGTTCACGTCACTGCTCACAGCGACCTCTAGTCCAATCCGCGTTCAAACCGGGTCGAATTTGTTGTCGAATGCAGGCAATAATCTCTCTTTTTTAAAAATACTGAGGGCGTTCCTTGCTAATGCAGCAGCATCATCACCAAACCTAGCGGATCTTCGGAGTGTGTTGTCATCAATTTTTGCAGCGTATGCATATGAAGAGTCAATTTTACGGCTGTCGAACAGGCTCCTGGAGCGAAACCTGTTTGTAAACGTGAACCAGTCGGTACAGTTGAGACAGCGCGGGTGGCGACCTCGAGGCTCAACGTGCGAAGCTTGCGGCCGCCGAGTTTGGGGTCCTGGGGTGGCCGGCGGCTCTGTTTTCGAGGCTTGGGAGGACAATCAGGCAGTGGAAGATGATTTACGAAAGCAGAGAAAGATACGTATTGCAGAGAAGGCCAAAGGCAAAGTGGGCGAGTCGGATGGCAAGGACAAGGGAAAGAGTCTGGCAGTCCGGCCATCCAGCATGCTCATCGAGTCGGACACAGCGGTGGCAGGCAAAGAGGCTCCCCTTGGACGGCTTGTTGTTCTAGCCTGCCGGCACATCTATCACCAGAGCTGTCTGGAAGCATTGCAGGAGAAGCAGGAGAATGGAGTTGGTGGACGGGAGCGCGAGTACAAGTGTCCCATTGACGGGTGAAGAATCATGAATGTAACATAGATGCATGACGGCGACGTAGCGATGCATTTGCTGACCATTTTGGATGAAACTTTGCGGCACAATTATATTTTATCAATAATGTTTGTTTTCTCACTGATTATGAATGCCTCTGTGTATGTGAGCGAGTTGCTCTTGGGCAACCGAGTGACTTGGCCAACTCGACGGACGAATCCAAGATTCATTCCCCACATTCTTCGACTTGCAAACATCGATGCAGCGCCTCGACCACGGCACCCTCCTCGACAGAAACAAAACACACGCAGCACGGCGCAGTTGCGCCAGTTGCGCCAACTAGGCCCGCCATGGCCATGTCCATCTCATCCGGCGAAGACGAAGATTACCTTTCCGACGGCCTCTCATCCGGCTCCAGCTCCGACCGCGACTCTCCCCCCCGGCCTCTCTCCCAAATCTACTTTGCTCCCCCCTTCTACGGCCGGCCGCCAACGCCTCTGCCTCCCTCGCCATCACTCACGTCCCTCCTCAGGCCGTCCCGGCCAACGACTCCGGACCCGTCCGACGATGAAAACATTGCGCCCGTGCCCCGGGCGGCGCCCAAGGTCCCCACGTACGAATACTACGGCTTCGTCCTGTACCTCTTCAGCAGCCTCACGTTCCTCATGTACCTGCTCTGGGCGTACGTTCCCGCGCCGTTCCTGCACGCCCTGGGGATCAAGTACTACCCCGACCGGTGGTGGGCGCTGGCGGTGCCGGCCTTCCTGGTCATGACGCTGGGATACATATACGTGGCGCTGGCGGCGTACAATACGGAGATTCTGACGGTGCCCATGAGCAGCGTGGAGACGATTGTCGACGGCGCGGGCAAGCCGGCGGTGATTGATTCCAAGGGCAGGATCAGGGGGAGCGGCAAGAGGGAGAGGAAGTGTGATGCCAGCGGGAGGTTGAGGTGGAGGGAGATTTGGAATGAGGGGACGGATGCGGTGATGGATATCCCGCTGGCGGGTGTGTGCGAGATTTTATACGGCGAGGGGAGGGAGGATTTTGATCAAGAGCATTGATTGATTGGTTTTGCATTGGGAGCGGATATGAGGCCACCGGTGACGTTTGCTCTGGCGTTTGGGTGTTTTGAGAATGGCTGCGGCTCTGGAGAATAGCGGACTGCACACTACTCTACGAATCATATGGCTTGAGGCGCAATGATAGCATAGGCGTCGTGATAATACTCGTGCAGACACAAACTCTGGGGCCGAGGGAAATTACCAAAATGTCTACTCGTTGGCAACTATGTAGTCGCTGACGAATAGTTCTTACACGGAGTGCTCATGGCCTCAATTGCCAGCCAAGTGGTGACCTCTGGAGTCTGGACCCACACCCCACCACAGCCTTGCAGCAAGGCTATAAATATGCAGTCACAAAATTTCGTGCTCAACTCCAAAAAAGTTCGTACACTTGACCTCAAAAGGCCATCCACGCATTTTGTCGCACCACCACCGCTCATTGAGCCATATTTCTCGCTCGGGTGCACAGCCGCCATGGATATCCTCAAAACCTCGTCCCGCGGGACTAAAAAGACTTCCAAGGGCTCCGGGCTCAATGCCGGCAACGCTCAGCTCCCCTCTGCGGGCACCAAGACCAACCCTCAGCTATACCACGATGAAATCCGTGGCATGAAAAAAAGGAAACGTGGCGTCGTGCAGGCCGAGAACCCGGTGCCTGCAGAACTTCCTGTTGTCGACTTCTTCGCGCCCAAGCCAGAAGCCACAGAGAATCAAAAGGCTGAAACCAAAAAGAGCCGGCGAGAACCTAGTCCGCCGCCTGTGGCTGCCAAAACATTGACCGAGGACGAATGCCGACAACTTTTGCGATCGCATCGCCTCAAGATTACACTGCTCTCAAAGCACGAAGAGCAGAACAAGGTGAAGAAGTCAAAGAAGAAGAAGAAGAAGAAGACGGTCATCGAGGGAAAAAAGGACGACAAGAAGCAGTTATTTCCTCAGCCCCTGGAGTCCTTTGGCCACCTTCGCACTACATATGGGATATCCCGTCAAATTGCGGAGAATCTTGTTCAGCAGAGCTATCGTCTTCCTACAGAAGTGCAAATGGGTAGTCTCCCATTACTCCTTCGCCCCGAAGTTGCCCTCGGCAACGAGGAGAACTTGGATCATGGTGTTGATTTCCTGGCCGTTGCGCCCACGGGTAGCGGCAAGACAGTCAGCTTTCTCATCCCCACAATCAACAGCATCATACGGAGACGAGCGCAAGCAGACATACAGGGTGTCCATGAGCTCGAGGCTGTAATTGTCGCACCGACAAGAGAGTTGGTTCATCAGATTGTCAATGAGGGAAGAAAGCTTGTGCAAGGAACCCGTGTTAAGATTGTGGCTATGAGGAAGACTACACAACTCTCTGCAGAGGAGCAGGTCCTGGCAGACGATAGCTCGGATGACGAGCTCGATGGGGAAGACGACGAGGAGTCAGAGTCCGACGATGATAAGAAGCACAGGACGGGAAGATCCAAACCCCATCCTCTTACAAAGACTGACATCTTGGTTACAACGCCAGCATTGCTACTAAACTTTTTGACGGCTGGACCTAGCGGCGCGCAAAAGGTTTTGCCGACAGTCAGGGAGCTTGTTCTTGACGAGGCAGACGTTCTCCTGGACCCGTTGTTCAGAGAGAAAACGCTGAGTCTGTGGACGGCTTGCACCAACTCCGGACTTCGACTGTCATTCTGGTCTGCGACGATGGGCTCAAACATTGAAGCTCTAGTCACCGAAAAGTTGAAGGACAGGACAGAAGCCCTGGGTATTTCACCAAAGCCCTTTATCCGTCTCGTAGTGGGCTTGAAGGACACCGCTGTGCCAAATGTCGTGCACAAGCTCACGTACGCGGCCAGTGAGCAGGGCAAGCTCCTTGCCCTGCGGCAACTTCTACACCCAGCGGGCAGCGACGGCTCCGACCAGCCACTACGGCCTCCATTCCTGGTCTTCACGCAAACAATCGACAGAGCCATGGCCCTCCACGAAGAACTCAAGTACGACATCCCCCTGGAAGCCGGCGGCCCGTCCAGAATCGCAGCCCTACACAGCGCCCTCGCCGACTCGGCCCGGTCATCCATCATGCGCAAGTTCCGCGCGGGGGAAATCTGGGTCCTCATCACCACCGACGTCCTGGCCCGCGGTGTGGACTTTGCCGGCGTCAACGGCGTGGTCAACTACGACGTCCCCGGCTCGGCAGCCGCCTACGTCCACCGTGCCGGACGAACCGGACGGGCTGGTCGCGCGGGCGGCATCGCCGTAACGCTCTACACGAAGGAAGACATCCCGTTCGTCAAGACGGTGGCCAACGTCATCGCCGTGAGCGACAAGCAGGCTGGCAGGACGGGCGACCAGGCAGGCGTGCAGAAATGGCTGCTGGACGCGCTGCCGAATGTGGGCAAGGACGACAGAAAGAAGCTCAAGCAGAGGGGCGTCGAGTCGCGGAGGAGTGGGAGCGGGAGCAAGGCCAAGATTACCTCGAAAAGCGGCTATGAGCGGAGGAAAGAGCATAACAGACGGGGGGCGATGGATGCGAATAAGAGGCGGCGCGTGGACGGCGGTGCTCGAGACGACGCTGAATGGGACGGGCTCGGGGATTAGATTGTGCTTCGCGACACGACCGTTGCGGGATGAGCGTGTGTTGCATCTGCAAGTCTATCAAGAGGCATGTGTTCAACTCGCACCGACAAGCAACAAGCTCCGAATAGCAGCCGTGATAATATCATGTTTTCTCCGTACCAAGCACTAATCGCCCACCACATGTCACCTAGTCAGTCCTACGTACGGCTATGTTCCGGTCCATTTCATATCGGCCTGCAAACTATTGGCCCTGGTCTGGTACGATAGTAATATACCCATATTTGATACCTCTTACAGTGCTGCCCTGTGCATTCCTTGTAAAATAAAACAGGCCCGTTATGAGCACAATAGCGGACCGGTGTGGCTGGCACGTAATTACGCTGCGCCGCGCAATATTAACAGGAGGAGGCATTCATTACCCCGATGCTCTTGGCAGGTCCACCTTGAGCTTGACGATCTCTTTCCGAGGGAGATGAGATTGGGGGTTTTAAAAGTGACGAGACTTGGCAGAGCTCTTGGCCGTGAAAGAGGCGGAGGGTCAGAAACGCCATGGCATTTAATAACGAGCCAATATAACTAGAATTCGTCGGGGGAAAGCCAAGTTGGGCATCGGCCCTGAGTGATTTGGCTTGCGTCGATGCTAAAGTGGAATTCTCCTTGCGTTATCTACTAGACTTCAAATTCGCACAAGTTTCACCCCTTCGTAGTTCACCAAGCGCTTTGGCCGCAGTATACGTCCATGAATATCCACGCTAGGAGTCTTGATGTTTCATTCACCACTGCCTCATATGCTCCGTCTACGCCGTTGAATCCACTGTCTCGGGCCATTATACTGTCGGCTATCAATAACCTTTCACTGATCTGCATGTCCGCTGAATGCCGTGTCTAATAGTCTCCTGTCCAATGGAGCCATGGCACAAATCTATTTTATGACAGCGCATTAGCATTTGTCAACTTGGCATTGTGCTTCCTAAACAGCCTGTCGTAAGTCTCAACTTTTTGTCAGTGACAGAGACTGTTCATAAGAGTCATGCTGACTTTTCGTTTTCAGTCAGTATATGCACTTAAAGTGATATTCTTGGTCTCGATACACTGGCCCTCTAACTTTTTGCCAAGGTTTGCCCATGCCTTGTCCATGTCTTCTCCTACTGTTGGCCCCAGGCGAGATGTTCGTACTGATTTCCCTCTAGGCTATCTGCCATTGTATCCGCCGCCAAGAAGCAGACTACTTTAGTTTCTCCATTGGTCTCATCGGTGGCCTCGTTCATGAGGTTCTCCTTTGCGGTCTTGGATATTGTTCTCAGGGAGCCGAGCAGACCCGTTGGCTAGGATCTCGGCATCAGACGGCCTTCATATACTCAGGCTTGCCTCTGTTACTGGCACTTACTACCATCAGGTGCTATCGCGCTCTGATTGGGAGGGTGAGGAGTCACGCGGCATTGCGCTCACAGGCTCATAACTACTAGCTTTCCCGCCCGAAACGACAGAAAACGCTGAGCCTCTGGATGGACTGTCTTCAGCTGGGTTGTACCGAAATCTGAGCTTCGTTTTGCCAAGGTGTGTTGAAAGCGGCTCCGCCCCTGTTGTCTCTCCCCTAGTTACCACAGCGTCTAGTTCCTCATTTCGTGTGGTGCGCAGAATTGTGGAGAAATTCGACTTGTACGATCTGGACGCCGCCGCGATACAAACAAGACCGATTATCACAACGACTAATGTTACAAAAATACCGGTCCCGTATGCGGCGTAAAGATTGCGGGGATTGTATGAGTACTCATTTAGGGGAGACTCGGAGGTAATGTTCCCGATTGGGCTACCCGTTTCATCATTTCTGCATTTCGCCGCTGATGCTTAGCACAATGTCGTCTCGAGGCGGGGAGTTCATTCTACTAAGAACTTACAGGAAGTCTCCAACACTGAAAAGGCTCAAGCTGATGTTGGTTACAAGTTGTTCCATGGCCTCCACCATAGTAAGATTTGTCTTGTGTGGCGATTGTGGTTCTATTGGGACAAGTTTCAGAGCCGAGTGTCGCAAGTGTTGCATTTCGTAAGTCTGGGTAAGGACGGTGGACAGAATTTGCGTTCGTGACGGCCACATAACGCCGAAACGTGATGATTGTATCCATCCCATCAGTAAGGCATCCAACGCATCCATAACAGCTACGTAGGGAACATCAGGCGTTCCGTTGGCGTAATACATTAGCTTGTTGTCTGCATTGGCTGTGCTGACAGGATTAAGTCTCGTCATGTTGCGAACTGTGGCGGTTTGTTGACCGTTACTGAATTTCCACTCCACATCGTAGGATGAGTTATATAGTCCACATTGAATCGTCCGATTCGCGTATCCCTGGATTATCGGAAACCCGACATAAAACCAGCAAGGAGATCTAGGGTCTTCAAGACTGTCAACAGTGGCCAACATGGCAGACCCAGCCTTATCGAGGATTGCTTGCAAACCGAGAAGAGTTCTGAGTTTCCAGTCGTCTGTTTCGTTTTTTCTTAAAACCAGCGGATGCTGAGGGACGAAGCTAAAGAAAGATTTCTCCGTGCTACCCGCTCCAAAATTTGGCTCGGTAAGATTCAGGAAGAGTTTGTCAAATGCAGCGTGAAACTCGGGGCCTCCCCCCATTGGCCGGCAAGATAACGAAGGAGCGTGAAAACTGGTAGAAAATGAGCTATTTGGATAGGGTGCTTTCATGGGAATAATTGAGCCCTGGGAAGCGACTGATGACACCAATCGGGAGACAGCGATCGAAGGGGCTTCGTATCCAGCCATGCCGTCCCCTCCCCATATAGAAAAGGTCTGCGGGTCGCTAAAGTTCAAGGTGGGTAGATGAAGGCGATGTATTGTTTTGTTGGACTCTGAGGACGGTTGAACCGTAAGTGCTGCTGGGGTGAATACGGCAACAATGGGTAAAGCCCTGGAGCATTCGAGTCCATTATTAGTAAATCGAAGAATGTCTCAACGGCTAACGAGCGCGCCATGTATCAAGGGTAGCTAGAGACGAGTTGAAAGAGATATATCTCGTCGTAGAACCTACCATAAGACACTAGCAACCGCAACCAATCCAAGTCCCTTTCGCCACAGCTCCAAACTGAGAAAGTCCCAAGCATTGGTGGCAACGCCAAACATGGCATCTATCCCTTCTAACGTGGAATTGCGTGATGCCAACGTTGTCCAAAGAAATTGCGTGTACGCAAATCCCACAGCTGCCGTCAGGAACGCTTTCACTAGAAATGCCATGCCAGTTCCAATGCGAATGTTCCATTCCTGTTGGGTGCTGCTTTGAACAATCCGGGAATCCAAGGAGGCGTAGAAAAAGTGATGGCCGAGGGCAAAGGCTATGCCACATATGAGACTCCCGATCATCAGGCTTGGCACCAGCCAGTGTGGCCTAGACATGGAGGCCGTCATGTTGAGAACAAGATGCGCCTACAGTTCGGTGTTTCCGTGACCTCATAGACGTAGCGGTAGCAAGCGGGAAAATTAACTGGGAGGTTTGAATATACATCACCGTTGATGTGCTGACATGCCTGGTCGGACGAACCCCAGGGTCTAGTTCGGCGCGGTCAAACACCCGCGCATAGCGCCTCCTCCCCCCAGGCATTTAGGTAATGACTGATGGCCGAGTGCGATGGCCGTAAGGCAACACAAGATGGAAAATTGAAACATTGGCTGCTGGTTGGGCTTGTGCCGCTCAGCCCTAGACAACGCATGCTGGCCTGCATGTGGTTGAAGAACAACGATCCACACCTTCCACAAGGGTAAAACGGGAAGTCTTCCAGTTTGATGGTGACAGGTCTGAGCGCTTAAGCATTGAGGGCGGCTCTGCCCACAGCCACATAGCCAATCTCCATGTGGCGGACCAACGGCTGTACATACATGTGTCGGCTCGGCTCGAACCCAACTTAGTAAAGGATAGACGGCGTTGGCAACGTGATGAGGGCTGAATTCATGTTAGACTCCACGGGACGGTCGAGAGAAAACAACACATACCTGGCCGCACTCCCAGCCACCTGAAGTACGGTCTATGGTAGAATATATCTGCCCGCTGAGAGGTATACGCTAGCATACTGTGTGTGGTATACCATAATATAAAGCACGATAGACAGGCACTTGATCTGGTTTACTTTTTGCCTCCCACGGGATGCATTCCTTTGGTTGGGGGCCTTTGGCTCTTTCGTTCGCTCCTGCCCACATGACATGACATGACATGACATAACCTGCCTTGTCTTGACTTGAACACAGAAACCCGAAACCACACCAACACGTGCTCTTTGAAAGCTGCACGCTGCACGCTGCACGCGATAACCGCACCCCTTCAGCATCATCACATCACCATCACCGCCTTGATCGCATCCTTTCTACTTTACTGTAATGGCAAACGAGCAACTCAATTTTAACGCACTCCATCAGCACCGGGAGTCTGCCGCGGCTGAATTTGGGCATTTTTCATTTCGGGTTTGGATTTGAACAGCAGGCTTGTGATGGCGAGCACGTTGAATAACCTGGTCCTGTTGATACTGCTCTTAAAGTGTGGTGGGCTGGGCTCTTGGCTGGCCAAAACCGTCATTGACACTGGTAGCAGGCTGTCGAATTTGGTTCTCAAGACGATCGAATCGCTGGGCTTCAACCACGGGCGCAACAATGTTGTGTCCAACAACCAGGCGACTAAATTGATAAGAGGCTGACCTGATCGTCTCCTCACCTCACTAGACTTACCCCAAGCGGGTTCGCTTAGCGAGAGGGAACTGGTGCTAGCACAAGTTTTCTGCTAATCAGAAACTCGGATTTCAACCCCAACGGGAAATATCTGCCAAGTTGCTTGCCAACCAACCAACTCGCCAACGTCCTCAAGACTCTGGCCTCTCGCCTCGGGAATTGGAAGCAGGCACGAGCTGTCAGCCCCCTTTCCCTCGCCCAGACGAACTACCTAGGTAGTAATAGTACGTACTAGTACTAGCACTTAGGGGCTTGGGTCGGGCCTGTGCAAACCGGCCTTCTTCTTGGCGGCTGTGGAGCGTTTATCAAGCATACATTCCTCCCGGTGGATGGTCATCAATGGCCCTGCCGTCTGTGGCGGGATCCCAAGTGCACTAATATACTACAGTATATTGTGATATAGAGCGTGTTAGCCAGTTACCTGACCTGGTTCAATACCAGAATTTTTGCCTCCCACTGTAGACCCTCAGGTGACAAGGGGCAGTTATATCCCAACCACTGTTTTATGAGCCGCCCGGTATAAAGCAGGGGTGCATACAACCAATAAACTGAAAGGATGGTAGTAGAACGATGGGGGCATGAAATTCCCTCTTTTTTTGGCAATTCTTCCACAGGGTTGCATAACGAATACCGCAAATTGGAGTTGAACCCCTGTTCACGGCTTCCTCGTCAGGTCACGGCCTGGTGGTTGATAAAACAGGGGCTGGAGTGTAGCATGTAAAACTCACAAGATCCCTTGCCCTCGTCTTCTCCTCCCGTATGTTCCTGGTGATATTTTCGTCTTTTCTGGAATTCTTGTCAATCCATTCAGTTTTGCCCTTTTGGTGAGAGGGCACATTCACAATCTTCACCTGCCACTCCTTTTTTTTTTTTTTTTTTTTTTTTTCCCTTGAGTCCATTTATTCAGACGTGTTCTAGAATGATTGTTCTGGAATTCAGCTAGTGAGACCCTTTGAATTTCCCATTACATATAAGACATCAAAGGTATTGTTCGTCTCAAATTGGATGGCACGCTCATAAACACTGATAGCTTCCAGGTAAAATGAAGTACACTGCTTCTGTGCTGCTGGCCTCTGCAGGCTTAGCCACTGCCCTCATTCAGCAATGCAGCAGTCGCGAGGCCGTCGATGAGGGCGGCAACTGGTTCTGTGGTGCCGTGGACCAGATCCTCTACGAAGGGATCCAAGGCAATGGCAGTTTCAAGGCAGTAACCAAAATGAGCGATGCCGGAGAATGCCTTCAAAAAGATCAGTCCTACCGCGGACCATTGGCTCCATTGGACCAAGATGTAAGTCCCATCACCTCATTGTCGACTTCTCTTCAAGACCCGGCACACAAGTTGCATTCAACAGGAACATTCTAACACTTCAAAGCTCTCTGTCCATTTCCGAGGACCTCTTGAACTCAGGCAATTCGCCGTCTACAACCTCGCTTCAAACCAGAAGCGCAACCAGATCGATCTTGAAGTCGGCGCTGGCAAATCTGGCACCGATGCCCGGGTGCAAGGAGGCGAGATCGAGGCTGGCCCTGAGACATCCAAGATCTCGGCACGACATAGACACGGCCACCGGTTTCTACACCGTGCTCAGCGGGACAAGCGAGGTGACATCGTAACTGCTACCATCGACGGCAAGGTTGTGACATGGGAGAACGACTACTTACCTACTGCCACACCCAACCCTGTCCCGGCCCCGGCTCCCAAGGTCCAGGCCGGCGCAGGCGCTGCTGCTGTGAAGGATAAGGATGCTGATGCCGATACCACTGCTACTACGAGCAAGAAGCCTGCTGACAAGAAGCCCACCGACAAGAAGCCCAGTGGCAAGCCTGCCCCCTCGGGATCTGACTGGGATCGTGTGGCTTATTACAACGCTGTGAAGCAAGTTTCCGAGAACATCGTCTTCATGGGCAACCACGGCGGCCAGGGTTCCGGGGTTTTCGACACGTACGTTGACCACTCTTGACACCAAGCCTCTCATCCACCCCATACACGACTTCCCCTTTTGATAACCGTCCCGGAAAACCTACTAATTATAAACTTCTAGTGTCTGGGGCCTTTCCCTCTCGTACCTCAACTCCACCGGCACCGGCGGCGCCTCGTCGCCCGAAATCCTCGAAAACATCCGGATCCCCTCCAACACGGAATTCTCCATCTTCTCGAAGGAAGAGTGCAACGGCAGCTGCGGCTTCTCGCGCGTCCCCTCGATTGCCTACAAGGGCTTCGGCGGCGCCAACAAGGTCTTCCTCTTCGAGTTTAAGATGCCCTCGGACGGGACGCGCTGCCCGGCCGGCACGCGGCCCGGGTCCCCCGGCTGCGCGAACCCCGACATGCCCGCCGTCTGGGCCCTCAACGCCGCCATCCCCCGCGCCGCCCAGTACAAGGGGTGCTCGTGCTGGGGCACCGGCTGCGGCGAGCTCGACATCTACGAGGTCCTGGCCCCCGGGGACTCCAAGTGCAAGAGCACCTTCCACATGGCCAACGGCGCGGGCAGCTCGGATTACTTCAAGAGGCCGACGGACGAGTACATCAAGGTGGCTACCGTTTTCCACGAAGAGACGGCCAGTGTATCGATCAAGAAGCTGTCGGACGATGTGGACTTTGCAAAGGGCCTGGATGACGAGACTGTGCTGTCGTGGTTGAACAGGCCGACGGATGACAAGGCGCTCAAGCTGAGCAGCTTGTTCCAGCTGTCGAGCTGAGTGAAATGGTGGCGGATATGCGGGAAATTCTTGTAGGACAGAAGAGCAGTTTCTTTTTTGAATATAGCTAGATGTGACCTTTTTTCTTTTCTTTTTTTTTTTTTGGAAACATCCGTTCTCGGGTAGCGCTCAGGAGGTGGGAAAGGCCAGCGTAATCTTTCTGTTCTTGTACATCATTCAATCTGTCAATTTGGCTTGCTGAATCTAGGCATTGCACACACCGACGTGACCCTTGCAAAACCGCTCAACACAGGGGGTCTATATGAAATGCGGATCGGCACAACGCGGCCTTGCTTTTCTATCAAATATTGTACAGAAATAGTAATACAAATAGGACCCAGGTTTTTCATACGTGGTACAAGTCCTATACACTCCTATCAGTAGCCTTCTCATCTGTCGACAAGCCAACTACATTTCGCAACGTCCCAAAACTCAGACAATCGCTAATCCGATTTGCTCCTGAAAACAACATCACCAACCGCTCAACACCACATCCCCATCCCCCCGTGGGCGGCAAACCAAAGTCCAAGGCCTTCACGTAACTCTGATCTAGCGGGGACCCTTCCCATTCATCCACCTCCGCTTCTTCTGCGGGTGTAGGTTCCTGCTCCCCAGCTGCTTCTTCGAATCCGACTTCGCCATTGGGCTTATTCACGAGGGTACGGTGAAAGGCAAGTTTGCGCTTCTGCTCTTCGGGATCATTTTCTTCTTCGTACATGTTTGCCAGCTCACGGCCGCCGACGAAAAGCTCTGCGCGGGCAGACACCAGTTGGTACGTTTTTGGGCATAGAAAGCCTTTGGCCAGTGGTGACATGCAGGCCGGGTGGTTGGTTATGAAGATGGGTTCGTGGAATGACATGGGTTCTAAATATACGGCTGCGAGGCGGTCGAGGAGTTTGGGGAGGGAGTTGGGTACTTCGCCGGGGACGGTAATTCCAGCAAGTTTCAGGACAGCGAGAAGCTCTGGTAGCGCATCGTCACTGGACAGCTTAGGGAAGCGGATTCCCATAGCTTCCTCGAGGCCGGGGATGAATTCAATCTGCCTAAAGGGTCGGACGAATCGGCTCAAGTCGGTTGGTGGGAGTGTGGTTAGCTGGGTCGAAATGAGTTCCTGCGTATGTTTGGCGAGTCCGTACAAGAGTTCTTCTGTCTCTTTTATGAGGTCCGCCAAGTTTGTGTAGGCGCTGTAGAACTCGCACATCGTAAACTCTGGGTTGTGCGTGGCATCGACGCCTTCGTTGCGAAAGGCGGGACCAATCTCAAACACCTTGTCAACACCCCCGACAACAAGACGCTTCAGCCAAAGTTCTGGTGCAATACGTAAAGCCAGATCCTTTTTCCGAAATTCAGTGGCCTGGGTGACGAAAGGCCGAGCAACCGCCCCCCCAGCATTTTCAGCCAAAATTGGGGTTTGGAATTCCAAGAAGCGTTTTGAATGGAAGTGGTCTCTCATGAACTTTGTGATTTCGGCTCGCAACCTCAGCACGTCAACCACTTCTCTGTTCACGAGCATGTCGACGTGACGGTCTGCCATTCTCGCCTTGGGGTCGGTGAGCTTTTCAGGTATCTGCTCCATCGACGGAGACAGAAGCTCTGGGAGCTGGATAGCTTGGAGGGTCGGCTCTCCAGCCTTTGTACGAGTTGCATTACCAGTTACCGCTACAGACCTTGTCAGCCAAAAGTGGGAGGTCAAGGATTGGTACAATGGGACTCCTACAGATGTGATCGCCAACTTGGATCAAGTTTTTAAACAGGGAAAACTTTTGTATGCGGCCATGCTTCTCTGACACACATTTATTCTTGTTGATCATGATTTGCACTTTCTGGAATTCGTTCACGATGTCGAGGAAGATGAGGGATTTGCCGACTACACGCTTTGAACGGACACGACCTGATAACGTCACTTCTTCACTGGGCGCTTGCTCATCGAAGTCCTCAAGAAACTCTGGCACACTCTTCCGAGTTGTGGAAGATTCTAGTCGAGGATACGGATCAGGGTACAGTGGATCCTCACTCTGTTGGTCTTCGCGAAGCCCATCTCGCCGGTGCTGCTTGAATGGCGACAAGCTTTCGCTACTATCCTGAGCACCCGTAAACCTTGATGCCTTCTTAACCGACTCTGAGAAGAGCCTGCGGGCTCCTGCTCGGAAGTGTGTCGTCTCCAAAGATAAAGAGCAACTTATCCGAATCGACGGACTGGTGCTCGTTGCAGAACATCGCTGCGAGATGGCAGACGACCGGCGAGCCAGTCGGAGGCACGCAGATGGTCTCATCGTGCCTGTTGATTAAGATGTTAGCTTCCAATAGTCGCGTCAATTGGTCAAAAATAGAGCAGGCCACGAGAAGTTTGTCTTGTCAGGTGATGGCATTGTATAATCACGCACGGCCGAAGCCATGTCAATCGCAGCGGTTCTGAAGCGAAATTGCGAATTCATCATGAAGAAAAAAGGGATTGGATTCCAGAGTGCAGAGACCGGAGTGCATACTTACAGTCATAGCGATCGCTTGGAACAATTGCCCCAGTAGTGGGAGCTCGTAAAACTGCACGAAGAGAAAATTGGGAAAATGGATTGCGGTTGCTGTCCAATTTTTATTTTGGATGTCGGACTCTCCCCTGTTGGCGTTTACTTAAGTAAGCAACAGCCCCGCCAGTCAGAGGCTAGCTTGCTGGAGCAAGCTAGAAGACGGACCAGGCACCGCAGCGCAGAGCCTTGCGTTTGGCACCACCGAGCTCAAGCCAATTGAGTCCAGAGCCTGCAACTTTTAACCATCCTCCGCGTACATCCTCCATCTCGCATCCTCTCCCAGGCCACGCGCACCATCCCAACCCATTGGCCATCCTGCTGCATTTTCGCGACAAGCACAAAGATAGAATCATGGCCCAGCAGCCCTTGTCCACGTCGGCAGTCCCCACCGACATTTACGGTGGAGGTACGCAGAAAACCGTTCAACCGTCTTCCTCGCGATAGTGCGTCGCGAACCATCCTGCGAATGCAAATGCTAACATAGAAATCGTGCAGATGAGGTATCTGCCCTCGTTCTCGACCCCGGCTACTGCAACACTCGCGCAGGCTTCGCCGGCGAAGATGTGCCCAAATCCGTCCTGCCCTCGTTCTACGGTCACGTCACTGGCGAACCTCAACGCGACCTCTTTGGTGACGAATGCATCATCCCCCGCGCCGATTTTGAGATCCGCAATTACATGAACCGAGACAGCGTCGTAGAAGACTGGGATGTTGCGCCTAAGATCTGGGAGAACATGCTCATCAAGCGCTTGCAACCGGAGCACCAAACGCTGCCCTCGAAAAACGGATTGAACGACGACGTCAAGGAGCAGGATGGCGAGGGAGATATAGCCATGGATGAAGCTGAAAACCAAGAAAAGCCTCTTCAGGAGAATCCCATTTTGATGACTGAGGCACCATGGAACACGCCCAAATCGCGGGAAAAGGCCATCGAGATCATCATGGAGAACTGGGGGTGCCCTGCCTTCTGGCTGAGCCGCACCCCGGTGCTGTCTGCCTTCGCGGCTGGCAAGGCTACTGCCCTGGTCATCGATGTGGGTGGTGCCAACACCTCCGTCACCGCGATTCACGATGGCATGGTTCTGAAGCGATCCATCCAGCGTTCTCCAGCGGGTGGCCTTTGGCTGTCATCTCAGATTCGCAACATGTGGGAAACCTCTGAGCCCAAGGTCCAACTGACACCGACATACATGGTCGAGAACAAGTCCCCCGTCGACGCCTTAGCACCTGCCCAAGCTCGATTACGGGAATTTCCCTTTCAGATTACCGATTCTTTCCGCGCCTACGAAGAAGAACGGGTCCTTACCGAGTTCAAGGAGTCTGTTGTTGAGGTCTGGCGGGGGCCAGGCCGATACAGCGCCCCAAATAACGAGGACTACATCAAGACACAGCCAGGTCGTGTCTTCGAAATGCCCGACGGCTACAATCAAATGTGGCGCGAGCAGCGCTTCAAGGTCACCGAAGGCCTTTGGGATGAGAATGCCGGATACCCTGTTCCGGAGGCAGAACGGCTCACCAAGGCCCAAACGATCCCCGAACTCATCCGCGCCTCCCTGGGTGCTGTGGATGTCGACCTGCGCGGCAATCTACTCGCCAACGTTGTCGTCACCGGCAGCACCAGCTTAATCAACGGCTTCAACGATCGCCTGAGCAACGAACTAACAGCCATGTACCCCGGACTGAAGGTGAAGATCCACGCCGCCGGTCTTTCGAGCGAGCGACGATTCGGTGCCTGGATTGGCGGCAGTATTTTGGCCAGTTTGGGAACTTTCCACCAAATGTGGATCTCGAGAAAGGAGTATGAGGAGAACGGTGCTGGTGTCGTTGAGAAACGGTGCAAGTAGACAAAAAAAAAGAGGCTTGGAAAGGTGAAGAACCAACGGCGGCGTTGGCGATAGAGTATTCAATTTGGCGTACGGAGTCAAGAGGAAGGTGCGCTTTTTTTTTGTAACGGGACGATTGGGAAGGTCCCTGACCTTCGAGGATTTGACTCAAGTGTAGTATGTAGGCGAGTCGCAATGATTTGAATATGCCACTCATCCTGTCCATGATGGTCGTGAATCCAACTTCTCCCGTCTACGCTCAGCATCATAAACACTCTACTGTATAACTTGTATCCCCTCTCACCAGTCACCCTACTTTATACCAAGTCACCACATGGCTCGGGCTCCTCCTCTTCCTCCTCCTCTTCCTCCTTGCTCTCGGCAGCCTCCCTCTCAGCCCTCCTCATCCTCACCCACGCCCCCAGCTCACCCCATATCCTCTCCTTCTCGGCCGGCGCCAAGGTCGCCGCCAAACCGCTCGTGCTCGACGCAACAAACATCCTCGCGCCGGCCCATGACCCCTCCACGGCGCCCATGTTCTCCCCCTCATCCTGCCACCCGTACCTGAACTGCTTGCCTACGTTCGACCCGTGCCGCACCCGCCATATGCTCTCCCATATGCTCTTCCCCACGACGCACATGCTCTCGGGCCGGTACGTCCTCGCCTTCTCCTCCAGCAGGGCCACCCCGTCGTCCATCTCGGCCTTGCTGAGCTCCGAGCCGTTGCGCGTAGGTCGAGCCACGATGTTGGTCAGCCCAAGCGAGTACAGGGCCGGCATGTCCCGGTCCTCCTCGGCGTAGCACCGCCGCGGCGTGACGCCGCTGGAGTACATGAGCTTCCAGAAGAGGTTGGATGGGTGGTTATATGCGTGGCCGGTCATGGCGGTCCGTATGCCCGGGTTGAGGCCGACGAAGAGCACGAGGAGGTTGTGGGCGATGGCGTCTGGGAGCAGCGGGAGGTGGGCGTATGTTGAGGGCGGTGCGTAGCCTGTTGCTTGCCGGGCGCGTTTCTTCTTCGCTGGCGATGATTTTGGCGGCGATGATGACGTGCGCTTCCGTGGGGATGGGGACGGGGTTTGGGATTCATCTTGGGCTTTGGTTTGGAGGGGGGTTGAGGCCGCGCGAGGAGGGTTGCGGCGCGTTGGTTCGGCGGCGGTGTATTTGAAGGCGTCTAGTTGGAGGCGACCTTGGAAGGTCGCTGGCTTGCGGCCTTGATCGTCCGTCATGGCTGGTGTTGGGCGAGTATATAAATGTTTGCTGGTGTTGCGTTTTCGAGGGGAGGGGAGGTGAGACGCAGTGAATCCGTGATAAGGTGGCGGATAGAGTGTGTGGCTCTCGATGAAGTTTTACAACCATGTCTCCGTGTTAATTTTGTGCGTAGTTCCTTTATCGTATTAATTGCTACTATTTGATTATGTATTCATCTTTGAATATATTAAATCAATTTTACGCATTCAAGAAATCTCTGGTGCATTTCTACAGCTTTCGCCATGTTTCATCACCCATGGCTGAGTGAGACGCCATGGATGCCTGGCCGTGCGGCTGAAGTAGATGTTCCCGACACGACAATATATCTGCCTCAAACTCAATGGCCCTTGTTATCCTCGAGACTGCCAGATTTTGCATCAAGCATTTTCTGCTGCTTGTAGGCTCTACTTTTTAAGCTGGAGTCTTGAAAGGAGGGGAGTGTACAGGGGACGTGGGTAGCTAGCTGTTTAGATGAGTAATAGTGAGTGAGTGCCAAGTGGCAGATTGAGGCCGGTAATCTGAGAATCTATCAACTTACAAATCCCGTCGTTCAGAATTCAGCCTTATTTACGGTTTACATATTTCTTAGTCATCTAAGGAGTTAACCAATACACGTAAAAGGTGGGTTTATGTTTTATAAGAATGCTTGAATAGATAAAAGTATGGTTTATTATAAATTACGTACAATTTTTTTTGAATTCAACAAATAATAAGGGGATAAGTGTACCTTAATTCATGTTTACATGATTTACATTTACTAGACCGGTCCCTAATCCACTTGAGCACCCTGACCAGACTAAATGATATCGTCAGTCGGCTAGCGGAGGAGCTCTTTCAGCTCTTCCCACACTTGAGACGTCACTGGGCCTTTATGAGAGTGTGCATGAAAGATGCCGCCCCTTGGTATGCCCCAAGAACCAATACGAAGATGGGACCAGGCTGCGCATCTGTGGAAGGGTGGTGCGGGCCGATGAGAAAATGTCAAGGTATGACGGCCGATGGGCTTGAGCATACAAAGCTATTTTCAGCATCGTTCCTGACGGGGGCAGCTGCGCCTCCTTGAAAACAACGAGCCTCACAGCCTCCTGATGGCTGCACAGACCTTGACAGCACAGTAATCCAAAGTAAAGTCTGGTTGGTTGTGGCTCCACCGAGCTCTCAGGTCCCTGAACTCCCCTGGAGCCGATCACCCCGTCGCCCCGTACGCAATTCGCAGCTCGGACTAGTACTGCACGACGTCAGTAGGGACTGCTGGATACGAGAAGCACTGGGCAACGGGGTGCTTCGATTGTTGCTGCCGGGCCATCAAACAGTCTGGTGGTCAATGCTGTACAACACGTTTGAATGAATCCGAAGACAGACACGGGCTCGTGGCCGTTGTTTGGAATTCCAAAGCCTCTCAATCGTCAACTGCTCTTGTGCTCCGTAATACTCGGTACAAATAGTTTGGGCACCACGGCAGGCACCAATGGCGGCATCTGGATCTGCAGCCTGCACCTGCAACAAATTGGACCAGGCCGGACAGTTGCTGCCCCGCCACTGGCCTGAAAACCCTTGCCAAGGGCCAGCTGGTGCAAGCTCCCAAATGCCTTGGCTGGGACGTTGCGCACTACTGCACATGCACAACCTAGACCCACTCCGGACGTATCAGCGGAGGAGCCCTTGTAGTCGACGTCAGCCCGCTTAACCGCTGTCCGTCGCCCGTTGCCCGTTGACTGTCCAGACTGGATCAACACACATGCCTCTGGAGTGTTTACCGACCAAAGCTGTGTCCTACCCTTTTCAAAACCTCTCTATTGTTGAGTTTCAAAAATATTTACTTATAATCACCGCCCTCTCTCCGCCCTCCTTGACGTGTGTTGTCCCTGCCTTTTCTTCTCCTTGCCCCCCGGACTCAACGCCATTGAGATACGAGACCCCTCCTACCTCCCTCCCTCCCTCGCTCCCTTTAATCTCACCCACCACTCTCATCTTTTGCTGGAGCCATTCTTGTCTTGTTTCTTCAAAACATTGACCCAACGACGCACCGTTAGAACTCAATTCCTCCATCCACATCCTCCACCATGGACAAGGTCAAGAAAATGCTCAACGTTGGCTTCGAGGCCGATGCCGCCAAGCCAGCAGAACCCTCCTCAGAGGCCTATGCCCAGCTCAAGGCCGAGTACACCAAAGCCGGTCAGGACCATGTTTTCACCTTCTACGACTCTCTGAGCACCGAAGACAAGGCTGCTTTGTACAACCAGCTATCGGGCTTCAACCCTGCCTACATCAACGAAATCACCAAACGAGCCCTTGGTGAGACCAAATCAGACACCCCCGATACCCTCGAGCCCCTCCCCGAATCCGCTCAAGCCAGTATCCTCGATTCGAGTGCCGATGACATCAACAAGTGGTACAGCTCCGGCTTGGGCCTCATTGGCAAGAACAAGGTGGCTGTGGTTCTCATGGCTGGTGGCCAGGGAACTCGATTGGGCAGCTCAGCGCCCAAGGGTTGCTACGACATTGGGCTACCCTCGCACAAGAGCTTGTTCCAGATCCAGGCTGAGAGAATCCGCAAGATTCAGGAGCTTGCTGCCAAGAATGCCGGCACTGGGTCCGTCGTTGTTCCCTGGTACGTCATGACCAGCGGCCCAACCCACAAGCCAACCGAGGCCTTCTTCGAGGAGAACAAGTACTTTGGCCTAGATGCCGCCAACGTCAAGATCTTTGACCAAGGAGTCCTGCCCTGCATTTCCAACGAGGGCAAGATTCTTCTTGAGAGCAAGGGCAAGGTTGCTGTAGCCCCCGATGGCAACGGCGGTATCTACCAGGCCTTGATTGTCTCTGGCGTTCTTGACGACATGCGAAAGCGCGGCATTGAGCACATTCATGCTTATTGCGTCGACAACTGTCTTGTCAAAGTGGCTGATCCCGTCTTCATCGGCTTCTCATCCTCCCTGAACGTCGACATCGCCACCAAGGTCGTTCGTAAGCGCGACGCTACCGAGTCTGTCGGTCTCATTCTCTCCAAGAATGGCAAGCCCGACGTTGTTGAGTATTCCGAGATTGACAAGGCTACCGCTGCAGCAGAGGATCCCAAGCACCCTGGCGTCCTCAAGTTCCGAGCTGCCAACATTGTTAATCACTACTATTCTTTCCGCTTCCTCGAATCCATTCCCCAGTGGGCTCACAAGCTGCCTCACCACATTGCTCGAAAGAAGATTCCTCACGCAGACACCAAGTCGGGCGAGACCGTCAAGCCTGAGACCCCCAACGGCATCAAGCTTGAGCAGTTTGTTTTTGATGTCTTCCCTATGCTGCCTCTGAATAAGTTTGCGTGCATGGAGGTCCGCCGTGAGGACGAATTCTCGCCGTTGAAGAATGCCCGCGGAACGGGTCAAGACGACCCCGACACCAGCAAGGCCGATATTATGGGCCAAGGTCAGCGGTGGGTGGCTGCTGCTGGAGCTACTGTTGTGGCCGACGGCGGCGTTGAGATCTCGCCTTTAATCAGCTACGTAAGTCAACCACGTTGTCTCGTCCCCGGGCCGTGTGAATGCATATGCTAACAACACCTTGGCAGGGTGGCGAAGGTCTCGAGAAGCTCAGCGGCACCACTATTACTGCTCCTGCCGTGCTGGAGCGAGAATAAAAGTGTTTTTGTTTGGGACAAGACAAGGAAATGGGTTTGGCGTGGATTGCGAGGGCGTTTATTGTGAGGGTCACACTAGTAGTAGATGAGAAACGGATATTGAAACAGGGATTTACACAGGGTTGCATAGTTCCATGCAGGGACGCATTAGTGTATGCATACAAGGATATAATATGTTGGAAGCGAAGTAATTACCTCTTGGCGCGTCGTAATGGCTACTGTGCTTGTTGCGCAATACAATTCATGTACACAACGTGAATGCCGTTGCTATATGCATTATTCTCCATGTGTGCCATGATCAAAGTTGCAGGGATGGCTCTGCAATGTCTCCCAGTTTTTGACTTGCCAGCTAAGCGCAAGGTTCTACATGCCTAGTTTATCAAGTTTTTAGTATTTTTTTTTTCAATCTTTTAATGAATATAAATAATCACGCAAGCAGCACATCAGGTAACGATGTATTAGCCGTACCTGGGCCAGGGACCCGCAATAAACCACGTACTAATACACCATAAACGATATCACGATGTGTTAAGCACTAATAAGATTAGTGACTTATCGCGGCACGCCAGTGACACCTCTATTTATTTGTCTCTCTCCATCACCTCTATCTCTTGTGATATCAAGAGCCCTGTTACAACTGCACGTTAACATTAGCGAACCAACGCAACCACTCGCAGGTCGTCGCCACTGCAAAATGAATTGCGAGTAGTGTCGTTGGTTCGTCGACGTCAACTTACAGTTGCAACAGGGCTCTTGATATTGGGAGAGGCAGAGGTTTTATATATTTGATATTATGCACACTTCTAACGGGTTTTCTAACATGTACTCTATACTCTATGCCCGAAATCTAGTCCTGCTCGCTAATAAACTTTTCGGCCTCGAGGGCAGCCATGCACCCGGTACCTAGAACCAAATTTAGCCGCCCGCCCGTGACACCAAAAGGGCCAAGAAATGAAGGAAAGAGGGAAAGCTCACCTGCGCTAGTAATAGCCTGTCTATATCTCTTGTCCTGCACATCGCCGGCAGCATAGACGCCCTCGATGCTGGTCATGGTGGTCCCGGGCTTGGTGATGATGTAGCCGTCGGTGTCCATGTCCACCTGGCCCTTGACCAGGGCGGTGGCGGGATCGTGGCCAATGGCGTAGAACAGACCGTTGGCCTCGACGACCTCCTCCTTGCCGGTGACGGTGTCCCGGACGACGAGGTGGCTCATGAGCTTGTCGGCGCCGCCGCGGACCTCGGTGGCCACCGTGTTGAAGCGCACCGTGACCTTTTCGTTCTTGAGCAGGCGCGTGGCCATGGCCTTGCTGGCGCGCAGGACGTCGCGGCGCACGAGGACGGTGACGTGGCTGCCGTACTTTGTGAGGAAGGTGGCCTCCTCGGCGGCCGAGTCACCTCCGCCGATCACGTACAGCTGCTTGTTGCGGAAGAGCGGGAGGGCGCCGTCGCACACGGCACACGCCGAGATGCCGTTTTGCCAGTATGTCTGCTCGCCGGGGAGGTTCATGCGGCGCGCCGAGGCGCCGGTGGCGATGATGACGGCGTCGGCCGTGTGCGTCTCGTCGGGCGAGAACTCGGTGCTGTACTTGAACGGGCGGCTGCTGAGGTCTAGCTTTGTGACGGTGTCGGTGACGATTTCGGTGCCGAAGCGTTCGGATTGCGCGCGCATGTTGTCCTGGGACCGAAGGTTAGGCGTCTTTTGTCTTCTGCTGTGACAGTGTTTTCACATGCAACACAAGATTGGGGACGTTTGGACGTACCATTAGCTCCTGGCCCATGATGCCCTTGGGGAAGCCGGGGAAGTTTTCAATCTCGGTCGTGGTCGTCAATTGGCCGCCTGCCGCGATGCCGTTGGCCATGAAGCCCTCGTAGAGAACGGCTGCAGCCAATTTAGTCTGTGGTTTTCCCGTGTCGGGACAGAGAGACGGTCCAACTCACGCTTTAGCTCTGCTCTGCCCAGATAGACGGCGGCAGTATGGGCCGCTGGCCCCGAGCCAATAACTATTTTTTTATTCTCTCGTCAGCACTCGTCGTGAATCAAGTATAATCTCGCAACTTTATGGTAGGAAATCACACGTACTGACAACCTTGCTGTGCATCTTGCGAACGCCTACTTCCTGGGCCCCAGAACGAGTTTGTTGAAACGCTGCGGCTGCCGCAATCGATAGCCCAGCACTGGAGCGCAAAGTCCGCCGGAAAGTTGAGGCGAACAGTTTGGCGGTATTGATGGGGAGATTGAGCGTTTTATAAGTGCAACAACACCCGAAGCCTGCACGCTATGCTCCTAGTTGTCGGAAATGTCGCGATTCGTGGTGGGGTGTCGATGGTTGCGAGAATCAAGCACGAGAGGGGCTCCGGCGTTGGCTAGGAAGGACCAGCTGGGATTAGGCATCAATGATGTGAATCGGCGTTTGGTTTGGAGCATCGCGCAGAGACTTACAGAGTGGTTGAGTGGGTATTTCTGTCCTTCGGCGTTTGGCAGGTGTTGATTCCAATAAGTGACTGACTTTTTGCGGGACGAGGTGGCGCGTGGTGGTGGAATCAGGGGACCTTGTGGGCGGCGGGCGCTGGGCGAAATTCCAAATGCTTCTTCGGCCCCTGGCGTCATCGGAAGTCGCCAGCTGGAGTCAAGTGGCGTGACGATTAGATAAGCCGCTGTGAACCCGGATAGGACACACTTGACATTAAAGAAAATACCAGTCATCTCGAAGACGACGAGTACATGGTTGTGCTTTTATTCATTTCGCCATTCTTGGAGCCTGGAATACTCCTTTCGGCCACACGGCAAGGACATTGCTTCTGCCATGTTTCCTGCATCACCACCTACATCGGCCTAAGTATTCACTAACGGCAGGATTATTCAAGGCGATGGCAATCCGAGGTGGTACCAGGTGACAATACAAGTCCACAGTCACAACAAGCCCGGCAACCACGTACACCGTTCCGCACTTTACGTATATGGGTGCTTGTATCCAGGCTTTTGTTCCCACTGTTCATTAACACCGATGCTCCGAATAACGAATTCGTATCTCCTTTCCTATCCAGGCCGCGGTGACGACACAGCTCACCACGTCCTTCAATGCCGAGAAAACTGCTCCGTGCCCCATCCGACTCCCGCATCTGACCCAGGAAAAGACAACGGTGCTCGTCTTTATCTACACGCCTCCCGTCTAGACCGGAAACTACCTTCCCCCATCGTCAGCACTCCCCTTCCCAAACCTCGCCCCCAATCCTCCAATATCCCTCTTGAAGAACTTTCCAAAATTCCTCAGGTTCTCATTAATAGTGGCCTTCTCCGTACTCTGCGTAGTGTTTCCGATATCCCTGGCCGCACTCAGAAGCCTTTCCCCTAAAAAGCCCGCGTCGAACCTTGCCCCAGAGGCAGCGGTCAGTGCCGCCCCGGGATTCATCCCGGCAATGCCAGCGCCACTTCCCATGCCTGCCGTCGTCATGAGGGGTGTTAGCAGAGGGGAGCTCTGGACGAGCTTCTCATTGGAACTGCCGTCGCGGTGGATGCCAAATAGCTCGATGAGGTGGGACTGGTCTTGCTTCCGGATGCCCTTGAGGTCGAGTATCTTTTTAAAGTTTGTGTCGGAGCGGTCGCCGATGTGGATGAGGTAGGCTTGGACAAGGCCCTCGGGGGGCGAAGGGCGGACTTGGAGGGTTTTGAGGAGAGGGTCCATGCGGTTCATGGAGTGTTCGACGCGCCGGACGAAGCTCGAGGGGGGTGCTTGCTGCGTTGGTGACGAGGGGTTGTGGTGGGAGAGGAGGCTGCCGAAGGATTTGGTGAGTGCGTACTTGTCTACGAGCATCTGGCGGACGTTAGTGACTGTGTGCTTGTTCCCTTGCTGCCGTCCGCGAAGCCTACCTGTTGCGCGCCAACCTCTGAAATAGGCCGGCATACCACAATGTTGTTGATGTAAGCCGAGGCCATGTGCTCGACCAGGTTATCGCAAAACGCCCTTGCGTACTGCTGCTTGCCCACCAGGCCCAGTATCTCTTCCGTCTTTGTGTTGACGTGCTTCACCAACTCGCCCACATACGTGCTCTGATCGCCTGCCGTGTCCATTGTACTCCAGTTTGTATTCTTCATCTCACGCCACGTCCCCTCGCATTCCAACTCAACAAGATGTACCAATGCCAACACAGCCGCGCTAGCAACTCCCAGGAAAGCATCAGCTTGCGACGAAAGATCCACCTTTGGCACGAGGTCGTTATCGATGCGCTTCTTTATATTCTCCTCCAGCTGGCCCGTGTTGATGTACCAAAAGTCGGCAGTGTTGAGCACCAGAATAGCATTGTGGAGTGACGGACCGTGAGATCCCCCGGCTTGAAGGATATGCAGCAGGACTTGCTGCGCGTATTCATCCAAGTACTTGGACAAGACTTTGGACAGGTCTAGTAGTCTATCACTAGTCGACAACTTGGCACATTGCGACAGAGTCAGCTTGTAGAAGTGGAAAAGCTCAATGGCGGACGGGATAATCCCCTGAGGAGAAAACTCCTCATCGGCAGGAATAAGCGGTTGGTTGCGGTACTTTGGCATCAAGGACGCCAGCTGCTTATCCTGCGAGTCAACCCACAAGCTCAGGTACGGTTCGAAAGCGACAGAGACGAGCCCGTTGAAGTTGTGCGTCTTTTCCTCGGTCGAGCTCAGAGTGTCAATGCTCGCCCTCGGCCCATCCGAGAACTTCTTCTCAAGACTCTGCTCGAAGTCTAGAGTTTCCTGCAGGCATCTCAGCAGCAAGTTGACGTCAACCTTGCCCCCGTCCCCACGTCGCATGCTTCTCTCCAAAATGCCCTTGAAGTCATCCCGTGTACCGTCGCAAAAGGCCGTTGTTAGCAACTCCCCCACATGCCAGTGTGACGGGAAAATAGCAGCGTGCTCATCCTCGTACGTCTTCACCATGCGCTTAAACCACGCATATCTCCGCCCAATGTTATCCAGATTCCCGGCCTCGTCGTTCCCACGGAAAACCTGCCGATACTCTCTCAGCTCCGTGTTCACGTACCAGGTGATGATTCTCGACTTGGCCGAGTCTCCCAACGCATCTATGACCAAGCAGGCTTCGACAAGCATGCTCCTCTTCGTTGCCACTTCTCCCTTGACAAAAGTCATTTCAAAGTCCTCGCACACCTGCTCGAGCAGTTCCCTCTGGAGCTCGGATACTTCGCGGCTCAACGTGGCAATTTGCTCTATGCTTCTGTAACTGTTAAAGTGCTTCATCAACTGAATCACGGCCTGCAAAAGACCAGCGCACTCTCGATATTGCCGCGTTTTAGCAAGCCCGCGAAGTTGTTCGTACGCCGTCGTGAGCATCTGCAAGCGTTTGAGTGCTGTCATACTAAGCGTCAGGTTACGCTTCGTGCCGTCAAGACGCTTGATTTCCGCCGTCATGGACGTAATGTTCTGCTCCGTCTCAATCGCTCGTGATCGCACCGTTTCTATTTTCCGGAAAAGCTCCGCCAGCTCTGTCTGCGCCGACTGCATCCGCTCCAGACTTGAGTCCGGCTTGTACGCTTGTTCGAGTTCGAGGCTGTTGATTTCGCTGGACAATGCGTTTTGGTGGGCTTTGAGAGTTTGTGAAACTTGACTTATTGATGATACGGTAGACGGGTGTGAGAACAGCATATTCAGATGTTCCATTGGATCGTAGTCCACTGCTTTTTTTAAACAAAGAAAAATCGTGGCCGTGGTTAGCTTGGTGGAATTGACTGAGCATTGTTTGCGATAGAAATGGGGAGCTCCTTACCCGCACCCAGAGCCGGAGCTCCAGATGTGCTTTTATTCAACGGGACTGGCATAGTGCTTGCTTGGTCAGATGAGCAGGTGTAGCAATTCGGAAATACAGACTGGAGGTCAAGACCTATCCCGCGTTCTGCAAGCTGGCATTCTCCACAGGTCAAGTCGTCACTCGGGCAGCTTGGAGATGTTGCAACCTCATCGCATGTCCGTGTCCGTGTCAGCGACATCGAAAAGCGGGTCTGACCGCCGGCACAGCCAGGGGCTTTTCTGTGCGCCGTACCAAGTAACTACTACGGAGTTCTTGGTAGTACTACTATTCACATCGCACCAGACTCGTCAACATTCAGTCCCGTCCTCTCGTAATATGCGTCTTGGGTTTCGTTCTTTCTGGCCTGGGCTGTACTATACTTACTCCCTCGCACTTGAGTAGTGCGCCTCTTGTGCTATTGTCCGAACCTAGGCATGGCTGGCACTAGGCACATCACGAAAGAAGATTGAAACCAGCATTCATCTCATCATGCCAATGCTACTTTGTATTCAATGTAACCCGCTAATCCAGAGTATAATCATAATCCGCTTTTGACTATCGCCAGTCCTCTTCGGGGGCCCGTTCTATTTCCAAGCTCTCCTTGTCCTTAGCCGGGGCGTCCTTACCCTTCTTACGCATAGAGAAGCGCCAGGAGCTCATTCGTCCCTCCTTGCTGTCTTTCGACTTTGATGGACCAAGAGATGGGCTGCTGGTCATACTGTCAAAACTGCGCCCCAAGGGCGTGCCGTCTTCGCCAAGGTCATCTACGTTGCCGATGCTCATCCGTTGTTCGGCGGATGCATTCCTGTCCGAGTTGGACGTGCTTCCCGGGCCTTTCTTAAAAAGCCCAGACTCTTTGCCAAGCCTAGAGGAAAGACTGAACTTGCTAGAGCTACCTTTGCGGAATAATTTCCGAACTACATTATCTGAATCTTTCGCATTTGATGTTGACACAGAGTTCATATCTGACGGTGTGTTGGACTGCGTCAGGTCTAGTTGCAACGATTCGTGAGACTCCGAGACCGACGTGCCCGTGTGAAAAGAGTATGTGTCCCTGGAAATCCGAGAATCAGAGGGCGAGTCATCGTGACTCTCGGGGAAGTCAGTGAATAGTGTTGTGAGCTCTTTGCCTTTGCCCTTGTCTTCCCTGGACTTGTCTTTGCCTCCGTCCTTGTCCTTATCCTTACGGAAGATGTTGCCCATGAATGTGGGAGCTGTGGGGTTCAAACGCTGGCTCATGAGAGACTTGGACGATGCTGCAGGTGGACGGGATCCGATTACACCAACTTGGCTGGGTGATGTGTGGGGATCTCGCAGGTCACTCTCCTCCAAGATCTCGTCGTCTGCAGACGCCAACGTAGTCGTGAGAGCAGTAGTTGAACCGTGCAAAGAAGGCCTTCTTGACCCGCCTCGACTCGGCGACCAAAACCTACTGTTCTTCAAGCTGGTGGCTGCGTCTCCAGGGGCTCCCCAAATGGATGCGCTGTCAGTAGAAGGGCGAGGATGATCGACGGAAGTAATAGAAGGTGGCCTAGAAAGGTCTTGCTCTCGGTCCGAGATGGCGGAAATTCGAGACCCCTTCAAGGAATTGACCCGGCGGGCAGAGAAGTAGTTTAAGCTTCCCGATGCATTGTCTTGGCCAGCAGAATTTCTGTTGTTGTTGTTGTTAACACTCCAGGGCCACAACCTCCGGCGAAAGTCCAAGGTCTCGCCATCCTCCGTGCCGCGAGGAAATGATTGACTCTGGCCTATCTTGAGACTGCCAATTGGGGGCCCTTCTTCGTCAGACGTCTTTGGGGCCTTACTTCTTAGAGCAAAAGGCGAAAAGAAGGCTGAGAGTCGGTGACTGCTGGCGGGTGCTGGCGCTGGAGGTGATTGAGGCATGTTTAATGAAATTCGATCACCCGAGTCCACATAATGAGGGTAAGGCAAATTATTCGCAGATCCATGGGGACTTGAGAAGACATGAAAAGACGGTGCCGAAGAGACTGGTGATTGCGGGCCCTCCTCTTCGACCACAATAGATTGAGGCAGAAGACGATTATGAGATTCCTTGACATCCTCAGACTCCTCAGCGTCGTCAAAGATGTTTGACGGCAGAAGAGTCTGGGCCGACGGACTCAGCGGACCAGTAGCAGCCTTGAGCTCGGCTTCTGATTGCACCTCGATCTGATTGTTCCCCGACATGTCCATGAAAAGGCCAGGTCCAAATGTGGGAGCACCAAACGATGCATTGCCTTGAAGATGTGGTTCAGCGTGGGCCAAAGGAGGTGATGATACCGGGGTACCACCCAAGCCAGGTCCCGGAAAGCTCAGGCGCTTGGCACCTTGAGATGCCATAGCTGGGTCGTAATCCATCGCCGTGGGCGGTGATTGAGTATAGAAATTCAGACCAGCCTGTTGTTGCTGAAAAGCCAGCTGGTCGGCGAGAGCCCGAATTTGCTGGTCTAGAGTGTGCCCGAGCTTAGTCCCAGCAACAAGACGGTTATGTAGATCTTGCCTCTTCATCTCCCACTCTGTCTTGATCCGCTCATCCTCCTCCTTCCATTGTTCGTCGTTGGCGTCTGGAAGCTGCTCTCGGGTTGCTTTGAGATCCTGTAGCTGTTTGCCCTTTTGAGCGAGCTCGGCCTCAAGACCGGCGCACTTTTCTTGTAGTGACGCCACTTGGGCATCGAGACCTTTGACATCATGATCCCGTTTTTGTTCTAATTCCATTTTCTGCGTTTTAAACCCTTCGCGCTCCTTCCTCATTCTCTCCACTTCTTTCTCGAACTTGGAAATGCTGTCCTTAACTTTTGATTTTTTCGTTTCTTTTTCTTTCAACTGCTGCTCCATCTTCGCTCGCTCCTTTTCTGCGGCTCTCATTTGCTCCATGGTTGTCCGCATCATGGCTTTAAGCTGCGTGGTGCACTCCTCCTTCTCCCTGAGGGCTTGTCTCTTCCTGTCCCTCTCCCTTTTCAGTTCATCTTCTTGTTGCAAAGCCTCGGCCTGTTCCTTGGCGGCTAATTGGACAATATCGTCTATTTCCTTTCGAATGGCTTCGAACTTCTCATTTAGCTCGGCCAGTGACATTTCTGGCTCGTTCGATGCTGTAGGCTTGGCTTGTGCCTGGTCTGTGCTTGCTACCGACGGAGAATGTCGTCTATTAAGGGTGTTTCGCCGCTGGCCAGAAACCCCTGCCGCAAGATCTCTGGAGGAGCCCGTGACCCCGTCATTCACGGGTGTAGCCTCGACGGTCGGATAGGGGAATCCAGGCCCATCGGAATCATCGGTATCGTCGGTGTTCGCACGTGAGAGGCCAGGATCCACGAAACTGGTAGGCAATCGAGAGTTTCCCAATTGAGGTCGACCATCTTTACCAAAAGTTCGTAGCCTGATGATAGTACTGTTGGATCGAAAGTTGTTTGGACTAACCGCTATAACCCTGATGTTGTAAAAATGATTGGGTCTCAGGCCGGTAATTGTTATTGCCTTCTCATTACCGGCTACTTCATCCACTACTCAAGTCTCGGTTAGCATCTTTGAATGGATGGACACGGCGTGTTCCACCAAGCAGTGTTGGGGGTGAATGAGGTTTTCCCACCATCAACGCCATTGACCTGTATTAAGAGTTTCTGAACCGGGCGCTGGGAGGCAGTTCGTGCATCCCACGTCAAATATGCCGAGTCGGATCGAATTCCAGCAAGGCAGACATCTGGGGGTGGCGGGATGTCAAGGCCGAGAATATTGACGAGCTCGGGAATGGGTTTCCAAAGTGTCTGAAAAGCGCGATGAACCAGCCTAGCAGATGGGAGAGGAAAAGCCGTTAGCCCTTTTGAACACGAGAAGGGTACAGCTACGACACAAAGCGATTTGGCTGTCGGTGGCGGACCTGGTCTGGCCAGGTGGTCGCGAATCGGCATAGCAAACAAGGCCGGGGGAAGGGCTTTTTCAACTCACCAGATGACAGCCCCTAGAGTCAGCCCCATCTTGAAGCGCGCAGCCGGCGAGGCATTGATGACAGCATCGTGAGCAAAAAAATAAATGCGATACATTACGGCGCGGCCATCGAGGCGTAGAAGGAGAGCGGTGACGATTGCGTAGAGAAGGGTTCTGGAGCCGGACAGGTATCTACGACACAAGCCAAGTGTGAGGAAGGTGACCAAGAGCGTGATCAAGGACAAGGGCTCCCATGTCATATTCTCAGCCCTCCTAGCTCTGCTGAGAGGAGGCGAGAAAATCCAGATCGCAAAGACTAAGAATTAATACCTGGCCGAGGGTGTGGTGGTGAGGCGGCCGGCAGTTGGGGAATAAAGGTGGAGGGCAAAAAAGGAAAATCGTCGTCGGTAAAGGACGTATGACTTGGACAAGACAAGGCCCATGATGTGGAGAGCGATGCAGTGTTTGGAGCAGCAGTTGACCTGTGGCGGAAGGAGCTAGAGAGTGGCAATTGACTATGACTGGACAGCGAGGTGCAGCCTGTTGCGAAAGTACGTACAAGTGCTCTTACCTGTAGTAAAGTCTGGTAAGCGGGTTTGGCGGGCAGGCCAAATGATTGGGGCACATTGAGCATTGAAGCCGGGGGGGCATATGTGAGGACGTTGAGCCGGCCACTGTGGCACTTGACCCAAGACTGCCCTGCACCTTGCCAAACATGCATGCGCGCTGGGAACGGTCAAGTACTCCTTACTGGACCGTTTTACATGTAACGGCAGCGGGCAACCAGGTGCCCTCGCAGCAATGCCTGGTACCTAAGTACTTCAGTACTTAAGTACCTAATAACATTGAAGTCAATACTTGCTGCTAAGTAGGATAAGTACTAGGTACCTTAAGTATTTTAGGTAGGCCCTTCACGTACTAATCGGCGGAAGTGATTGGCTAGCAGCCATGCTCGGCAGTGGCTCGACTAAAAAATGCCTGGTGCATCTGTGTGTGCACGAGGTTTTCGCAGGCAAGTTACTACTATCCAGCTTGCCCAGACGAACTCGGGCAACAGGGCCATGTGGCTGGCTTGCAGCTATTCTGGCATCAATTGACATGGCCGCAGGGTTTGCCACGGCAGGCACTCCGTCGCAACCTCAGACCAAGACATGGGCATGGCCGCAGCTAATTGTCGAGAATGTCAATACTGTCCCTCGGTTGCAGTGAATAAACAACAGCAACGACGCTAAACATTGAGCCAACGTTGTTGGCCGATGGCCTGATCTCTGCTGCAGATCGACCTCACATTAGCGTCGCCTTGGCTTTCCGCTCCCTTGTCGAGATCAATCAGAAAGACAGCCCTGTTGCCAGCCACCCTGGAGGATGGAATCCATGCAACCGACTCAGGCGCCACCGAGGCATTGGGGATTTTCAATGTCCCTGCCTTGGGCCCAGGTCGACAACGGGAGCACATGACGGTGTACTGCATGCCGCGGCTCGGCGTCGTGCGCAATGCCAAGTCGTTGTCACTTGATGGGGATTGTGGCCATCCCGCGCCATGTCCACGTATTAATGACCATTTACGGAGTAGCTTAGCAAAAAGGCCGTCCCGAGGACAGGAAAAAAAAAGAGCTGGGGCAAATTGCTTTACGGGGCTATAGCGGCCGGAGCAGCCTTCTGGACTCGGCAAGGACAACCTGGTCGCATTGAAAACTCGTAGTAGTGGTTGTCGGCCTGACTGGTTCACGATGGGAGCCATGACGCATGGCATAGGCCTCAATTGATGGTGCTGGGAAGAGTTTGGCGGCAGCGCGAACTGATTCCAGCGCCGAAGCAGAGTCCTGCAGCACAACGGAGTGACTATAATCCAGCACTGGCGCTCCGGACGGAATACTTGGGAGGTACCTTGGTACCAGGGTGGCAAGCACATGATACAATGACGGAGGAGCCCGCACGAGCACAATCCGTTGAACGTACCAACCAAGTCATTACTCCGACTAACCAGTTGACATCCACTATCCACCTCCGGCCGCCGCGACCCGGCTCTGGCTTGGCGTTGATGGGAAAGCCAACGGGTCTGTCTTTCTTTGTTGAACAGATTCGGCCAAACTGCCCAACAACCACCGACTCGCCATCCAATCCTTCGTTTTACAATCTGCTCGTCTACCTGTTCCCTGGTCGTCTATTGCTTCAACTTCTCTATCCCGTCAGCGCATAGTCCTCTCTGATTCGCATCGTATTTGCTCCCCTGCATCTCTGGCTCGACGATAAGCCTTCCCTATCAGCTGCTCCCGCCACCCAATGTCACTCGCTCGTTAGCGTCATCGCCTGCTCTCCCCAAGCTCGAACCCGGCCGGCCCAACACAAATACCAAAACACCGTTGTCAACAGCTTCCCAACCCAAACCGCAGTGGTCGTGGCCAAAAAACGCATCATAATTGCGGAAAGTCCATTCGCGCGCCTTGGTTCTGTCGTTGCGCCCGCTCCTGAGATCACCTTTCCCACCAACGTTGGGCCCCTCTCTCACCAAACTTGACCCGACTTCTTCCCAGGCCAGCGGTTGGCATCGACGCACAACACGCCGCTAGGTATTCAAGGCGTGACCAGGCCGCAGCCGGGAACCATGCAATACGTTCGAAATCTCAGCGACTCAGTCTCGACAGCATGGAACTCCATCAACCCTGCCACGCTTAGCGGTGCTATTGATGTCATCGTTGTCCAGCATGAAGATGGCTCTCTCACCTGCTCGCCCTTTCACGTGCGATTCGGCAAGTTTTCGCTACTGCGACCGTCTGAGAAGAAAGTCGAGTTCAAGGTCAATGGCATCAAACAGGAGTACTCCATGAAGCTCGGGGAAGGCGGCGAGGCCTTTTTTGTCTTTGAGACTACTGAAAACGTCCCTGCATCGCTCCAAACGTCTCCGCTCGTTTCTCCGGTCAGCAGTCCCGGACTGGGTCCTGAGGAAGCGCCTGCCGGACTCAATGATCCCGATATTCTTGAACTTGATCAAGAACTGAGCAACTCAACTCGGCCACCAGCCGCTGTACTGCAAACTCAGCCTGACGAAAATGGTTAGCTTTCCTGTTTTGCTCTCAATATGACATTCCCCTGTAGTGTTTGCAAGTTGCTAAGTGTGAAATTAGGCATGATGACTCCGCTATCGGCCTCACCAAATATGTCAAAGCCGCGTCCGATGTCTGGTGATTGGACCTCGTCCTTGACCCGGCCGCACAGTGACGACGTTCTCAGGCAGTCTGCAAGAGCTGTCAATCGTGATGATGAAGACGAGTCTAGAGATCCCAACGAATCCGAAAGATCACACAGCCCTCCACCTATGGGAATGGAGCGGGCTAGAACTCTAGCCAAGGAGCTGTCTGCTGTAAACATACCTAGCCGCGTCACCGAAACCGGAGACCTCATGCTCGATATGACTGGTTTCAAGAGCAGCGAAGAGGACATGCTCCAGGCAGAGATCCTCGCTAGGAAGATTCTTTCTGAGGAGCTTGAGGGCAACTACGATATTGGCTCTCTTTTCGGCTTTGACGAGGAAGGCAATTTGTGGATCTACAGCAGTGAAGAGGCGAAGCAGGCGGCCATGAATAAAACGATTGAGTCGTCGCTCAAGGCCCATCGCCATAACACGGCCGCCGATGCCGTCTCTGATCCAGGATATCACAGCGACGGCAGCGATGTTACGACGAGCCCCCATGTCCCATCACACCGACGATCAGAGTCCGACGCTGGTCCATCAGGATTGCAGACCCCTCCTCGGACCCCTCCTGGATATGCTTCAAACCCAAATGTCAACTACGCCAAGACTCTGCGCTTGACTAGCGATCAACTGAAGGCACTGGACCTGAAGCCAGGGGAGAACTCTATGAGCTTCACTGTCAATCGCGCAACTTGCGCCGCAAGCATGTACTTGTGGAATCATGAAACTCCAGTCGTCATCTCCGACATTGATGGAACCATCACCAAGTCAGATGCCCTCGGTCATGTGCTAAACATGATTGGCCGCGACTGGACACACACGGGTATTGCCAAGCTGTATAGCGATATTGCTCAAAACGGATACAATATCATGTATTTGACAAGTCGGTCCGTTGGACAGTCTGATACAACTAGAGCGTATGTCAATGGCATCGTTCAAGACGGATGCAGGATGCCCCATGGCCCTACAATCTTGTCGCCGGATCGCACTATGGCAGCTCTGCGGCGAGAAGTTTATTTGCGCCAGCCGCACGTATTCAAAATGGCTACTCTTCGAGACATCAGCAGCCTATACGGACCAGATCATAATCCGTTTTACGCTGGGTTCGGCAACCGTCTGACGGATCAGATTTCTTACCGAACTGTAAATGTACCCAGAACCAGAATTTTTACTATCAATTCCAACTCTGAGGTGTCTCTGGATCTTTTAAGCCTCAATAAGCTGAAGATGAGCTATGTCAACATTAACGAGGTTGTCGACCACTACTTCCCTCCCGTCGCTACACTAGTGAAGGGTGGCGGAGAAGACTACACCGACTTTAAATATTGGCGCGACGAGCCCCTTGAGCTTGACGAATTCTCGGCTAGCGACAGCGAAGAACTAGATGTGCCTGGAGACAATGAAAGCACATACACCGTCGACGACGACGAAGAGATTGGCGACGGCCTTGTCGACAGCTACATCTCACGCGAGTCGATAGACGAAAGCGTGGATGACGATAATGTCGAAAATGACGAGGAGTACGATGAGGACGATGAAGAGGGCGAATACGAAGAAGACGACGCTGGGTCTGACGATGAAGCCCAGCTTGTTGATCACATGGCCAGGTCCATGATTTCCAGCAAGGGCGTCGAAGAGGACATCGGCGCGGAACTAATCACGGGGGTTGGTCACTTATCTCAAGAGAAAAAGACATAACAGGATAAAACTTGAGGCTAAAAATGGGAGTAGTTGAGCGGCAACGGCGTTGCGATCGAATCACAGGAAGTATACGTTGAAGAGCCCGTCGAGATTCGGCCCACACCTACACCCACACCTGAGCGAGCATATTAGGAGGAAGCATTTTTTTTCCGCGGTGAAGTATACTCTAGCATAACGAGTCTTTTGTATCTCCGAAAGTACCTGCGGCGGGTAAGGGGGGAGAAGGGGCGATCATAAGGCGCATTCTGTTAGGAGGTACGCTGAATATTCATTGATGGCATTGGAGTGGACGCATGGCATAGCGCGGGCGTTGAGGATGACATTGTTTGGTGTTGCGAATAGAAAGTTTGAATTGTAGCATGAATAGCAAAGCATCATTTTCACTTATCGCATGAACGTCATTTGTAGTTTGCAGGTTGCCCTGATAAATTCACCCCCTTCACCCTGATCCTCATTGTCCATTTAGCTTATCTAATACCTGCCCGTGTACACAAAGAAACCACATCCTATATAGCATACTTTTTTCAACGCTTAATGTTTCATGATTCACTGTCCATTCATGTGCTTGATGCGAATCTCGACTGCCCTCCTGTGAGCTTCCAACTCTTCCACCTTGGCTAGCTGCATGACGGCTGAGCCGACGTTCTTGAGACCCTCGGCGGTGAGGTTAGAGCAAGTGATGTGTTTCATGAAGGAGGCGAGGTTTACGCCGGAGTATTGCTTGGCGAAGCCATAGGTGGCTAATTCATGTCAGTGGGATTTTAAAGCCTTGTATGTCCAAGGGAAGAGGGAAACTTACGCAGAGAGTGGTTCACACCGGCTGAGTAGTCGCCGACGCTTTCAGGGGTCCATTCGCCGATAAAGACACTGCCGGCATTCATGACCTGGTCTACGGACTTTGCAGCATCGTTGATCTGTAGAATTAGATGTTCGGGGGCGTATTCGTTGCTGATGCGCATGGCTTCCTGGATGGTGTTGACTTGCACTGTGACAGAGTGGGCAATGGAGCCACGGACAATGTCGACGCGAGGGAGGGCAGTGGCCTGATTGTGGACCTCGTCGTCAATGGCCTTGAGCTGCTGCTCGTTCAGGTCAACGGCAATGAGAATGACCTGGCTGTCGACGCCATGTTCCGCTTGGGAGAGCAGGTCAGACGCGACAAACGCGGGATTGGCGTCCTTGTCAGCAATGACGAGAACTTCAGACGGACCAGCAGGCATGTCGATGCTCACGCCGGCGTTTGTGTCATTGCTGACGTGCATCTTGGCAGCTGTGACGAACTGGTTACCAGGGCCAAGGATCTTGTCGACTTTGCTGACGCTCTCGGTGCCGTAGGCCATGGCGGCCACGGCTTGAGCTCCGCCAGCGAGGACGATGCTCTCGGCGCCGACTTTGTGCGCGACGTAGACAATCTCAGGGGTGATGCTGCCGTCTGCGCGTGGCGGTGAGGCCAAGACGAGCTTCTTGCAACCGGCGACCTTAGCGGGAACGCCGAGCATAAGAGCGGTGCTGGGGAGGACGGCCGTGCCGCCGGGGATGTAGAGGCCGACCCGTTCGATGGGGCGAGAGAAGCGACCACAGACGACGCCGGGCATGGTCTCGACTTGGAGAGGCTTATCTTCCTTTTGAGCAGCGTGAAACTTCTTGATGTTCTCGTAAGAGGTGTCGATGGCCTTGATGGTCTCCGGATCGAGCTTCATGAGTTCCGGGGGGAATGGAGCTTTGATAACTGGCGAGGTGAGAGAAGTGGCCTTCTCAAACCTGTGAGTGTACGATAGCAAGGCCTTGTCACCATTCTTGCGAACATCGTCGATGATGGGAGTGACAATTTTGAGGATAGCCTCGGGGGATTTCTGAGATGGACGCTGGAGCGCCTTGAGCAGCTCGGCCTCTGAAACCGTGGCAGAGTTGATTCGCTGCATGGTGATTCTACCGTCGGCAGACTTCTCAGCCAGGGCAGCCTTGGGCACAGCAGCTTCGGTCTTGATGCCCTCCTTCTCTGCCCATTTGCCTTTGGCATTGCCCGGTCGTCTGGTAACCTTGAGACTCTTCGCGTCCAAGTTGGCCTCAATGTCAGCCAAGGTGGCACCGGCGCCAATGGCCTTGGTCAAAGCAAAGTATATAAGATCAGCAGCCTCGAAAGCAACATCTTGTGGAGTCTTGGCATCACATAGCTCCTCAGCCTCTTCCATGATCTTGGCCCGAAGCAGCTTCTCATCAGAGAAGAGACGGGCGGTGTAGGACCCTTCGGGGGCAGACTTCTTTCTTGAAATGAGCGTCTGCTCCAGGGCAGGGATGCCATTCAGGTTTCCAAAACACCCAAACTGCTGGAGGTGGCAGAATCGGCCAGTCTGCTTGACAACAAACTTCAAGGTGTCATTGTCGCAGTCCAACCCTACTCGGACGAGATCCTGAGTGTCTCCTGAAGTGGCACCCTTGACCCAGAGCCCTCTCTTGCGGCTTTGGTAAACGCCGGTCTGCGTTTTCAGTGCTTCAAGAATGCTCTCTTCGCTGGTATAAGCAAGACCAAGAGCTACACCAGCCTCATCGGTGACGACAGTAGGAATGAGGCCATCCTGGCGGTCAGATTTCCAGTATTTCGCGATAACCTTGGAGACTAAGAGCTTTCCTGCGGCAGACTTATCCGTCGTCAGACCGGTAGAAGGGAGAATAGGAATGGCATTGGCCTTCTGTGCGGCCTCGATGAACTTCTCGAGAGGTGCTCCATCGGTGGGAAGCAGGTAGAGGTTCTTGACCTTGGCAGATTGAGCTGCCTCGAGGAATTTCTCCGACTCGGGAGTTGAGAGATCAAAGTTCCTGACCAGTAATCCGTGTTCTGAAGCTGAAGAGATGTCCGGCTTGCTAACGACCGGAAGCACTCTGTCTCCGAACTCGGTGTAATGAGACAAGGCATCTGGAGCGACGAATACTTTGCGCGCCCCGCGATCCAGTAGGGCGATGACATCGTCTTGTGATTCCAGAGAAGTAGCGTCCAGATGAGCATGGAATTCGTAACTGTGACGATTGAAGAAGCGTAAGAGCTTATCTTGAATCTTTGGCGTTGCCTGCAGGAAGGGATTGCCCAAGAGCGACACTTCCTCGCGGGTCAACCCGTCGAGGTTGGCCAGGCCCGGCGGGACGGCAACGCTGACGAGGAACGGCAAGGGCAGCTCCGTCTCCATTGCGAAATGCGATTCCTGGATCAATGGGGAACTGGTGGAATGTAGTTCCAAACAGGTCGCCAAGAAATATAGAATTCAATTGGGAGAATGAAAGATCGCAAGCGCAAGTGACTCAACATGGAGGATCCCCAAAAAGATCATGGTGGGGCTGGGCTACACTGCGACTTTTTGCCCCTCCATTAGTTGGCGACGGAATTGGATTGACGAAAAAAAAGTGGCAGCAGCATCGTTGTGAGACGCTGGGTGCACCTGCAGTTTGACAAATGGCCAGGCCGTTCCTCCCGCCCCTGAAGACGCTGGCGCACAACACTCTAAGCTGCTGAGGTCACCAATGGCTACCCGCTGACCACGCCATTGACCTCGGCGTCATTGGCCCTCGTGCCACCCCGGATTAACAAGTAACCGACTGGCAGCTCTCAACAGCAACCACCGTCTCTGGCGTGCCTCGCGCTCTCCAATTCGAAACTCTCACGAGTTGCATCATTAGTTGCAGCTTCTGCATTCAGTCGCTGTGGCCCAAGACTGAACGCATCTCGCGCACCGCAGGCCACAATTTGGTATATCCTCTTGTATGCGCCATCCATAGCATCGCCGTGTCCTCACCCTGCGGCACTTGCTGCGCAACTCAGCGTTGCAAGCCGAAGCGCACCACCTTCTACTTCTACGTCAACCGGACGTCCGAATACCTCGCCATGGCTTCCAGCCAACCTCAGACCAACGGAGTCACGGCCCCGGCCAATACATCATCACAAACCGCGCCAAACACACAATCCACCACAGCTGCGCCTGCTGGCGCTCCGCAAACTCCAGCTCAACCTCCTGGTGCCTCGGACCCCCGACCTCGCGATGCGCGATTGATCGAACTCCTCCTCACCTCGCAAGGAGTAACCGCATACGAACAACGCGTTCCGCTACTCCTCCTCGACTTTGCATATCGCCACACATCCTCCATTCTTAGCGACGCGTTGCACCTCTCTGGCGACCCGTACGTCACCCAAGCTGGGTCGAAACCTTCCGCGGCCTCGGGCGCATCAGCGCTTGCTGCAGGGGATGCGCCCATCACAGCAAATGGCGTTAAGCTCGCTATCGGTGCCCGCCTAGGGTACCAATTCCGCGGAGGAAGCAGCGGAGGCGGCATCAGCAAAGATTACATGCAGGAACTGGCCAGAGAACGGAACAAAGTTGCCTTGCCAAGAATAGTCCCCAACGAATGGGGTGTTCGACTACCGAGCGAGCGGTTTGTTCTTAGTGGGACGAGCTGGGGCCTCAAAGACATGTGGGATGAGGCCGGGGATGATGACGAGGAAGAGGAACAGGGCGGCGACGCCATGGAAGGGATTGAGGCACCGGAGCCGGAAGATGTTGGTGGCGATGGAGTCGAGGGCGGTACTGTTGATGATGTCTTTGGAGATGATGTCGATCAAGAGATGGCCGAGTAAACACCGTTTCTGGTGCCATATCCATTGATGTTTTGGCCCTGTTTAGTGGTCTATACCTATTTGCATTGGTAGCTGGGCTGTGGTTGGTGGCGTTTGCGGCGTTTGGCGATGGATTAGAGCTCACCGGCTAGCATAAGTCTGTCGAGTGGGAAATACAACTTCTTTAACCCGAAATATCGTTGGTGCATCTTGACTATTTCTGTTTCGTAGACTGCTAGGGAACCAATATGGGCCGAATGAAACTTACTTCTACCTATTCCTTGTCTATGGGCAAATTTGATGACCTTGACATGGGGAAATCAACTCTTATGCGTAATAATCGATGCTGAGTCGGATATTTATCGGAAAGCGAAGGGGCATCATGGACCTTGGCCGCGGAATACCAATACTCGCCCATGGTGTATGATATTCGGCGCTGTGGTTCCGTTCCATATATCCTGGTCCAATGCGTGAATTTTTTTTCTCTGCTTGCTATCGAAACACCAGCAGGGAACCTGTTACTGACATAATGCAGCGCCTGGCATTGTTCACTGACTTTCACTAAACATGACAGTTATGTCTTCTAAGCGAGCATTCAAACTACAACAATACCACTGGGAGGTCGATATCGTCGATATAGCACTATTTCTGTCCCCGCCAAACAGCCTTGTTTAAGAACAATCGCTAGGAGCGGATACAACAGTTCCCTACTCTTCAGCATCTCAACTCCCTGATTATTCCCAATTCTACTGTAGACGAAGTGGATACCTGCTTGTCTCTTGGGTTGGACTCAAGTAACTCCAGAGTACAATGTGAGGTTGGAGTTCGGTATGTGACTGGGGTACTTGTACAGAAGCAACACTCTCGAGGAGTTTTGGAATAGAAAGTCTCGTCTGCACAGACTTTGTTCATCTCGATACGTGAAGTATTGATTTCACGTTCTTCCTTGTGTATTCACAGTCCATGGGGCGAAATAGCAGGGTGTGGTGCAGGATTGACCTTGTCACACATAAACATGATTGTGATGCAAGTCAATACATATCACCTACACACAGAAATTTACAAATACATTCCAAGCAATGAAAATTACTCCGACAGCAGCGTTTGCGTAGCTTCCTGAAGAGGAGGGAGCACCTGAGAGCGAAGTAAGGTGAAAATAGTTGCAGTACTGGAACATGTTTACAAGACAAATAAAACACCGGATTTTAGTACCCCCGATTCTGACAACTACGATATGTGAACAAGTAGATAACTTTATGGTACACTAGGCCTTTGGTGAAAACGGTATCTCTTACACTCTATACCCGAGTCTCGCTTTTGCCAACCCTGCCGGCCCGACACTACCTTAAAACTTTGGCTTCATAGTGTTCCGTAGTCTCTGGTAGTCAAACAATGCTTCAATGTTTCCAACGGCGCTGATGGCAATGTCCTTGTCCCACAACTTGCGGTTGGCAAAGTCCATGACCTCTTTCTCCGTGATGGCATCGATTCTGCGCTCAATCTCCCCGGGCATCATGCGGCGGCCAGTGGTGATGAGCTGGCGGCCAATGTCCTCGGCAACGGCCGTGGTGCCGTCGAGTGATAGGAGTATGGAGGCCTTAAGCTGAGCCTTGGCGCGCTCAACCTCAGCCTCGCCGACGTTGGTGCACAGGCGCATCCACTCACGCATGGTGAAGTGGACGAGATCGTCGAGGCGGGTGATGTTGTCGGTGGTCAGATAGATACCCCACAGACTAAACCATTCTTGTTAGCTACAATTCTGCCCAACCCTGCTTGAAGGGGCACTCAATCTTACCCAGTATCACTGTAGCTGGTGGAGAAGCTCATGAAGTTGTTAGCCAGCTCGTGTCGGTGGACGAGACCACTGAGCTTGCTACCCTGGTTGGGAGCGTTACCCATGGCCTTGTCATAATTGCCGACAATAGCCTGGGTGACCAGAGCAGTGAAGTAGTCGTCAGAGCTCCAGCTAACACCTTCAACAGCCAAGGCAACGTTGGCAGTGCCCATGGTATCATCACGGACACGAACATCTGAGCCAATGAAGTCGGCCTTCTGCTTAGAAAGAAGGTAGGCCTGGTTCTCAGGGCTCTTGGCGGGGAGGCCGGCGAAGTGCTTCTCGGCCAACTCAACGAGCTGCTCGTGGGGAATGCCACCAGCACCGACGAGGACCATACGGTCGGCGGTGTAGTTGTTCTTGATGTAGCTGGTGAGCTCGGTTCGGGTGATGTCGCGGATGTTCTGGCGAGGGCCAAGGATGGTGCGGCCCAGTGGCTGGTGCTGGAAAGCAGTGGCATGCAAGTGGTCGAAGACGACCTCTTCAACCTGCTTCTCAACTTCCTCGGACTCACGAAGGATGACATCACGCTCGCGCTCGATGGCAGACTCCTCGAGCTTCGAGTTCTGCAGAATATCGGACAGGATGTCGACGCACTGAGGAACATCGGAGTTGAAGGCCTTGGCAAAGTAGACGGTGTTCTCACGCTATTGGTCGTGTTAGTTGTCCGGCATTCCGGCGTCTCCTTGTAGAGGTTGCATCCACGTACAGAGGTGTAGGCGTTGAGGTGGCCGCCCATATTCTCAATCTCGAGCTCCAATTGCTGCTGCGATCGCTTGGCAGTGCCCTAGACACGTAGTTAATATTTTTGACGGCCAATTGCGCCTCGACGGTGATTGTTGCTGGTGTACCTTGAAAGCCAGATGTTCGAGGAAGTGTGCGGTGCCGTTGTTCTCGTCAGTCTCGGCGCGGGAACCGGCGTCAATCCAGACACCAACAGTCGAGGTCTGGGCCCATGGCGAGTGCTCAGTAGCGACCTAGTGTTCCCGTGTCAGTAGTAAGGCCATGCAAGGCAAATCGCGGCCAATTGAGCCCGGGTGAATGGTACGCACGGTCAGGCCGTTCTTGAGTGTTGTCGTTTGAGTTTTGCCGACGCTGGAAGGAGTCGCGAAGCCGCGACGAAGAGAACCGGCGGCCGACAGACCAGCACGGCTTCGCAGGCCCTGCGAGAGGTTCAAAGCTAGTCTGCGAGACGCCATGGGGGAGGATTGGGTGGCTCGGAGGTGGTTTGAGTGGTTTGATGAAATCTTTCGATCTCGCTCGGCTAGAAGCTTTCCTGAGATAATTTGTGGCCTGAAGCACCAGGCGTCCATTTGCATTCCGACCAGCTCCGAGGCTTAGCCCCATGGTCAAGGAGAGGACACGGGGCCAATCAAACCGCCGCATTAGTAACCTAGTCCCCATCCCTTTTCGACCAGGGCCATGTTCCTCCAACAGTTGCGTCAAGCATGTGTTGAAGATCATCAATACAAGGCATCCTTAGCCAGCTATGCTTATGATTGCATTGCATCTTGATCATAGCTTCAATACATTATGCCGCGCCCCTCCCCCCTGCTTTTATACCCTTGATCTCTCATCCTTACCTTCGAGTCCCCTTCCCAGGCGTGCACTACTTCCGTCAAATGTCAAATGTGTGCCAGGTGGGAGGGAACTTGTAACATCATTCCCACAACATATTCCAGCCTCTAGATTATATTTCCAATCCAAAAATTTAATTGCGGCAGAACCGGCCTTTACTTCCTTCACTGTTTCCGAAGTCACTGAACAGGAACAATGAGATTGTCATATGTGTTGCCCAAATTGCGGCAAAACCGGCCCAACGCCTGACGATGGCAATCGAAGGACATACAGTGGGTGTATATCTACTTAAGTAAGTACGCTAACATGCCGTAGTATATCTTAGTACATCGTGCGATACTCAGGTACCTTCTCTGGTTGACTCTTTCTGCACCCCCACCGCAACATTGGCCCTGGAGCATTTGCTAGCGGGGATATCCATCAATTATTAGTCGTCACCAGTGACCACCAGAAGGACTCTACCCACACATTGATTGCGTCGTACCGTACAGAAAACGATAGGTCATTATATGTTGTATAAAAACATACATGCAAGCTGTTAGGAACTTGTCAATTTTTTTTTAGCCCAGCAACAATTATGAAGGCCCTGGTTCAAAGTTATCCCCCCCTCGGCCAAGTCACCGTCGTCCAGGACTGCACAGTCGTGCTAACATCGGTATTGGAAATATCCAACAGCCGAGCAGAAGAAGAGTGGGATGTCGCGCTTTGGATTTCTGTAGACGGCGGGCGCTGGAGTGAGATACGTCTGACCAGGCTGGGGCATGGTGCTGAACCACCTGTGCTCAGCAAAAAGCCACAGTCGTCCTCGTTCCTATTTTTCCGTTGTTCATTTTCGCTTCACGAATTTGCAAATTTCACCATTAAGTTCCGACGAGCAAGTGACGAATCGTGGAAATGGGTTCGTGAAGAGGAGGGGTCGAATGATGGTATCATCATTCTATCGACATCTCCCACCTCGCCTCCCGACGATTTAAGGCCATGTATCCCGGACTTGGACACGGAATGGAACATCTCATCTCGCGTTAGTCAGTCCCCTGGCACGCAACTATGGTCACTTAGTTGTTCCTTGCCTGCCTCTGTAGGGAAGAACTCGACATTTAGAGATATTACCATCGGTACGCCGTGGGGCTCATTTATAAGGTAGGCAATTTCCATTTGCGAGGCAGTATGAAGTCGAGCCGTATACTGGGAAGGTTTTAGCACTTGTAGAATCACAACTGTACATTGATGGTGTCGATGTTGCTAATAAGATGTAGATGGTTTTCTCTCGTACGTCACAAGGCAGCCTGGCTGGGCCCTCGACATGGCAGATCTCGTTTCTCTCCAGATCAGGACTCAATCTTGGGTTGTTTTTTAAGCCATCATGGCAAGACCATGGCAATACTCGCCGTGAGTGGCGTAGGCAGTGTAACAGCCACTATTCGGGATAATGGCCACGGTGTGGTCGCTGTTCACGTATGCAGGGGCCCGCTTTCGTTATCTTTGGTATTATGATTAATGGTTGCAGGCCAGAAACGATTCTGCGTCGTCGGAAACAACTGTGGTTCTGATCTCGGAAGGGATCGATTTCGACCACGCGGTTGCCTCCGTCATGTACCATGCAAGAACGATGGTATCAGAGACACATGGCGTGTCACAAAACCATAACAATAGTCGAGCAAAATGGGATTCAAAAGCTATAACTGGGTGGAAGCCGGAATGGCAAGATGGTTTAGGATTCTGTATGTTGTCCCCGTCGTATAGAATGCGTCCTCCCACGCTAACCCACAAACCGGCACTTGGAATTCTTTGGGACAGCAGCTTTCTGAGACAAAAGTTCTCAATGCGATAGAAGAGCTTGCCAGGAACAAGATTCAAATAACGAATCTCATTATCGATGACAACTGGCAGTCTCTGGATCGCACTGGAAGTGATCAATCACAGTATGGATGGTCTGAGTTTGAAGCAGACCGCAACGCTTTCCCCAGCGGCCTGAGAAGCGTGGTAGCACAAATTCGAAACTTGCACCCAGCTCTTCAGAATATCATCGTATGGCATGCCATGCTGGGATACTGGGGCGGCATCTCACCCAATGGGCTTATTGCGAAGACTTACAGCACAATCAAGGTAGCCCAAGAGGGTGAAAACAGCCATCCGCTGACCATTGTTGGCAAACCGGATGTATCGCGGTTATACAACGACTTTTACAGATTCTTGGCTGAGTCGGGAATTGATGGCGTCAAAGCTGATGCGCAAGTCATGATCGACATGTTGAAAGATGCACCAGATCGTCGAGATCTGATATCTACCTACCTCGACGTCTGGTCCAAGACCTCGGAAGAGTATTTTGGTGGCAAAACCATATCATGTATGTCCCAATTTCCATACTCTATCTTCCGCTCTCAATTACCCCGAAGTAGAGGAGAGTTTTCTGTCAGAAACTCGGATGATTTCTTCCCAGATGTTCCACGGTCACATCCGTGGCATATCTGGGCCAACGCACACAATGCCATCGTCACTCAGTTTCTGAACGCGGTTCCGGATTGGGACATGTTCCAAACTGTGCACAGCTACGCAGAGTTTCATGCCGCAGCACGATGTGTAAGTGGCAGCCCAATTTACATCACAGATATCCCAGGCATGCACAACATGCATCTGATCAAGCAAATGACTGCTACTACGCCACTTGGTCAGACGGTGGTTCTTAGACCGAGTGTCCTGGGCAAATCAATGTGTGCCTATGCCGGATATGAGGACGGTTTGCTTCTGAAAATTGGCAGCTACAATGGTAAGTCTCCAGATCTGTACAAACTGTCCACTATGCGCTGATGATGAACAGGGGCATCCCAGACGGGCACTGGCATTCTTGGCATTTTCAATGTTTCAACAAGGCATCTCACCGAAATTATTCCTCTGGGGCTTTTTCCTGGGGTGTTTCAAGGAGGAAAATACGCCGTTCGATCACATACAACAGGACAGACTTCGGCGCCGATGACAACGGGCGCCCCAGACTCAGTAATTGCTGCATCGATAAATGAGGCAGGATATGAGATTTTATGCGCTTTCCCGCTGGCACAATTTAAGAGTGGTCGATATGGCAATGGATACGCTGGTGCCGTTGGCTTGGTTGGCAAGATGACTGGATGTGCTGCAATGACATACAGCGGTGTAGTTCAACGGGATTCTGGCACAGTCATCGTGACCTGCAACTTGAAAGCGTTGGGTACCCTAGGTGAGTTATAGCCCTCCATTTCGGAGTAAATCGCATATGCTGATATGGCTGAGTAGGTGTGTACATTTCTACGCTTCCGCACTTGAACATTGAAGACGACTTCATGGTAGCAATCGAGGACCAGCCTGTTCGGTTCGAGACGGTAAGTAGAAGTGAAGATGATGAGCGAATTTTTGAAATCGATGTTGAAAGAGCTTGGGAAGAGGTCGCGGTGAGCACTATGCAACGAGGTGAAGTGCAGATTAAAGTGAGCTTCCAGCCTTGATTTGGTGGCGGCTTGTTTCGAGGTGTTGATGTCAAGAAGGGCGAGAATTGGAAATGGGGCACTAAGTGGCAATCATATAAATGAATACTGGAGTGTCACGGAGGATTCTGCGCAAAAGCAGACGTGAACCGGTCGTTCCTCGTCCAACTTCATGTAATAAACCAGGCGTAATAGAGCTGGTCGCCGCCAAGAAACACGGTGTGTGTTTGTGTGTCAAGGTCGCGTCAAAGTCGGGAGTGACATCAGGAAGGGGCACCCCACCTGCCAGCAACTGCCCCGCTTCAGGAAAAAAAAAGGTTCTGGCGCATCCATCCACGCACCAAATGTGCGGTCCAGTGTGCTTAGCCACCTGGGAAAGCTCCGCTCCTGCAGGGTCCCTACACCAAAAAGTATAAGAAAAAAAATTTCGGCCTACCTCATTTCTCTCTCTTTGGCCTTCTTCTTTCCTACGGGAAGAAGCGCCGTATCAACCTCAACCAGTCGATTCAGTAGATCCTCGCCAGTTCTTCTACTTCGACTCTTACGTCTTCGACCTCGTTCTTTTCTTGCCCCCAGCCATTTGTGTGTTGCATTCGCAATGGCTGCCCTCGACGCCTTCGGCACCGGCAAGGTGCTTGACCACACCACCGCCCTCGATGTGCTCAAGGAATACAAGACTGCCGATGGTCTCGATATCCACGAGCTCATGGATACTACCAAGCACGGCGGTCTTACGTACAATGACTTCCTGCTGATGCCTGGCTACATTGGCTTCCCTGCCTCCGAGGTAACACTCGACTCCGCCGTCACCAAGCGCATCACTCTCAAAACTCCCTTCGTGTCTTCCCCCATGGACACTGTCACGGAGCACGAGATGGCTATCCACATGGCTCTCCAGGGAGGTCTGGGTGTCATTCACCACAACTGCTCTCCCGATGCTCAGGCCGACATGGTCCGTAAGGTGAAGCGATATGAAAATGGCTTCATCCTGGACCCTGTAGTCATCGGCCGCAACACGACTGTTGGCGAAGCAAAGGCCCTCAAAGAGAAGTGGGGATTCGGCGGCTTCCCTGTCACTGGTAAGTTGATAATCTACATTCCACCGCTTGCTTGTCACCCAATACGCCATTACACTGCAACATGATTATTACCCAATCAATTTATAACTTTCGTTCCACCGCAAAGACTTCACGTCATGGGGAGAAGAATACTATGACTGCACACATTTTATTGCCCGTTATGATGAACCATGTGCTTAGGACCAGTGGCTAACATCATTGGGCACAGAGGACGGCAAGCTTGGCTCCAAGCTCCTCGGTATTGTTACCAACCGAGACCTTCAGTTCGAGGACGAAACCGATGCTACCGTCGCTAATGTCATGGTGACTGACCTGGTGACTGCCCCCAACGGCGTCACTCTGGTCGAGGCCAACAAGATTCTGGCCAAGTCAAAGAAGGGCAAGCTGCCCATCGTTGACAAGGACTTCAATTTTGTCTCTATGATTTCCCGATCCGATTTGACCAAGAATCAGCACTTCCCTTTGGCATCTAAGCTGCCCGACAGCAAGCAGCTTCTTTGCGCCGCTGCTATTGGTACTCGTCCTGAAGACAAGATCCGCTTGCAGAAGCTTGTCGAAGCTGGTCTTGACGTTGTCATTCTGGACAGCTCTCAGGGCAACAGCATGTACCAAATTGAAATGATCAAGTGGTGCAAGAAGGAGTTCCCTGGCCTCGATGTCATTGGTGGCAACGTTGTTACTCGCGAGCAGGCTGCCTCTCTCATTGCTGCTGGTGCTGATGGCCTCCGAATTGGTATGGGCAGTGGCTCTGCCTGCATTACCCAGGAGGTCATGGCTGTCGGTCGACCTCAGGCCGCGGCCGTCTACTCTGTCAGCAGCTTTGCTGCCCGCTTCGGCGTGCCTTGCATTGCTGATGGTGGGGTTCAGAACGTTGGACACATCGTCAAGGGCCTTGCCCTCGGTGCTTCAACTGTCATGATGGGAGGTCTCTTGGCTGGTACCACTGAGTCTCCCGGTACCTCGTTTGTCTCTCGCGAGGGTAAGCTTGTCAAGGCTTACCGCGGCATGGGCAGCATCGATGCTATGCAGGACAAGAAGGCTGGCGGCGGCGGTAAGGACAGCCAGAAGAGCAACGCTGGTACTGCGCGATATTTCTCCGAGGGTGACAGCGTGCTGGTTGCCCAGGGCGTTTCGGGATCCGTTGCTCACAGAGGGTTCGTTGCCATACTCACCCCGTTGTCCCTATTAGAACATGCTAACTGACGTCTCCAATAGTTCTATCAACAAATTTGTTCCCTACCTGGCCGCCGGTCTCAAGCACTCCATGCAGGATTGCGGCATGAAGAGCCTGGCAGAGCTCCACCAAGGTGCTGCCAACGGCACTGTTCGCTTCGAGCTCCGCACTTCCAGTGCGCAGTTGGAGGGTAATGTGAACATGGAGGCGTATGAAAAGAAGCTTTATGCTTAAACGGATATGAGTTTAAAGAGACATGATTATTGAATAGTGATGGGACGGGCAAACAAAAGAAGTCAATTGGGTGTCGAATTCCGCTTCAAATGATTTATAGGAGTTTGAGCTTTTTTTGGATACGGAGTAGCATTGGTAGAACCTGACAGGCGGCTAATTGAGTAGTTGTCCTGTCGGATATGATTTCTCGGAACCAGCATAAATGTCAATAATTTTTTGATTCCCCCTAAATCTGATGCTGCACTACGGTGACGAGTCATGCCAGATGGTTCTAGACGAGCGATGCAGAAAATTATGCTTAGATTAGGGAAACTGGGCGCAGCTAACAAAGAGCGCAGGGTATTGAATACATGTGTAAAAGAAACCAGACGAACGCACTCCAAGCAATACGAAAGAACGACTATAAGTCAGTATGAGCCAACCCAAAGCTACTTCGACCGAGCTTTCATGCTTCATTCCAATCCATTTGTCTCGCCGTCTCCTTCCCCCTTACCGTTCCTGCCTATGATGCCGATGCCCCTTATGCTCTTGGGCGTCCTGGACACCGCTATGCTTAGGCATCTGCATGCCCTGCTTCTGACCCTGGTATCCCTGGGGGTCGGGGGGGTAGTGGCCAGCTCGCAGGGCGACTTCGCGGTCTTGCTGGATGAGCGCGCAGCACGTGCAGAAGTAGGACGTCTTGAAGTCAGACGAGGCATCGCCCTCGATGCCGTATTTCTCACGAATCCGGGTACGCGTGGCCGTGTTGTAGCTTAATTACGCACGTCAGTATTTGCCCCCTTCTCCCCCTTGGGTCATGGTGAAAAGGGCAGTGCGGCAGTGACCATGGATGGTGATGGGACTTACAGCCATTCGCACGGGATGCAGCACCAGACCATGCACTCGTGGTTCAGAAGCTTGTGAGACTGCAGCGACGGGTCCTGCATACGTTGCATCGTCTTCCCGTGGACTAGTTCACTGCGCCGTTAGTTCTTTTCTTGGTTTTATTCCGCGGGCCGGTGAGGTTCTCACGTACGCACGCATGGCAAGCAGCAGCCTAGCAGGCACGCTTTCATGTCGCCGCAGCAGTCGAACAGGTCGAACTGCCACTGTGAGCTGTGGGGGTCGAGGTGTGCATTATTCTGGTGTTGGTGAGGGTGTTGCGGTGCAGATTGTTGCTGCTGTTGGGTGTGATGCTGCTTTGGCTCCATGTTGATGCTCAAACGGTACTAAATAATGATGTTGATGGGTGTAATTTGCAACTGCGATTGTCGTGTGTAAAAGTATGTACGTATGTATACATGTCGCAGCGAGAAGAACGGGTTTTTTCTTCTTCTACCTCTTTTATAATATTATTGCATTACGGTTATTCAAACGCATCTCGTCTAGCCGGTTGTTCTTTCAGTCATAGAATGTAGAGCACGCCCGAACCAGCCCAACCAGGTATATATTGAAGGTGAGCAGCTGGTTCGAGTTTCCTGCATTTGATGGGAAGCCGCGGAGACGGCAGGTGTTGGAATGCGGCCCTGCGAACGTGGCTGCCTCTTTTGTTTGTTGCGGCAGACCGAGTTTATGCAATAGTTCATGTGGAAGTTTACTTTCTTGTCCTCGGTACCTCAATTAGCAGCAGTTGCCAAATGACAGTCAGACTTTGCCGGTCGTTCATGAGGAGGCCATGGAGCTGCCGCGTCCGTCGTCGAGTCGTGGGCCTCGCGGCTGATACATTGACAAGATGCAATCAATCGCCAGCAAAAAGCCGGGTGCTCGTGTAGCATGGCCCAAGTCTGGAACAAGTTCATTCATACACGGTCCGTCTCCTCTTGTCGACAAACACCATCGGGGCCCTGCGTGACCAAAAGATGTCACTGAGCAGACTCAGTGCAACAACACCACAATCATATCTCATCCATCACCACCTGCCACAGGCTTCTTCCTCCTCCCCCTCTTCACCCTCCGACTCATAATCACGTAATCCGCCGCGATCAGCTTCCCCCTCAACCTCCTCTCCCTCGGCGAATTCTCATCCACGTCGAACCCAAGCCGTTCGTAGAACCGCCTGGCACGCTCGTTCCTCACAAAGCACGTCAGCATGACCTTGTCAATGCCTTCTGCCCGCTCAGCCACCTCTGTCAAGTATCCCATCAACTGGCTGCCCAAACCCGTCCTATATTGTTCAAGGTCAAACAAATTAGCTCACTTGTCGCCACCACATATTGCACTCATTGTAGCATACGCACCCTTTTACTTCATCCATCAGATGAATCTCATAGCAATACACCACCGGCTCGCCATTCTCCCATGTCGGCATGAGCGACGTGAATCCGCAAATCTCCTCCCCGCGCCGGACCAGAATGTACCGCAGATCAGGGGACCTCATCTCCTCCTTTTTGGCAGACGGGTGCCAGCCCTGCAGCGACAGGCGATAGTCCCGGCCGCTCGTTTGGTCCACGATGCCAAAGCACCTGTCGACTTGGGCCTCTGTCAGCCGCGCCGCCTGAAAGAGGGATATGGCATATCTGGTTTTGGACACGGGGTGCGTCCATTCACAAGGTCTGGTAGGCAAAGACGAAAAAGCAGAAAAATCTTAGCTTCGTAAATTCTCATCGTGGTGCATTCGGCTGGATGTAAAATACAGTAATGGCACATAATCCTTGACAAAGACGTCGTCCGGCTTCGCGTTGGCCGCCTCCACAGGGTCGGCGGATTCGCCAGCATTCCGTGCCGGTGTATCGCCGTTTGCCTCGAGTCGGGGCATGTTTCCTTCAACAAGAAACCGAGGACGGTTCCCCCGGGCAGCTATTTCCCGTTCATCAGAAACTCGCATGCGGTTGCGAGAATGCTCGAATTGGGCAGCGTAATCCCGCCCATGTCAAGCTACGCGCCAGCCGAGGTTCTCCCGTTGCCTGCAAAACCACACCAAGCGCAGCATCAGACCTACACAACCTCCCCCAATCCCCCAAAGCGCAAACACAATCCGCGATTTCATCCCCATGAGATAGCCAATGAAATACCCCGCGTTCCTACGCATCCGCGGCTATGCCACCCGCCGCCGGGGCAAGCTCAACGCCCTGAGCCTCGATCACGTATGATCCCCCCCATGACGTCTACTCACTCTCCCAAAACACAAGCTCCACGAAAAAGAACAGCGCTGACACGCACCGCAAAGTTCCTCCAAAGAGCAAGAGTCCTCTCCTTCTACAGGACGATCCTCCGCGGCACACGCCAGATCCAGGACCCGCGCACCAAAAGCGAGACAAGGAAATTCGTGCGCGACGAATTCGAAAGACACCGCGGCGTCACAGACATTGTAAGTTCCCGCGTATTCCTCTTGTTCCTCCCCCAATGCGGGCGAGTACTAACCATGCAGTCGCATATACGATATCTCCTATCAACAGGCAAGACAGAGTGGGAGAGTATGGAGAGATATATAGGGGGTATGTAGAGGTGTCAAGTGTAAAGCGTACAGTGTAAAGTGTAAAGTACAAGTCCAAGAGCTGCCATGCCGCCGGTGTATTCTATTCCGAACCCATTCCCCCCCGCCAGTAATGTACAAAATCCTCACCTTCTGCCGTCTCCCCCCTTCCCCACGTCTCATTAAAGCAATATACACACAGAGGAGGGTAGGTAGCCAAGTACCCAGGCCCCTTCGTCGCCCCAATTCTCAATTCTTCACGTAGGCCCAACGCTCGCTCGCTCCCTCTCTCGGTCAAGCTCAACTCTGCCGCTGCTTGTGTCGCGGGTTCGCCTTGCAGATTATGTACAAGTACCCGTTATGTCTCTTGCCGGCCTTGCGTCGAACAACCTGCGTGTTGTAACCCGTCAGTATCTTGGTCTCGATCCCGTCCCTCAAAAAGACCAGACGAGCCACACGAGAATTCTGACCTTGCAATGCTCGCAGCGCTTCTTCACCGAGCTGTGAACCTTCATCCCCCTCGTCTGTTGTACTTGCTGCAACGCCCTTCCACCACCTATCCTGCCCAAACTTGCCCCGAACGCTGGCGCCCATGTCGTCGCGCTGCAGAGATTGCCGATAACAGCCGGCACAGACGGCCTCGAGGTAATCGTTCGTGCCGAAAGCGCAAAGGTGCGCAGTAAGAAGGCCATTGTGGCTGTTTGAATGCTGAATTGCAGTTTGAGAGTTGCAACCGGGACGACGTTCCGCAGCTCTTCCAAAAGTCAGGTGTCACGTGACTGGGAACCAGGGCAAAACATGCTTGCAAAGCAACATCGTGTATTTCGTCTTAATGTGTACCTATCTAGGAGCCAGTTGAATGAGCTTCCCGCTCAGCTATCCATTGTATTAAATAGTCTTTGTTCATGCCACTTGCTCTTTCCAGGTCTGTCGCAATTGTCTCCCTCCATAGCCTGTTCTCGTAATAGGTCATCGTCTCTGCCAGCTAACACCATGTTTTATGATCCATCTCAACGCACACAGACTCTAATAGTCCCTGATCCTTCAATGCTGTGTGACCATCCCAAGCTTGATAAAAAGGCCTTACCAAAACGCATCATCACGCTCAGTGAGGTTGCATTGTTTCCCGGCTGGCTTCTCCACGGCTCCCCAGCCTTTCATTGTCAGGCCCACATGAAACATTATCGCAGACTTAATGTCATAGCTCGGTATGCCTGCCACCGTATCACCAGATGGCTGTAGCTCCTCAGCGGTGTCTGGCATGCCGCCATCAAACCTTGACCTCAAAAAGGAATTCTTCCCCTTGCCTTCTTCATCTTGTTCCGCAACGCATCGAACGGCCCTGCAATAAACATCGAGGTTGTTGCAATTAGTGGAAAAGCGTCTCCAAGCCTGTCTATTATTCAGGAGATCGGCTAGGGTGGGCAAGTTTGCCAGCGAGTCCCAGTGTATTTTGTTGTCTCGTATCAGGTCCAACATCACCTGGCGCGTGTACATGACGCCTTCCCTGTCCACCGTCGTATGATTGGTGTCGGGTCGTACCGATATAGTTGATTGTAGCTTTATAATACCCTTTGCAGTTTGTGGCATGGGCGCATCGTGGTTGAAGTTCAAACCATTCCAATTGGGATACAGCGTATTCAAAGCTTGTTTTTTATGGCCCCTGAGGTGGTCCTCCTCCTCGTCAAGCCATCTCTGCAAATTGCAGCCGGCGCAGACTCGTGAATGAGGCAGCATTTGTCTAGCCGTAGTCGAGTAGAACTCCTCCAAAGTTTCATAGCCACACGATGAGCAGAACACTAGATTCTTTGCCATGATGGACATGTAACCTTCCTGCCGGTCGGACTCCATGCGACGGCATAAGCCAAGTCGCACCGGCTTCAGAAGATCATAAATCACCCTTTTCTTTGATCGTTCGTCCTTCACCTCCATATACCGGTGAAGAGCGTCCAGGAATGTGGGAACTGCGAGGGGAGGGCCCGGAACACGGCGAAGATACTCGCAAAATGCCTTATCGTCGTCAAACAAAAGGCCAAGCTTCATCCTCTTTGCTTTCATGAAAGCCTTGAGGATAATGTTAAAGAAGCCTCGCTGTACGACGTCCAGTTTATGCGGACCCCAGGTCAAGCCATAAGTGGCCGAATTGGCAGACTGGAAGGGTGTGCCGTGGTTGTATCGAGGATAAAAGTCAAGGGCCGCAATCTCGGGCAATCCAGCTTCTCGGCGTTTATAATTGATCTCGTAGATTAGGTCTATGAGGCACAAAACATCACCGAAGTGAATAAGTGGGCAGTCATAGATACCGACCATGCGTACATTTGGACATTCTCGTAGAATGACAGCAATCATACGTCGGTCCAAGAGAGGGATCTTTTCGAAGTACAAGACTTGCAGTGCAGTCTTTTGCTCGGATATATGCATCACTGTACGCATGTAAGAAGTGAGAATAGCAAAGTTAACAGTGGGGAGGATAATCCTTACGCATTTTTCTCAATCGGCTTGCAGAGAATATTACTGGTGGTTGAAATAACTGGTTTTGGGGGTTCGAGACGAACTGGCTACTGCCCCATACATCTCTGGTTTCTCGGATACGTTCAACGGCGGACACGATGTCGTCAGCCATAAAATCCGGTATAATCTTGCGGCCTTCTCGCTTCTGCTTGTCTGCCTTGCTGCGGTAGATTGTGCCTTTAATGTGGCCGTGAATCAAATAGGTTGAGAAGTAAATCTGTCTTTCGTACTTCATAGCTTCTCTACACCAGCTAGAGAGGCTGTTTGACGTATCAATGCCGTAGGGATCAAGGTCATTGGACATGTTTAATTCTCCGATTGTACACTCTGGGGTGACAACAAGCAATACTCCAGAGCTGCCATCTGTTCTCAAGGAGGCTGCATTGAAGTCCCAAATTTTCTGTCGGAATGGTTAATAAGCTTCGTGACCTACCAGCGAGAACTACTTACGGCACTATTTGCAACTGCCTTCCACGTGGTCGACGAAGTGATGGCGGTATCCAATACCGACTTCCACCCCTGCTGAAATAGAATGTTTGCGATTTCTCCACCAACATCAATGGTGTTCAGCATAGTAGCTAGCAGATTATCGCCCGTGTCGGCGGGCTTCTTTGCTGCACGAACATATTTGGACTCGTAGCGCAATAAAAGCATCGCCTAAGACAATGTTAGCACGATACAAAGATTCGGGCTGTGCCATCTCACCGTAGTTAAGTATCGAGGAGTGGTAAAAGAGCTGTTGTAGAAGTCTCCCATTTTCCCCATGAATTCCTCGCGGGTCGGCCTTTTGATGAGTTGCTGAGCTCTAGCAATCCATGCCTTTTCAACCTCCTCTGGTGTTTTAGACGTCACTGAGGGGTGCAAACCTTCTTTCAGAAGTCTCTGTTGAGATTTCTCCATGTCGTAGTCTTCCGGGACTATCTTATGTTAGTGTTCCCTGTGTTATTTCACTCTCAACTCGGGGAACATACCGTCATTAATGTCTGGAAAAGGATCCACCCTCTTGTTTTTGTTTTTGTTTTTGTTTTTGTTCTTATTTCTCCCCATGGTGCTTTTTCGCCTTTGTTGTATCTTAACTGGTGTTTTCTGTTACAACCTGGTCCAAGGTTTCAAGAGATACGGGTGGGCAAGTCGGAGGGATCTTTTGTACTCTGAGGAGCCGAGCCAGTACTGTGCATGTTGGTGAGCGACTCGGCTATTTTTATTTTCTTTGGTCTCTTCGCCATGATGACACGAAATAAAGGCCAGGGGGGAATTCAAAACGTTCAACGAGTTGCCGCCTCTGTGTCTCACAGACGAGAGGTAAAGACGCCGAGAAAGTTGATGTGTGAGATGAGATTCGATGGCAGTAGTATGCCAAGACCCAAATAGAGGCAAAGAGGAAGAGAACTTTTGGGCAGAAAGAACAGAAAAACACCTACCTGTTGTTACAGCTGCGTCTTGTACTGTCGAGGGTCTTGCCTTCCCTGAATTATGTCGAGGTGTTGCTCCTTAAGAAAGCTAGACTCGCTTCGGGGGTTTTCTGGAAGCTAACCGCAACACAAAGAACCGACAAGATCAACTCGGATGCTTAAAGATGTATTTGGAATGTAAAATGTTGAAGAGAAAGGGCGGAATGATTAAAGATGGATTTAGGAATGTAGAATGTTAAAGAAGACAAAAGGGTGAGGTTGTGTCGTGGAGGAAGGGACTATTAAATGCGCTTGCAAGCAGAGTGCTTAACCCTCCGTCCAAAATTAAAGATTAGGCCGGCTGTGAGTCACTCACGACTACGGATGCCTACAAAGGAAGTTGGAAGGTTTTTTTTAGATGCCAGGCTGCCACGAGGCCGTACGGAGACTAGATACTAATTAGCCAGCAGTGGTTCTGCTCGAGCAAGTCTTGCCAGGTCTAGTTTGCATCTAGGAGGAGGCTAGGAGGAGGACGGTTTCGTGGCTTCTGAGAAACATAACCATCAACTTGGTCTCTCACCTTGAATAAGGAGCCGAGTACATAGATAGTCCGACTTGATGTGAGAAAAGGTCACGCATGTATTCGGTGCTTCTACTCCAGTCACTTGTGCAGGATTCCCAAGACGGCGTCCCAAACCACTGTAAAGAGGACCGTCACTGCCAGCCTTGACGGTCATATCCACAATACGGGTGCAAGCTATTTTAATTCGTCGTGATAGTGTGTAGACGATGGGTTGACTGCGACGCCTCACGTCGTGTCTATGTTTTGGCCAGCAACCATCCCTATTAGAAGAATATGCATGTTGCATTTATGCCCGTGGCTAGATGAGGACTGAAAAGTACAACTGCATTCAAATTCGTCTTCCAATATAGATTTAAAAAACTTCCTGGAGGCAGTGGTGCATTGGTTGCGAGCACTACAGGTGCCGAAGCGTGTTCAAAAGCATCGGTAGTCGACAGAGCCGAGAAGCTAAGAGATTGCCAGCTGGCATGGGTTCGTCTCATGTTCGCACCTGCCCACTTTGAGAACAATGAAGTCATATTCATTTAGAATGGCTCTGTTATGTGAGCTCGTGTCGAAGGCACGTGGCAAGGTCGGGCATATACATCTTGTTAGCAACCCCTCTGATAGCTGCGGGAAGTCATTGGTACTGCGGATGGAATATGTATAGCCATCCGAAGAGCATGAAATAATGAGATTGATCTATTCAGCAACACAAGACCACGCTATTTCCTTTTCATTTTTGTTTAAAAAAAAAAACTAAAAAAAAACTTTTGCATTCAGTACAATTCAACTTCCTTTACACGGAAGCTACCCTATACTATTCCCGCCACTGCACCGTCGATACCCTAACCATAGATGAATGGCCATGAGGAAAAGGTCATGGTGTAATGTCGTTCCTCTCGGCAATTCGGTACCCAATGAAAACCTTCTCACTTTGGAATAGCACATTTGTCTCAGATGAAAAGATCTCATCCACGAGGTGTGACCGCCTCCACAAGCCCGTGCGGATTGCCCGAGTTCAGCCATGACATCAACACAAGAGGCCGGACAGTTTTCGGCGTAACCAACTACTAATCGATGGCGACTTTGTGCTAATCTTCCCAATGACACAGAGGACGGCCCTTTGTTCTTTGCTTTCGGGTCTTGCGCCTTTCCGTGACTTAGTCATGCAATTCGAGGCTAGCCACGTGTCGTAGAAGCACCCTAAAACACAGTAAGCATTCCTTCCTCTGGCACCGACTTGGAAAAATCAAGACGTCTCTGCCACGTTTTCCCCGCCGCCGTCAAACGAAGACCGATAGGGAGGCTAGGGTCAAGAGTCATGATTGGAGTGATTGGAGTGTTGTGACCTGAGATGCTTGTATGTACACATGCATACATGCAGGTGATATCCTTGCTGGCCTAGTATGACGTCGTTTTCCTAGCAACCAATCGCCCAAACGGCGGTCGCCTTACCATTACGGGTACGGAGCAACGAATCACGCAAACCAGTCCGAGTAATAGTCGTTTTGTCGCTTTTTGGTATTATTCTCGTCTGGCCCTCCACTCTGAAGCATCGGTAGTGGTGGGTAAGGCTGTGTGTGTGTGTGGCGCGCCAATTTGGATGCTCTTGGTGGTGTGTTTGACAAGGTTCAAGTGTTCCTGTGACATGACAAACTGTGCATCATCGCTCGATCCCCAGCAACTCTGTCGCAACACCTCGACACCAAGCCCAAAAAGGTCATAATATTGCCAATATCGCATACCCTGAAGGCCATGTCTTTTGTATCCTTGCCTATTCCCATTGATAAGCTTCGCCCGCTGTACTTGGCCGATAGCGCACATCTTGCCATGGAAGGCGTCCTATACAAGCGCGTTCTGGTGCCTTATATAATCGTGTATGGTGTCGCGGTTTGGGGGCGGCATCATCAGGGACTGCCCGCGCTGCCAATACACAAATGCAGTCCGGTGTATCAACGATGATCGTTCATTGCCTGTAACTGAGCGGCGTGCTTTGGCAGGATGAGATCAAGTCTGGTGGTGCCAAAGGTCGAACTTGTCATGAAGGCGTATGCTGGTATCATTCCCACTTTCCAAACGATCCGTAGCCGCACACGTGTTGAAGCAAGCACGAAACGTTATATTCCGGTATTGGATTCCTTTAAGCGTCTGGCGGAATTTCGGCCGCTGGAATACTGCGAATAATCCATGATTCTTTAACATGAGTTATAATGTCTCAGTACAGACCCCTAAGAAAGGGATACACCATGCTTCAGAAGCCAAATTGAAGCCAGAAAAGGGAACAGCAACAGCCCTGCTCATCCAGGTCGATGGCCTATCTTCACAATAAAAATTCCATGTTCGATGTTGACTCGAAAGGTGGCGGGTAGCCACGCTCACAGCCCCGACATACATAACTGATGCTCCCCACTCCACATTGAGCAAGGCACAGCCTGAATTACCTTTTGGGCTGTTCGGGGGACGCTGTGTCTGGACTTTGGGGCGGTCTATCCTCATTGGTGAAGCATGCGTTGCTCTAGCACTGTCTGAGAGGTCATCATGAGATCTTTAACCAAGAATTTATGCGAGGATATGGGTACATTATCCAGCCGACCTCTATCTCGTGGCGTCGAAATCATGCAAGGAATACAAACAAGCAGGAAGAGGAAAGTAGCGGAGCTGGATCTTCTAATTTTTGTGCTTTGGCGGTAACCTGGATCAAGGGATGCATGTCGCATGAGACGCTCCGTATGCCCGCAAACCAAGGCACCAGATACGTGATAAGTGGAAGCCCGAAGGGGTCGACGTAATAAATGGCAGCGGCATTCGCGCCAACTGTCTCGGGGAGAGAAGCATTAGGATGCGTCTCCCCTTGACACGCTGTGTCTGAGCGCCGGCCGATAGTAGTTGTCGCCCGTCTTTTTGGTATTTGGGTTCCGCCAGGTCGCACGTAAATGAAGTACTAAACGGGTTGAGTCACATGGGCTCTGGTGACCGACAATGCGAGTGGGCTTGGCCGCCTAGTTGTTCTCCTGCAATCTGGGCTTCATGTCTGCAACTGGTGGTGTGAGCAGGCAGATCATGGCGTCGCTGGCTCATTACTTGTAGCCAAAGAAAGCGCCTCAACTATCCGCTGAACAGAAGCACCGTCTCTCAGGTGTTATCCAATCCTCGAATCGAAGCCTATGGATATGGGTTCTACTATTCGGGTCGAGCCATCATAGACATATAACAGACAGAGGAACGTCATTCCATGCAGATATGAGCCCACCGTCACCAGGAACCACCATCATGTTGTTACAAAGGGTGGAGCAGAGCATTGCGCAACATGGCACTTGACAGACTGGTGGGCGACTTGTCGCCAACGCATTATACCTCTGTAACATGCCGGCAAGTGTGATGGCGCCTTGTCGATGCCAGGGAGCTCTGCAGGCCGAGAACGGCTTGGTCGGCATCAAAGAAGGTCGGTACTTGAGTGGATGCCAAGGTGGTTGACTGAAGCGCCAGTGCTGTGGGATTCCATAATTGGCCGCCGCGGTAACCTACACTGCTGCATGAGAAAGTATGAAGAGACCTGGTAATGCAGCAGTGGGAGTGGTTTGAGTGGGTACGACCACCATCTCGTGTTTGCAGGTGTGGATATGACGTTCCCGCTGCAGCATGACCCGTGACAAGTTTGATGAGCGTCAACGTCAGGGCAACGCACGTCTTCGGCCGTCCAACTGAGGTCCTGTCCTACCACAAATAAGGCGGCAAGACGGGAGGATTCATGAATGCATACGGTTCCCCCCTGACCACCGTTTCAACACGAGGGGAAGCCAAGTAATACTACTAGTAGTACCGAATGTCGGCCTCGCTGGCATTTCCCCTGGATCGCGTAATCGCAAAAATTTCTTTCCTTCTTTGACGGTCCTAATACAACTTAAATGGATGATCCACAAGGAGATCCAGGTTGAAATTCGATGGGCCATTTCTGCGGCTTGGTTGCCAGGACGTGGAGTCAGGGGCCCCTGCACGCTAGATTGTACGGAGTACAATGTGCAGATGGCCTTGATGCCTTGACAAAAAAATACCGGCAAGACTGTGTTTCGTATCTATGTACGTGCATAGTATATTGTATGAAACACAAGGTGCCGTTGGCTGTTGTGAGCCTGGCTGAGAACGGAGGAGCGCTACTCTGTATTCAAAAGACGTGTTGCTAATGCCCCGGCAGCGACGAAGGATTTGTGCCATGGCAAAGGAGTGTAATCAAGTTATGTAGACGTGACGAGCGGCACCAATTCATTAAATCAGGTACAGACAGCATGGCGGTCAGAGCCAAATCTCCGGACGGTGTGGTTCAGTTGGGCAAAAGCCATCTCGAAGCCGTTCGCCCTTGACCTGGCTTGGTGTTTCATGGCAAGGGGGGTTGTGTGTGAATGTTGCAACGCTGGTGAGAAGGGTCAAGTCGGTGTCTGGAACCGGCAGCTGACTCTTAGGCCTGTTGTACGGCGTATTGACAGGCCACAGGCGCTGTTGGAATGGCGTTGTAATACGGAGTAGTAGATTGAAAGCTCTGCTCTGCTCTGCTCTGCGCTGGGCCACAGGAGCGGCTCGGCTCAGAGGCTCCTGGTATCGGTGAATGATATCCGAGACTATTCATGATGGTGGCGGACATTTTTGATTTTTTTGCTTCGTCAGCCTAGAGGAAAGTCCGGCCGCTACGCCGGGTTGCGATGTTGCGTGTTGTCCGCACGGTAAGTCAGCGCATTCGCTCAGGTTCAACATGGTGAAGAGAAAATGTAATCACTTACGAGATGGCATCCATTTTTGGCTGGTGACTGTTCCATCGCTTTCTCACAAACGCCAACTGCCCGGTTGTCGACTGGTGGTGCAGCATTTTTGGCCACCTGAACTGGTGGTCTAGCGCAGGTGTGTCGATGGACCCGCAATTTCGTCCCACTTCGCTTAAAGCACGGGGCGGGCACAGGGACCTGACACCCCGATACCCTAACACCCTGACAGCCTAAGTAATAACACGATGGCAAGGTACGGAGCACTTGGCCATGCACGATCAATTACTAAGTACTTAAGTAATGTGTACATGTGTACATTGTACATAGGCACTTGCACACCGGCCGCCGGTACACTCCGTTCGGGCCAAAGTCAAGCTCAAGACTCTGGGCTACTGAAGCTTGGCACTGAGCTTTGTTGGAAGGGATGGACCGGATGGGCCTGACGGGGCCGATGCACCTGGCACGTCGAACGAGAGAGAGCAAATGGACTGATGGGCGAGCAGTTGGACGGGAAACCTTGAGATGACCATGTAAAAGGGAAATTTAGCACCAAAAACAACATTGCGCATGCTCAAACGGGTGGGGGTTCCCAGGCCCAATTCAAGGGCAGGCAAGAGCATCCGCACGTCGACGCGACGCAAGCTATTTCGTACTGTATGTACTCCGTACGCCAGGAACTAGACGAGAAGCCATAAACTGCGATACGGCAAGGGTTCCTCCGTACGGAGTACTCCCGTGCCATTATTCTGCTCTCCGCATGTACGCTGTGCTTCGTACGGAGTACTACTCCGTAGCTGGAATGGAAAAAAGGGAGGGCGTTTGAGAGCCTGCAGTTCAAAAACGTGCGCCGTGCGTCCACGACAGGCACTCTGCAGACAATGTCGGTGTCCTTGCAGAGCATGCGTGCACCGGTTCTGATACGGAAGCCCTTTGTGCAGCCAGTATTATTAGTAGTACTCCGTTCTCCGGGAAGCCGCCTGGTGTTTGCTCAATTGGCATGGCTTGCCTTGCCTGATACACGCCCTGGTTTAGTGGGCGAAATTTGCTTGATCCATAGCCAAAGGCTGACCGAGATGAGCTGCCCATGGAGTTGCAACAGAAATTTGGTGCACACTCCAACGCTTGTAATAATTATAGCATGGCATGCTCGTCGATTCGCTTCGTGAGAATGGTAGTATTAAGCCCATTAGGCACGTAGCCAATTACCAGGGACTGCCGGGTTCATTGCCACGTCCGCTGTTGTAAAGAAGCAAGGCCTTCCTACTCCGTGCTCCGTATTGTACTGTATGCAACAATTATATTGCGAGTGGGGAGGAGCCGAAATCATGTACATAGTGACTCAAACGTACAATTTGCATCGTCGGCCGCAACGCCATGCTGGGGCGACAAAAGGCTGCAAGTGCTAGAGGTGGTAAAAAGGGTTTGCTGGACATCCAATAGGTCGTAAGTCGCAAGTAGTCACAGTGAATTGCTTTGGCTGGGAGTCGGTAATGAAGCGCGAATCCCTTGATGATCAGCCAGCGGCTCTGGGGTGAAGCAACGCCCATGGCCCATGTCTGACCGCCTCATCAGTGTTTGGTACTCACTAGATAGCACTCCTATTCTGGGCTCCTTGTAAATGGAAATACATATCGCCCATGGTTTTGCCCTGCTCGAGTGGATTGGATGTGCATTGGACTGGCTGTCTGAGCGGGTGGTGAGTGGCGGATGGCGACGAATGACGGAAGGGTGGTTGAATGAAGCTGATCAGCCATGGGCCATCATGGGCCACCATGATCAAAATCAAGCACCAAGTATGGAGTACGTACTCCGTAGCATCACGCCAATATCAGCGTGGTTCGCCCCTCGATCATCGCCCCCCGAACTGCGCCAACAGAGGCTTGGCCGGGGCCTCTTGTCATTTCGCCTCGTTATCAAATCCTCAAGTCGAGAGTCGATGCCACTGTATGTGCATCAACGGGCAGGCAGGCACCCAAGGCGGCAAATACTTGAACAATGAAGCACTGACAATAAATAGGACTGGATTGGTAGAGTGTGTACGGCGTACCGGTGCCTCGAATGACCGCTGGGAAACCTCTGCAAGTATCAATGTCTCGTTTGTGCCAGCGTTCTGGAGCTCTTGAGATGTTGGACGCCTCCTTCAAGCTCGCCCGGGAAGCATCGGTTCCACTTGTTTCTTATTGTTCTCACCCTCGCCGTGAACTGAGCAAAACCGGGACCCCTTCAACCCACCTTTTCGCGTCCCTCACGTACCTCAGCCCTCTCGGCCCTCTTTTGCGCACGCCCCCTTCCCTTCACGGTTGACTCCTCGACCTTCTTTGACCTGACTTTCTCGACCAAATAAGTACCCCAACCTGTCCCTCGTCCAAATTTGCCCTCTCTTCTTCTCTTTCTTCTGCCACATCTCAGCTTGTGCTCCATCAACTGCTGTACCCCAAAAGCCGCTTTCTGGATCCATTTTCCTTTTATACCATCTCGTCTTTGTTTGTTGTGATACCCATCCACTTGAGATACCCCCTTTTTTTTTTAATCATCCAGAATGGCCGAGGAACAGAAGCCCGTTGTCGAGCTCCCCAAGGAGGAGACCGCTCCCGCCCCTGCTATTGAAACCGCCGAGGCTGCTCCCGCTGCTGTTGTCGAGGATAAGCCCGCCGAAGAAACTAAGCCCGCCGAAGAGACGGGGGTCAAGACGGACGACAAGCCTGCCGAGGAGGTGAAGCCTGTTGAGGAAGGACACCTGGGACACAAGGCTCAGGGTGCCAGCTTCCCGAAGTAAGTTGCAGAGCCCGTGTGAAGCTCTGTTTGAGTGAGCCTAGGGAGAAAACCCGTTCTAACATTGTTTAGAAACCTTATTCCGACCAAGGAGTTTTTCTTTTTCGGGTCTGACTCTTTCGAGCCCAAGGCCCTGTCTTCCTATTTGAAGGGCGAGAAGAACATCGAGCACGCTCACCACAACATTTCTTGGGCTTCCCACACTGGTAAAGGTCTCTTGTTCATTGGTGATAAGAAGGCGCCATCTAATATCATCAATTTGGTATGTGATTTGATGAGAATGGACGAAGCGCCCCCCAGAATGCTAACCCGGAGACCAGGCTGACACCACTGAACCTGAAACTGATGGCTCCAACAAATTCCACTTCACCCACAAGGGCAATAAGCACAGCTTCAAGGCTGTCACTACAGCCGAGCGTGACAATTGGGTTGCCCAACTCAAAGCCAAGATCGCCGAGGCCAAGGAGCTGGTTGCTTCTGTAACCGAATCTGAGGTTTACAAGAATGCGCTTGAGAGCTTCAAGCCAAAGGCCGCTGCTCCCAAGGAGGAGAAGCCCGAGGAGGGAGCCAAGGCCGAGGAAGCCGCAAAGCCCGAAGAAGCTTCCCCCGCTGAGGGTGAAGCTGTCGCCGCCACCGAGGACAAGCCTGCCGAAGAGCCCAAGCGTCGCTCTGCTAGCCGCAAGCGCGCTTCCATCTTTGGATTCGGGAAGAAGGAATCTACAAAGGAGAAGAAGGAAGAGTCAAAGGCTGAAGAGGTCGTTACCCCTGAGGCCGCTGGGGCCGCCGTTGAGGCCGATGCTCCCAAGACAGAAGAAACCCCAGCTGTTGAGGGCGAGGCCGCCGGTGCTACAGAAGAAAAGCCAGCTATTTCTAAACGCAACAGTATCTTTGGCAACGTCTTCGGAAAGAAAGAAAAGAAGGTCGCCGATAAGCCTGCTGAGAGTGCTGTTCAACAAGACAACGAGCCTGCCGCTGATACTGCCGCTCCAGTGATTCCTCCTGTGGCATCTAATGCTCCTCTTTTCCAAGAGTCTAACGCCGCAGTCGAAAACACAGAGGCTGCCGCTACCAACGGTGCCGAAACTGCCAAGAAGGATTTCAAGGAGAAGCGAAAGTCTTCTCTTCCTTTCAACTTTGGCAAGCGTGAAAAGTCTCCTTCGCCTGCCGAGGGTGAGGAAAAGGCCGAAAAGAGCGGCATCAGTGCTTTCTCCAAGCTCCGCGCCACCATCAAGGGCAAGTCTGGTGCAAAGACTGAGGAGAAGCCTGCTGAGGAGGCGGTCAAGGAAGAGGCCACTACTGCTGAGGCTGCGGCTACCACTGAAGAGCCCGTCGCCACCTCCGCTGCTGAGCCCGCCAAGGCTGGTGAGCCCGAAGCTGAGAGTAAACCTGAGAATGTCGCCACTGCCACCCCCGCTGTCACTGCTGCTGCCTAGAGGGCATGCGGACGTGATGGTTACGACTTGAAGAAACCTTGAAGGAAATGAGCAAAAAAACAACTTTTCTCTTATGAAAGGGTGGGAATGGAAGGTTTCCGCATTTCTTCACAAGATACCAAAGATACCCTGTCAAGACTGCTTTCGTTGATACCACTTTCCATATTGTTTGTTTTATTGTCTATGGGCAAATCCGACGATGTTCGTCAGAAAAAAAGAAGAAAAACATGACATCAAGGCTCTAACTTACTTAGTATACTGCATTCGCTGTTTCGTTCGATACCCGGGGAGGAGAGATAGTAATACTAATAATACAACGGTTGTATGTTGATTTGTGTATATCTTAGTCTTCCTGATGCCCACGTGTGAAATGGTCTCATATCTTGAAATACTGAGATTAAGTTGATTTTTGGCTACTGTCCATTGTCTTAATCACAATTGTTACAGGCATCCACGAAGAGTCGGTGTCTAAACATTATCATGACAACCTCTTTTAGGTTTATGTCCTAGCCGTGCAATATGGTCGTGTTGCATTTTGTAGATTCATGTCAGATATTCAGTACAGGAGCACTTCCTAGGACCGTGTCTACTGGTAGCTGGTAAATTACACGATTCGCAACCACACTTGCCATACCTGTATCGATGCGATCAACGCCTTCAACTTTGATGGCTACGTACATGAGTATCACGCATGTGGCTAGGTGCTTAGGGTCAAATGGGGTATATTCAGTTCGTCAAACGATGCATGCATACGCATGTTGTCGTCTGTGCAAATGTGTGCTTATCAACCATCATTTTCCAAAACTATCAACAAAATCAACGCTACAACCATGTTCGCCAACAATGCAAGCCTGCCCGTGTATATGCAATGACCCAATCTCTCATCCATGTCCTTTATTCTACTTGCCGTCGTGCCGAATGTTGCCAAGTCCCTGAATCGAAAGGAAACCCCACAAAGAAACCCATGTATCCCCGTACGTAAGGTATGGTGGGACTTGTAAAGATGAACAAGATACTAACAGAAATGTTGGCTGCTTTGTTTGCCTTGGCCCATCGATGCTTCTCCAAACCCACCTGGTCTAGATCGTGTCCGTCGCTCTTATTCCCGTTGTTAACTGGTCGCTGAACATCTCAATGCTATTTTCGAAAGTAGAAGGAAAGCAAATATTATCCAACATTTTACTAGAAATAGGCCGGAAATCAGTCAAGAAAATAGACACCAGGTCTAAATGTTGCCTCGTAACATGCCCGCAACAATAGCAGAGTGACAAAGTTTTGATATGCCGTGTTTGATCGCTGGTTGGACCATGTATGGAATAGGATGAGCCACGTCCATAGGCTGCTGACTCGCATATTCTGGCTCCAATTATGCATCGCTGCTGAACGAAAGATTCTTGTACTTGCTGACGAGCTCCTCAATCTTTGGAAGAAGCTCCGGGATGCGGAAAGGCTTAGATATAACGTCATCCTTTTATTTGATTAGCATAAAAAATAAGGTCAATCTTGAGTTTTGATCGTAACTCACAATGCCAGCGGCTTTAGCGCTCTCAATTTGCTCAGGTCGTGCATAAGCCGTAACTGCTATGATTGGAATATGTGCAACGATAGTGCCCTCTCTCTCTAGTTCACGAATCTTCCTTGCACACGTCATTCCATCCATTACCGGCATTTCCAAATCCATAAGAATTACAGAAATGTCGACTCCATCTTGTTCCTGTCCTGCCCAGAACCTGGATTTCTGGAGAGTCTGCAGAGCTTCAAAGCCATGATTTGCGACAAACGTATTATTTCCACAATGTCGCAGTTGTCTTTGCAAGACTTTTTGATTTACGATATTGTCTTCGACAATAAGAACATCAAAAGGAGATCGGTTCCCCGAAGCGGAACTGCTTCGGAGGAGAGAGCGATCGTTGAGCTTTGGTGCAGTCTCTGGAACTGGTAGAGGCGAAGCAGGAGGAGGAACAATAACCTTGCGTCCAATTTTGAATGGCGAGATGCGATCGTGCTTAGCGGGAGGATGAACACATTTTCGACATTGAACGTAGAAGTTGAACTTGCTGCCCACGCCTGCCTTTGACGAGACACCGATCTGGCCCCCTTGCATCTCAGTCAGTATCCTGGAAATGAAGAGTCCAAGTCCAGATCCGCCATATTGAACGTGAGTTCGTGGTGTCGCCTGCTGGAACCGCTGGAACAAGAGCTTCATTTCCTCTTCCGCCAAGCCTGGCCCAGTATCTTCCACAGAGCAGTGTATATGGATCACGTCGCCTGTGCCCCATTCTGCTTCGTTGGTGATATCCATACTTGGAGCTCGTTGATTGTTAATTCGGCTGAAGTACGATACCCCAGTACTGGTGACCTCTGATATGTCTCTGGATGCGCTAACCTTTACAATTATACAGCGGCGCTCACGGCCTTGTGTAAATTTGATTGCATTAGTCATGAGATTAATCAAAACCTGGTTTAACCTGGAAGGATCCAACTTTGCCCACGCAACATTATGGCGTTCGAAGTTGTCATCAACATTGAATTCAAACTCGATATCATGAGCGACCAATTCAGGCTCAAACATTTTCAGTGTTGATTGTACGAGTTTGATGGGTTGCACGTCCGCAGGAGCAACGGCCAGCAATTTGGAATCCAGCTTCGAAAGGGTCAAGACGTCATCCACGATGCGCTTCTGGTGACTAGCACAGAGATTGATGGTGTTGGCCGCATCTAAGCAGCCCTCTAGCAAATTCTCAAGCTCATTCTTGTCTTTATGTACTGTAAAAGCAGAAATATTATTTGCAATTTGATCGGCGCATTGGAGAATAGCTGACAATGGATTCCGCATTTCGTGACTCGTAATATCGATGAAGTTTTCTTGTTGTCTCTTTAGCTCCACGGCCTCTTCTCTCCGCTCGTTCTGAACCTTTTCTGCCCATTTCTGTGACGAGATATCCGTAATACAGCCGAAAATAGACTTCAATGCTCCATCTAGTGTCTTCTCCGGAAATGCACTCATCAATACCCATGTGTCGATTGTGTTGCAGCCACTTTGCTGTGAGCACTTAAATCGAAACTCGAGGGAAATGGTCACTTTCTCCTTAACCAGTTGAGACCATGCAGCTTCCAGAGCAGGTCTGTCTTCGTCTCGAACACTATCCATCCAACCGCTCTCGGCGTCTTGCAAGCGGGTGTGTCGAGAAATCTGCCACCACATGTCGTTGCAATAGTTGATGGACCCAACGGCATCAGCAATAAACATACCGACTGGGGCGAACTCAGCCATGCGAGTGAATCGATACTCGCTTTCGTTTGCCTCCTGCGTTCTTTGAATCAGCTGTTTTGAAAGTTCTTGCCTGTCGAGAGCTGCAAGGCGTGCTGCGCGTTGACCTCGTTTAATTTCTTCCTCGAACAATACCACTGACGCCATGGATGTTGCGAGCTGTCTGGAGAGAAGGTCCACAAAAAGTTTGTAGTCTTCGTCGTATGGCCGCCTGGGATTTGTTCCCATAACAATGAACCCGGCGATGGCTTTTGTAGTGGTAGGCACAACAGGTAAGACAACAACCGTTGAGCATGGATCAGGAAAACCTCGGCATTGAAGCCCATCGAGCAGACGTTTCGGCAGATTTCCAGCTTCCTCGGAAAGAACGACCGGCGCCCCGCCCATCGCCATACATTGACGCATATAGGGGGCAAAGCCTTCATCAGATGACTTGAGATCCAAGGATGGCGGTGCAGCCACGTGTCCATCGGGGACACCGGGAGACCCTTCTAATGCGAGTTGCGACGGCGGTAACAGACTGCCCGAGTGAAGCGAGGATACTTCACCCTCATATTCCTCTCGTACCGAGTAGATGATGCTAAACGGTATGTCGAACTCATTATACTCTAAGCCGAGCTGCACCTGGGGCCAAAACCCTGTCACAGTCGTGGCTGTGGCTACCCTTTCACCCATCTCACGGAGCGTGAGCATGCGTCTCTCGTTGATTGTTCGACGGGTGTTTTCGAAACAAGGGCTATACAACCCAACCACTTCGCCATCATTGCCAATTAGCGGGATAAGTGCCCAGGAAAAGAACGTTTCCTCGAGGAACCTATTACGTTTAATGAATAACCGATTATCGTGTTTCATTGTCGACTGTCCTGACTTCCAGGCATTATCAAAGATGGGCTCCATTTCCCCCCAAATTTCAGGCCATCCATCGGCAAAATTCATTCCCATCAAATCCGGATGCTTCTTCCCGGCCAAGGAAATGTAGGCTTCATTGTATATTATCACCATATCCGAGCCCCAGTACATGGCTGCAGGGTGTGGGCTGGCCATGACCAGACTAGACATCGTTCTAAGATCAGGTGACCAGTAAGTCATGGACCCGAGGGCGGTGGAAGTCCAATCTCGTGTTTTCGCAAATTTGATATGATCGGGAAGATTGTCATGCAGTGGTATCACAGTCCAGTCAAAGGACGGCTTGGTTGGTTGCACTTGTTGCAGAACCTGATTAGTGAATTCATCCGGATGATTCAAGGGTGCTGCGGCGTCATCTAGTTTTGTCTGGATAGCATCCATGAGTTGTTCATCTCCTTGAGCACCAGGAACAGCATCACCGAAGTAGTCTGGAGGGCCAACAGAGCCAACAGAGCCAACCACAGGCGTGACCGGCATAGGTTGGGAGACAATAGAAGTGTTCGTCGGAATGGGGATGGAATCGTTTGAAATCGGTGCGGCAGAACTCGGCCTAGTAGTTGAGTGGCCAGCACGAGTGACATTGCCGCTGACGAAGCGAAATCGTTGGCGAACGGTAACATAAGTCCAATTAATACCGCCATACACGTGAAATATCGACGTTGGTTCCTGACTGGCTCGGCTGCTGGGTGACGATGTCGCCCAGGATGCAAACCGCTCAAAGTTGGCCACGTCCACGGTTTCAGCAGGTTCCATACCGACAAGTTCAGCTATATCTCGAGATGAACGTAACGAGGCGTTGCCGTATAAAATATGTAGAGAGGGTTGGTTAGGAGGGGTGTTGGCTGGGGTTAGCGTGTCGATGAGAAATGTTGGCCTGCTATCCTGTTCTACTAGTTCCATGGCCCCGATGCTTTGGATAAGCTGCAAGTTTGGTGATGCAATTCGAAGCTCTGGGCTCAAAGCCGGGGCCGACATGTCGACTGACGAGCCCAGACTAGGCGGCGTACTGCCAGGCATGGCCGATGTCACCGGTTTAACATTCGCATGAGGTAGCTTCACGGTTGTGACGGCGCTCGATGGCTCTTCCCTAGTTCTCGAAAGCATACTGGCACTAACATCAGGTGATGAGCCCGTCGGCCGTCCCAGTCGTCTTGACGGGGTATGTGAGAAGAAGAGGGGAGAAAATGGGCCGTCACGATTTGTCATAGGCACAGCAGGACGAGACGCGGCGGGAGGTATTTCAAACCGCCTAGGAGGTGAGGCGCCAGTCCGAGGCTTTTTGAAAGATGCGGGTTCCATTGCGGCGTCTTGCTCTTGGGAATCAAAAGAGTGACGCTTTCCAGCAGGGTCTGAGCGTAAATACTCAGCACCAGACGCTGGATTGACGGAGCTTTGATATTGGTAGCTTAAGGCAAGTGAAGCCTTGGCTAGCCATGAACCTGTTGTTGTATTGGATCTATGGAGGTTGGCCGGTGGCGCAGAGCGGCCGTGACGCTCAGCAGGCCGTCCCCATGATCTGGAGATTCTTGATGAGTGCCGCCTTGGATGATCTAGGTGGCCGTAACGAGCCTCGGGAGAAGATGAAGCGAAGTGAGAGGCTCCCAGAACGGGCGGATTGTCAGTGAGGCGCGAGTCTCTCACTGAAGTGTCGCATGGAGACGATGGATAAGTGTCAGAGGTAGAGTCAAGTGAAGATGGAGAAACTGCGCCTGGGCAGGACACGGAAGCGTCTTCTCTCTCCTGCATCAAGGCGCCGGAGGTACTTCCGACACGGGCAACCGGGTGGGAATTCAGTAGGCACTCGGTAAGAGAGCCAGAATGTGCGAGCAGAAATACAAGACAAGACGTAACTGGCAAGGTATATGTAGATCCGGCGTTGATGGGTTGGCCGACGACGACCCAGGGACCACCGTCTCGGCTGCGAGGACAGTGGATATCGAAGACCAGCACCTTGCTTCGCTGGTGTGGCCTGTAGGGCCTGGGCCTGGGCCAAGGCCTGGGCCTTTGCTCGACTTTGGACAAGATGCAAAACCTGGGCTGCTTCGTAGCTTGGTGAAGATCGAGATTCGAGAAGAGTGGATTCGGATCAGAGAGGTGGATAATGACCAGGGAACCGCAACGGGTTGGCGTAGCTTGGAACTTGACAGCAAGCAAATGTGATGCCGCTACAACCCAAGCTGACGCACCGTCGAGGAAATATAAGTAAACAGCTTTCACATGGAACCGGAGAATCGATGTGACGGGTTGATTAGGCACGAGACATGGACCGAGAAGAAGACTAGTGTGAGGTGGACGACTGGCAAGTACTAACCACCAACACCAACACAAAGCATGGACGAGATTATGAGATTCAACGATTGCCGAGCATGGGCAGTGTGTCAATAGCCAGCTGCGGATGGCGCCGTGTGCTTGATAATGGCCTTGCGACTCCTTCTGAACCTGATAATCGGTGAAATTGTATTTTGTTGGAATCAATGAGAAGGATATAGCAGAGGGAGGGAAATGTGGTGCAAGTTAGAAGGCAGGAAGGAGCAAAGAGCATCATGGGTAAAGACAGCAACACCCTCAATTCCGGACCCTGTGTGCCAGGTGGCCACATGCATCTGTTACAAGTCCGACCTGAGGTGGGACGGGAGACTACCTAGACCTAGGTACCTTTTACCCAGTGACCGTGTGTGCCAAACGGCGTAATTTAGAGTCGAAAGATGGCGCCTGCAAATGGGACGGCGGATGTTGATGACAGAAAGAGCCGATGTTCAGTCACTCCGCACCGAGTACTAGATCAAGATTGATCTCGATGTTCCAGGGCAACGCGGCCTCGGGACACTTATGCTTGAGCATAGTACTAGTATTGCCATCCTTGAGACAGGTACGGCGCATCGGGACGGGACATAAAACGAAGGCACTCCTATGGAAGGCACTGCCGACCGAATTACCCACTTGGGTAGGTGGTGTACGTGGGTTTGCGGCTTTGGTGTTTCGTATCTCAGATCTTTGCTCCGTCGGCACGACAAAACATCCAAGTCATTACATGCACATCAACCCGTCGACACGAGGACTCCAACTTTGCAAGAGCAACGCTGGCTACTTCGCCGTGCCCCGCCAACGGCACCGCCTGGGAAAAGTACGATCCTGCACAGTAACGCGCGATTCACCCGACTCTTCTAAATTCCTGCCCTTGACCTTTGCCGTCCGCGAACCTTACCCAAGTAGGCTTGGCACGGCAGCCGCATCAAAGCACATGGCGATTGATATTGCGCTCGCCGTACGGAGTGTCGCTTTCATTCTGAGCGTTCTCGTCTGAGCTTTACATATCGCCAAGGTATCGAGTTGCGGGTTTCAGGGTGGTGACACAAGCCGCGTCTGCTTTCACCTGCAACTAGTACAACGCAATTTGAGCCTCGTCCGGACAATTGATTCACGGTATCACAAAGTCCAGGGCATGGAGTTTCAATGACACCTTCAGCCACTCTGTATTTAATCTTGACGGTTATGCACGAATAATGGAAGAGCTACACAAGTTACGCTATAGCGGGTCGTGTTCACAACGTCCACGCATTCGCAGTGATTCGCAGTGTGTCACCTGTCGACACTGTCTGGCTCTTGTGACGCCAAGATCCCCTGGCCGTCAACCCTGCTGCCGGCGTCATGGCCACGGCACACACATCCCACCGAAACGTGTTAGGATGTTGTCTCCACTGCTGCTGTCCGTAGAACAGTCCAGACCCTTTGCAGATTGACCGCTGCGACATGGGGCATCTGCAGTGTCCCGCAAGAAGTTCATGTTTTGCGTTTGTTGATGGCGGAATGATAGTGACGGAACTGTCGATGTCAGACCGACAATGCCAACCAGTAGATCAACATGATGTGATGCAGCCCGATCATGTCGCAGCATTTGCAAAATTGCGACCACTGACCGGTTCCTCTGTAGTCATACGGAGTATAATACCTGGGTAGGCAGAAAACCACAAAATGTACGGAGTACGTAGTATGTACTCCGTAGTTCCAGCCCGCGTTTGTCATTACAGTCGAGACTGAATCGAGTCACTCACTTATGCCACTACGTCATTCCTCACAAAGTGGCCAGTCCTGTAACTCATTATTCCACTCCAGTTTCTCAGCAATGCCGATGGCTACACCTTGGTTCAGAGCAGTTATATTGCGACTTGTCTGATACGCGAAACGAGGAGTTCTCCGAGTAGGTTTAAAAATCTGAAAACCAGCCTCCACCAGCAGGTCATAGTTGTTGATTGTTTTATAGGGTCCGGTCAAAGGGCTAATATATATATTAATCTATTGGTAAATCATGACCACGGTTGCCTTTCAAGCAACATCTTGGCGACCCGCTACCTGGAAACCCATGGATAGTTGAGCTTATCCAGCGCAGCGATAGCTACGAGTTTTTGGCTCTCGACATGTCGTCAGGTTGTCAAACCAGCCATTCTTCTTTCGCCCCCGCTTTTTTAGCTGTCGGCAGGACCAACCGAACAGATTGCCCTTTCCATCCATACGAGACTGGAAGACACCAGACAGATGCCACATCACAATTTTGTTCTGCACGTCACCGCATTCATCAGACGAGGTGGCGAGCAAGGCACTCGACTCGTCCAACGATAAAGAGCATTCTGCCGCTAAGATGGCCCAAAACCCTCGACATGTGCCGTCTCCCACAAACATTGGAGCCCCTCACGCGCCAGCACACCCGGATCTGTGTCGGCGGCATCTCCCGACACCCCATTGGCTGACGCACACATCACCAACAGCCCACAGAGCCAATCGTCAACGACATGCAGTTGCGGGCGCTTAGAGACCCCTGGGCCCTGGGCTTGCGCCACTTCATTGGCCACGATAGATGTGATGCTGGGTGCATGGCTCCTCGCACAGAAGCTCACCATCGAATCACCAACATCTCTCGCCGGGTCCCTGACAGGTCGCTAGAGGGTCGCTTGATGGTGGTCAGTGAGAAGGCCTGAGGCCTTTAAACGGGTTGGCCCCCAGTCTGAATGCTCGGTCTTTGGCGTAGAGGGGCTCCGACCTGTTCAATGCCTTCTTGACGACGGCAAACAAGACAAAGGGAAGGGACGAAATAAATCGAAACAAACCGTTGACCATCTCGTCTTGCGGATGCGGCCGGCTCGCAGTTGCTCAATCCCGCCGGACTGTGTCGCGCCAACATCGAGATAACCCGCTGAGGAAGCGTCCCCGAGACCCCTCCAATTTCAATTCTCGCGCTGAAAAAAACTCCAAAGATCAAACTCTTGGACACGAAAGACGTCGACATACTGCATGATCCAGAATGAAGCTAACGGCGTTCACGTCGCGAAAGCCGCACTCATATCAAATTTTACGCCGAGTATGGCCCCCAGTGGCTAGAAAAGCTACATCATGGCTCATGCCTATTGAGCTCATCGGCCTGGTACCGATACTCGTCATTTTTGGCATTGCGCAGCCAGACATGTACAGAACAGACATGTGGCGGATTGGATTCGAGAATAAGCTCAACTCCAACCCCAATATGATTCTGTATGCATATGCCAACTACAGACCATTACCTACCGTTCCGCTCATTTGGTCACAAACGTACGTAACATGTCGAGATTCCCTCGTGGTGGCCAGTAGGTGAACCAAGGTTTAAAAAAAACGCTAACAAGTCAAATCTTTCTATCAGACTTACCGACTTCAATGTCGCGATTTCCGTCATCTCACTCTTCTTCCTCCTTTCTAAGCTCATTTCGCACATAATGAAGTTGTGGTACCCCATTGTGGCCGTTTTTATTAACTTGGCTCTTGTTGCACTTTATACTGTCAGCACATACGGTCAGATTGGACCAGATTACGCCGATGCGCGATATCCTTCGCCGGCAGCGTGGTATTTTCGGCAGGGATGCGGACTCGCCCAGAGGTATGGCAAGTACAGAGCTTGCCAGGTTGCTCAGGGGTCGTTGTTCATCACACTCTTCATACTGTAAGTGTGTGTGCCGCAGTTACAGTTGCAGGTTCTTCGATAACAGACAGAAACCTAACCATATTTTGCAGTGTCGTTTATGTCTTAAACTTGGGCTTCGCCTTGTATGCCATGTGGCCTAATCCAATGAATGACGTGGACGAGGACGACGAAGATCGAGAGTCGACTAGTTCTGATCCCAAGGAACGCAGTACCTGGGAGATGCAGAGCATGAAATCGCCGGTGTCTATGCGCGAGTCGCCATTTACTCCAAGGACACAGGCCTTCCATACTCTGGACAGGCAGCTTCCACTGCGACAGCAGAAGCAAGGTCAACAATATGCTTAAAGACTAGCGAGAGAGGAAGTCTCGGGGAGATAAAGACTGAGCGAGGCATGAAAACGTAGCTAATTGATAGGGATGTGTTTGGGATAATTGGCGCAAAGGACATAATATTCGGACAGCTTGGATGTGTTTTTCTACCATGGCAATTTTTTCGAGTCGTGGACACTTTTCGTCTTTAAGTGACGACAGCACGCAGTCTTTTTAAATCCACTGGATGCAGGGGCATATCTTTTGTTCGTGAATCATTGTGTAGGCCCGTAGGACACGGAGCTGTTGGATGATTAGTTGCCAATCAAGGATTGCATTCGTTGTTACTCTTGCCTCAAGCTGCGAGTTAACAGGCAGTACGGAGTATTGTTTCTCCTCGCCATCGCCAATTCGTGACGCATGGCGGCGGCAGAAAGGCCGTGTTGGCCCTGCCTATCTCGACAGGGCTAAACCATGTGGTAAGTGGTGTGGTAACTTGACTGCGCAAAATGGGACTCGAGGCTTAACCCAACTTGCATCACCAACCACCAGTCTCCGATGCTCCCCCGGATCAATCAACCCACCACCAAAAAGTATGTACGTACATGTATGTACGTAACAGCTTCCCCCAGCGCCACCAACGGCATCGTGACCGCACCTCCGCGGCACCGACTCCACCGGCGTCCGTGGACCGCGAGCCATGGCGGCTCCGACTTCGGGTGAGCCGGTCCGAACGTTGAAGGGCCAGCACGGCACTGTGCACTGTGCCGTGAGACAAAGACCATCTACTTGGGTACTGCGGAATGCTGGCTGGATTGACGCCGCTTGGTCATTTTTGTGCATTCAATGTTGGCCCAGTAGCGCCTGTTGAGTCTTGACATGCAATTACTAGTACTGCAGGTACTTACCTACTTTAAGTACTTAAGTAGTAAGTAAGGTACCTAGGTACTCAAGTACCTGATTGATATTCCCCCAGCTTTCCCCGCATATTCACAGTGTGTCGACCCCGGCCCGACAGAACCAGTAATTTCCACGCCCCTGCTCACATCGCGTCCCCAACTGGTTTCCCACCGTCATTGGCTTTTCTTTCTTCTACACTTACACTTACACTTACACTTACAATTACGCTTGATCAAAATACTAAGCGCTTCAAGGGCCTACGGCTTGGGCAGGACACAGACTCGGCGACCAAAAGCTATACCGGGCCTCGTGGACTTTCTTCTCTGCTGCTGCTGTTGGAAGCTTGTGAGTTCCTGACAGACAGACGGAGCTCATTCGTGGCCGGTCCCCCCCAATGGCGTTGCTGCAGAGAATCGCGGCTCCGACCTCCAAGTTGCGCTTTTCCCCGAGTATTTCATTGATTCTTGCTAGGCGGGCGTCTACGATGCCTCCTCAGGTACGAATACATTGTTGGCGGCTATGACGTAACGGAAACCCTGTATAGTAACCGTGCCGTGCAGTTGAGAGATCCGTCGTTGCTGAAGCAGAATGTTGCTTATATCAATGGCGAATGGAGGGCTGCCACGTCTGGCGAGACATTCAAGGTCAATGGTATGCATTTCTTCATGCCCCTTTTTGCGCTGTTGTGCGAGTAACCGAGTTTCTGATGATGCCCATGTATGTAGATCCGTCCACGGGCACCTTGATTGGTACCTGCGCCGAGTGCGACGCGCAAGACACCAAGCTGGCCATCAAGGCTGCTGCCGACGCTTTCCCTGCCTTTCGCAGCCTGACGGGCCGTGAGCGTGCCAAGATGCTTCGCAAGTGGTACGACTTGATGGTGGAGAATGCTGATGATATCGCCAAGCTCATCACCTGGGAGAACGGAAAGCCCGTTGCCGAGGCCAAAGGCGAGGCTGCCTATGCTGCCAACTTTTTCGAGTGGTTCAGCGAGGAAGCTCCCCGGACCTATGGCGATACTATTCCTGCCACTGTACCTGGCAACAGGGTATGGACGGTTAAGGAACCTGTTGGCGTGTGTGGGCTGATTACTCCGTAAGAACCCCCTGCGTGCTGGTTTTTGCTGCTCTGTAATGACGAGTGGAATAGATGGAATTTTCCTGCTGCCATGATCACTCGAAAGGTCGCCCCTGCACTGGCTGCTGGCTGCACAGTCGTTTGCAAAGCTCCCGGCGAGACTCCCTACACTGCACTGGCTGTCGCTGAACTTGGTCACCGGGCAGGTATCCCCAAGGGCGTCGTCAACGTCGTCACCACCCTCTCCAACACCCCAGAAATCGGCGAGGTTCTCACCACTGACCCCGCCGTCAAGAAGGTGTCATTCACCGGCTCTACAGGTGTGGGCAAGCTCCTCATGAAGCAGTCGTCTGGCACCCTCAAGAAGCTATCTATGGAGCTCGGTGGCAACGCCCCCTTCATCGTTTTTGACGACGCTGACCTCGACACCGCCGTCGCCGGCGCCATTGCTTCCAAGTTCCGCGGCAGCGGCCAAACCTGTGTTTGCGCCAACCGAATCTACGTCCAGGAGGGCGTCTACGACGAATTCGTCAAGAAGTTTACGGAAAAGGTGAATGCTTTCAAGGTCGGAAATGGTTTCGAAGCCGGCACAACCCACGGACCCCTCATCCACGACCGCGCCGTCAGCAAGGTCGAGGCTCACATCAAGGACGCCCAGTCCAAAGGTGGCAAGGTTGTCGCTGGCGGTCAAAAAATGCCCGATCTGGGGGCCAACTTCTTCCAGCCAACTGTTATCCGTGACATGACACCCGACATGGCCATGGCTACAGAGGAGACTTTTGGCCCCGTCGCTGGACTGTTCCCATTCAAGACGGAAGCCGAGGTTGTCGAGATGGCGAACAAGGTCGAGGTTGGTCTTGCTGGATATTTCTTCTCACGGGACCTTCACCGCGTCTACCGGATAGCCGAGGCGCTGGAAGTCGGCATGGTTGGCGTCAACACGGGCATCATCTCCGATCCTGCGTCTCCATTTGGCGGTGTCAAGGAGAGTGGTTTCGGTCGTGAGGGCTCCAAGTATGGTATTGCTGAGTACCAGGTTACCAAGATGATTACCTTTGGAGGAATGGGATCGCCGTTACAGAGTTAGATGGAGTGAGTGAAGCGCGGAAAAGATTGGCCAAAATGTAAAATGCCTCCGACGGCCAAAGAATCGCTAAGCACGAGAAAATATGGAGCTGTGAATTACGTGGTAGTTGATGAATGTGTAGCATTCTATGGTAACTCAACACGATGCTGTCGGTGAAAAAGTTAGCCTAACCAAAAGATCCACGTCATTGAGATTTATGAATTGCCATACGTCAATGCAGGCCTTGTATAAGATGTACAGTGGGGACCAAAATGTGAGAGGCCGTGATCGAGAAGGCGAGAGCTGAGACAACACAAGAACTCGGGTTGCAATGAACAAATGCATCGCCAAGAATAAGATATAACTGGTGAAAGGGGAAATGAAGAATGGCAAGCTGATTGATGCCTACCTCTAGGTACCTAGGATATAGAAGAGTTTGCAAATAGCCCGAATCGAGTAAATATCAAGGTAGCCTGGTATCACGGCGGGCGGGTTGAACCAGACGTTGCTGAAGGGGGCTAAGAAGGGACAACCGGGTATCAGCCATAAAGAGGCTGGGAATGTCAGCGGACTGAAATGCCAAAATTCACGTCAAATTCAACATCCTTGAAACAAAACAGTCTCAAGTCGTACCCATGGGCTCAGCGACTCCTTTATCCTTATTGAGGCCTGCCTCTTCCTACACCTCTGTTTCTGGATATAAAAAAGGGGCTAATATGCTAGAAAAAGTGGGTTATTTGACCAAGTATTCGATAATAATAATCTGTAACTTATTAGTATATAAAGCCGCTAAAAGACCTAGGCTATTGTCTCAAAGTTCCTTTACCTCTCCTGGCTGCCAAGAACTACACGTATATAATAGTAAATAAAATTCCCTCTGCCATCCTTTCGTCCGTATAGTGTAGTGGTTTATCACGCTTGTCTTACAAATATTTCGATATTATAGGACACAAGAGGTCCCAGGTTCGATCCCTGGTGTGGACATTGTTTTTCATTTTTGCTATCAAGCCTTGAGCGCTCTATCTTTCTTTTTGCTGCGTGTTTAGACTGGTTTTCAGTGTTGACAAGTCAAGTCGGCATGCGTATGTCCATAGGAAAGCAACGGCCTACCTGGTATGTAGGCAAGTATAGCGAGGCCTGGTTTTAATTATACTAATCGGGTTAGCACAACTTTTATAGTGCTTCAACAAGCCTCGACTTGTAATTCAGTTTTAAAAGACGTTTAATAAAAATGAATGGGAAGCATCCTATTTGATTTTATACCTTCTGCATATTTAGGTATAAATACAAGGAGGAGGGGTGGAAGGAGAAGGGGAGGTTGCGCCGGTTTGCGAATTGGCGGCTAAACAAGTCTGTCTGGCGACTGCACCCAGCAACTGCACAACAGTTTGTGCGCATTCGGGAGGATCGAAGTGCAACGCACCTTCCCAACATGATTACATGTCACAAGAACCGGTCATTCCAGCGTCATACCGTCTGGCACATGCAAAAGCATTGCGCCCCGGAACATGTACATAAACCGGAAGTTACCAGAGCTCCGCTGGCAACTCCGCTTATCTTATCGCAAAACACCAACCCCAGCTCCATCCCTCGTCAACACCACAAGCAACCACAACCTCACTATAACTCATGATGGCGCTCCCAAGCTCGGCTCAGCTGCTCCTCCGACGAGCAGTCCGCCTCACAGTCTCAATTGAAGCGTAAGCCTCCCTCCTTCCCAAACGACAACGCCCCTAACATACAACGCCGCCAGAAAACCCATCCTGACGAGACGCCCATTCCACGCCTCGGTGCCGGTGCTGAAGAAGCGCAAAATCGCAGCAGCAAGCAACTCGCCCCCACGCGCGCAAGCTCCGCCTTCACCCTCCCCTTCGTCGACGTCTCCGAACTCCGAAGACCCGCTCGACTTCTCCTCGCTCGTGGCCTCGCTCGCCCCCCAAGACACGCACTACAAGTCGGCGCTCCAGACGATCCTCCACGGCGGACGGTTCAACCCGTCGGCGCTGGGCGCGCTCCCCATCACAATCAAGTCCGCCTCGGGCGAGGCGTCGACGTTCCCGCTCCGCGAGCTGGCGCAGGTGGTGCCGCGGACCAACCGCACCATCTCGCTCCTCGTCAACGACAGGGAGTACATCAAGCCCATCATGAGCGCGGTCCAGTCCAGCCGCGAGTTCAACCAGCAGCCGCAGCGGTCCGACGATAACGACCTCGAGCTGCTGCTCAGGGTGGAGCTGGAGAGGAGGGAGGAGCTGGTGCGGCGCGTCAAGGAGACGACGCACGCGTGGAGGGACAAGGTGCGCCAGGCGAGGACCAGGCACGACAAGGTGCTCAAGGGGTGGCAGAAGGACGGGACCGTGCTCAAGGACGTCGTGCGGAGGGCCGAGAGGGAGCTGCAGAAGCTGCAGGACGGCAAGATGAAGGAGATTGACGGCGAGGAGAATGCTGCCATCAAGGGGCTGGACCGGAACTAGGAGCCCGACGGGCGGGACGTGTACGATTGTATGTACTCCTACTGTATACATATAGATGTGGACGATTGTGGAAACCTTGCAGTTTTGTGATGAGAAGCCGTATTAATCTACGCGGGGCAGCTGGTAAAAATCCTTCCAGCCCAATGATTTATAATACACTGATGTACAGTCGAGATGGGAATTCAGCTCACGCCGTGGTCGCGGCCTTCTTCTCCCCCTTCTTGCCAGCGCCCTTGCCCACCAGCGAGTTCAACTTGTTCTCAAAGCTCTCCACATCCTTGCCCGTGTACGTCTCGGCCCTCAAATGCCAATTCCTCGCGACGCCCACGGGCCCTTCCCTAAACACCATCTTCTCATGCTCGCCGCGCACAGCCTTGTCCAAGACGACGCTCCGCACACTCTCCCCCGCATCGCGGATAATCTCGCCCTCGCCCTCGCCCTCGCCCTCGGCCCTCTTCTCCTGGAGATAGCGCTCCGCAGCCTCCCTCGCCTTGGCGTCGGCAAAGAACCGCAGCCCCTCGCTCTCCAAGTCCTCCGCGTAGCTACGGGCCTGCAGGTCCTGCGGCACGCCCACGGGGTCCGCCGTCCCCAGCGCGCTCAGGTTCCCCAGCACGGTGGCCCGCCTCCCCGCGGCGCTCGAGGGCGTGGCCGGCGCAAAGGGCGCCAGCGACCCCATCGTCAGGCGCGGCGCGTACGCCGTTGCCGCCCCGAACCGCATGGCGCCGACCTGCCCCCCCCTTCCTCCTCCTCCTCTCCCGCGGAAGCCGCCGCGTCCTCGCGACAGGCCCTTGGGCAGGCTCTTGACGTCAATGACCTTGGGGGCAGATCCGGCCGGCGGTTGAGCAGACTGTCGCTGGCCAGAAAGGCTGCCGCCTCTGGAGCTACCCCTTGATCCTCCGCGGCCCCTTTTCACGAGGGAACTGATTTCGCTGGTGGCGTCTCTCGTTCGTTGGCGGACCGACGGCTGTGATGGGGGAGTCGGCGGGGAGGCTTCGTCTGCCGCGAGCGATTGGGATGTGGAAAAGTCGCGAAAGTAGTTTTTCAGTGCGTACCCGGTTCGCTGGACCTCTGGCCTTGCTCGGGCGCACACCGAGCGGAGGGCTACGGGGTTCATGGTTGCTTGGGTGTGTTTGCGTTATGAGGAGGGTGCTGTCTTGGAGGTGGTCATGGAGAGAGGGAGCTTGATGCTCAGGGACAATTTTCTGCGAGGTTGCCCGATTAGGTAAGCGGTCAAGTGTGCTCATACCTCTAGACGCAATAGGGTAGCTGTTCATGAGTGAATCTTTGTTTTCATCAACGCGGGCGAAGCAGGCAAATTTATGTGAATTCATATCCATGTATATTATGAGGCTGCTGTTGGATCATCTAATTACAAACATCATGTGAGACTTGAGCAACGTCCAACTCCAAACTCCTCACTGCGAGCAGCGCTTCTTGCAAAGGCCAACCACCGTGGACTCCACCTCTTTCGTATAAATGCGACCATTGCCTGTCCCATCGTCAGGCAAATACCAAATGGATAAAAATCGTACAACAAAGGGCCGGATTGCAGGGCCTCCTGTTCTTCCACCATCCCGGAAAAAAATATAAACAGTGGTCTAATTGTCATGGTCAAAGTCTGGACCCCATCTCCATTCATTCGGTTCTCGTATCAATCGCACACTTCAAAAGCCGGGGGACCCAGCTCGTGCTCCCTCAGGATCGTTGTCGAAAATAAACACGGAGGCTGACAAAATCAAGGCAAAAAAATCCCGGACCGTTCCAGATCCGAGGCCCAAAGCCTTATTATCAAACGCCAGAATAGAGGCAAGTGGACGCCGCCCACTGTATGGATATTACTCCCACATATAAGGATAGCCCGCTTCTCTTGTCGACTCAATTTTACGACCGTTTCTCATGCGGTTGTCGGGCCGTTGGTAACTGTGTGTCAATCTCAGAACACAGCAGGATACTGGACACCCAACTAATGCGCCAATGTCTGTGAAGCAGCCCATCCCCTTTGTTGAAATATGCAAGGCACAATGGCACACATTGATTTTACGTCCATGGTCAAGGGACGACTACACACTTTGAGGCTGTACGCTGGCGGGCTGTTGAAGAATTAGCCGAATGCTTTTCTCGTTGAAAAAAAGGAGGGAGAGGGATAAACAAAAACTTACAGGACTGTTGAGCATCTGCTGTCGCTTGTTACGTCCCTTTTTGATGTGGCTCTTGAGAGCGCTTGAATCCAGCGGTTTCAGGAGCTCAAAACTGCAAAGTAGCTCAGAAGATACAGACATGACTGCTCCCCAATTATCAAATTCACCACAGTACTGCAGAATCTAGTTAGTACATCGCCAACGATACACATGCAAAGCCAAAAGTGCCAACTCACATTTGGCGCGCTAAACACGGTAACCAAGACCCTGTCATTGAAAAATTCATAGCCGTCTTCAACAACCATGTGTGCTCGGCATATGAGGTCAAAATCGTGTACGGCCAAAAACTCAGTAATGACTCGTTTGCCGAAACAATAACTCACGCCTCTCTCATTTGCTTCCCAATCCTGTTCCATGTCTGCGGGGTCAGACCACAGCAAATCGTTGAGCAAGCCGTAGTCGGGAACATCGGTCGGCCGAGCAATATTTCGAATGTCGTCCATGTGACTGAGAGCGGGTGAAAGCCCACCATGCACGCAGAAAATTTTGCCCGCTACAATGGCCGCGATGGGCAGCGTGTTGAAGCAGTCGATAAAGGTCTTCCAAATCTTGACATTGCACCGCCGTTTACACTCATCATAGAACCCATACACTCGTGTCACATTGGCGCACTCGTGGTTTCCGCGGAGCAAAAAGAAGTTTTCGGGGAACTTGAGCTTGTAGCAGAGCAGCAGCAGGATGGTCTCTAGTGACATCTTGCCGCGGTCGACGTAGTCTCCCAGGAAGAGGTAGTTTGCCATGGGCGGAAAGCCACACATTTCAAACATGCGGATGAGATCCGTATATTGGCCGTGGACATCTCCAACAATCTTGACCGGCGCATCGAGTTCCAGTAATGCTGGTTGCGAAAGAAAAACTTCCCGAGCCCGCTGGCAAATGGCCACAATTTCTGCATTCTTCAGACACGCGCTCTTGGTCACCTTGCCGGCGTAGCCTGCGTCCAGAAGCCGCTTAATGTAGTCGTCAAGGTCCATATCCTTAATCTCCGACATGGCCATGTTGCCGTTAGATTCAACCTTGGTCGTAGAGTCCATGGAAGGTGAGTTCTGAATGTTGTTGACCGTGCTGTCTCGCTTCACTAGAATCGGCTGCCCCGGTGATAGCATGTGCGCAGTGGCACTGGCGTTGCTTGCAGTGGGAGGCTGGTCGGATACATGGTCGACTTCGCCCGAGGCCTGAGCGGCAGCGACGTCGTGAGCAGCGCCCTTTGCGCTCGACAATACGGGAGACGGGGGCGGCTGATGCTCAAAGATGGCCGGGTCAGCCGACGACAAATCTGTAGAGTTGTGCTTCAAGCTGGGCAGGTCGCCGCGGCTGTTTCTAGAAGCGCTGGAACGACCGCTGCGGCCGGACCGAACTGACGCAGCATCAAGCGCCTTTTCGCTATTGGACTCGCCGTTGGGAAGCAAAGCGGAATTCCTGGGGCTGTCGGTGTTGTTTACCGACTTGCTGCTGCTGCTGCCCGGAATCTTGGATCGGAGCGAGCGGAAGGATCGAGACGATTCCTTGGTATCGGACCTGCTCATGGAGGGATAAGACTGTAGAGGGCCATCAGAGCCGGAGCCCTTGCCCGTGGAGGAACCGTTGCCTTCTTTGGAGGCCTGGTTACCCATCGCGCGGGGGGTGGTTTGGCGACGGAGTCGTTGAGGATGCTGAGGCGGCGATTGCTCGAGATGTCGAGATGTCGAGATGTCGAGAGGGTCTCCAGCTGGGATGAGCCGGTCGCAGCTACGGTTGCGGTGACGAGTCTGGTGTCTCAAGTGTCGCGTGGCAGCGTGGGGTCAGGCTGGTGCGCCTAGTCTCAGTTGCCGACCGTTTTGAGTCTGGAACCGATGCGGGTTCTGAATGCTTGAAAGGTTGTATTGAGGCGCACGGTATGTCGCTCGTGCACGGGGAGAGTTGGTGCGGGATAGGTTTGGAAGAATGGATGCTAGGGAAGCAATGGCGTATGAATGTCTGTATGAAATTTTTTTTTTGCCCCCAACTTCTCTGGGGTTGGGTGACTGAGCCTAGGGGGGGTGGAACAGTCGTCCAAGAACAGAGAAGACGGCAGATGGAGGAATGGTGAATGCCTCCGTCTTGAAGCAGTTTCCAGGCGAAGGCCTCGGCGGTTATGATGAATGGCGAGACGAGTGACCGAAAAACCCGGGCGCGGAGTGTCGGGCGTGATGACGTCGGTCAGTGGTGTTTGGCGAGGATTGAGGCGTCAATTCCCTGCCAGGGCCAACGAACGGGTCTACAGATGCAGTGGACGGCGCCGGTGGGAGGGAACACAGCTTCGAGGCCTGGCCACGATAGTATTATTAGCAACGGGTTCCAAATCGGCAATGTTGGACGCGGCGGGAGGAGAAGATGGAGATGCAGATGCAGATGCTGGTGCTGGTGCCGATGCTGGTGCCAATGCTGATGCTGATGCTGATGCTGATGCTGATGCAGAACTGGAGCCGCAGCCGGCTGCGCCTTTGCCCTCGCCCTCCAGACGGTGTCGGCGATACGGCCTTAAAATCGCCTTAAAATCGAACCAGACGCGCCAGGCCACACAGAGCAGGGAGCTCCAGAGCCAACATTCAACGGCCAGGGCGGAGGCGGCGGACACTCGGATATCGCATGCAGAGTGGTCCTTGCCGACTGCGCCAGTTCCAGTGCTTTGCATGAACTGGCAGAGCGACGACGATGGCAAGGAGAGACAGGGTGAATCAAGATGCAGAACATATGTGTATGGAGGTGCGCTGGGCGAGACAAGGCCGAGAGCGACTGGCACCGCAGGCGCATGCCAGAGCCAGGGCAGCAAGCTATGGAGGCTGCAGGCGCAAATGCAGGGCACAGATGACATCGGATTGATTCAATCTTCAATGTTACCTGCTCGAGCGTCCAAGGCGTCCGAGTCCAAGTCGCGACAAAGTCGCCCGAGGAGACGAGCGGCAGAGACAGGCTAGAAATGCAACGAGCACCGAGGGGACAGCATGACGAGATGAGGAAAAAGGGCCTTACCCGCAGATCCAGAAACGGATGAGAGTGTCTCGGACAAGTCAAAAAAAAAAAAAAAAAGGTCTGCTTGCGCTGGTGTGTCCAACGGTGATGACAATGACGGGCAGCGGTGGAGGGCGATGGCTGGCCTTTTCCTGTTCTTCTTTTCCCCGACTTGATACAATTGCGAGCGAGAGAATGTCGCCCCAGGCTCCGAGTCTGGTGTGTGTGTCTGGACCTCGAACGGGGTCGCCAAGACCAGATGGATGCGAGGATCTTACAAGCCCCCAAGAGCGTGGCGAGTTCAGTGGTGGGAGCGCTGCTTCGAGATGTCGATGCTCTCGAGTGGCCGGGCAAGTCCGTTGGCGGCGACTCGAGCCAAGCTTTCCGCTGGAGCTTTTTCAGAGTTATCTATCTTGGCGCCTCGTTACCCCAGCCCGATCAGAATTGGCGCTAGGCTTGGCTCGTTGCGTATTGGCGCGCAGTGTGCACCAGCGAGTTTCAGAGTTGCTTGCGGCTGCGGTTGCGGATGTTAGTGTGCTATTGATTGGTCTTGACTCTTGATGGAGCCAAGGTGAGCCAAGGTGAGCCGAGGTGACCAGGGAGGTGGGTGGTGGTTGCGTGCTGGCGTGCTTCTTCTGGCCGGAGCCGGAATGGAGCTACTACTAGTACTCAAGAGCGAAAGACGGCCCCTTGTATTTCAAGACAGCTACAGCCGACGGATGAGAGCAGGACACAGAAAAGCAAGAGTCAATGACGAGCACAATGCGTAGCCGTTTGGTGGGTGGGTGCGCCGACACGCCGGCGATATATACTATCTGCCAATCTCGACGCTCGAGGCTTTGCGGGAAAAGGTGTTGGCTGTTGCGACCCGGCGCCTCAACTCCCCAACGCGATAGAGTTGCTTACCTGCAGCAAAAAGGGTAGGGATATGCTCTGGAGGAAATCTCTTGGCCGGGATTGGCCTGGCCTGCGTGAAGCTCGTTGGACCGACTGCACAACTCCAACCACGCCGGTCTGCGGATTGAGGTGCTCAGCTGATCAAGGACGACCCAGAGAGGAAGCTAGTGGCGCGGATAAGATGAGAGGCCAAATTACACAAAATGGCTAGCGGAGATGAATTGGGATTTTGAACCCTTAAGAGGGGGAACCTCTTTTTGAAGAGTCTTTTTTTTTTTTTTTGGACAGATACTCCGACAAGATGTTAAATATAGGGAGGAGGGGAGACGCAGAATGAAGAGAACAAGACTTCCCCGCCAGATTGTAGACTAAAATGTAGATTCTGGGCCGACATCTCAAGCTGAACTCGTGGACCCTCCAACAGGGACCCAAATTGGACCCAAGTTGGACCCGAACGGGAAGCCGGGTATGGGTATGTCTGGCGGCGGCCTGGCATCCGGGACATTGAAGGATCGTCTCGCGAAGCACTGTAATAAAGCCCCATGTAAATACAACCTGGCGCTTTGCCTGCCATGCTTGAGCATCTGAAGCCATCATTGATCTCTGCAGACCCAGGCTGATTTGAGTACCAGACATGTATGTACCTCATAACTAACTGGGTGTTGGCTGCAGGCCAGTCTACAGAGTATTGGTTGGTTGGCTGGTCTGGTTCTTGAAATTAAGGTTTTCAGCACTGAGTGCTCCTTCCCAGTGCTTTGAACATTGAATCAACCAAAGTACTCCGTACCTATACTACTTTTAGTACTTTAGGGACCAGTTGACATCAAGTACTACTAGTAATTCTAAGCACCTTAACGGTACGGAGTATATACTAAGTACCAATAATTCTTCATCCCAGGTCCAACATCCTACGTCGGCAATGGAACCATCACCAACATCTTACCACCCCTTACCAGATCTGCTCCGTGCGTAGCAGTCCATCGACAACCCTCGAATGCTAAGCATGCAGCGCAGCCTCTCCCCAGCTTCGGCATCGTTTCAATATTCCATGTTCCCTGCACCATGACCTGCGCCTCCGCCCGCACAGCATCTCACGGCAGCTCTCGCCGCCTCCACCCGCCACACCGAACACACAATGCGTGCCGAGTACAATGTGCACCTTGTCCGCCTGCAGTCTCGCCGTCCCTGTCACCGATACTTTCCGTTGCTCCCGTGGTCCAGTCATCCAAACCTCATCCTGTTGGCAGGAAAATGGCCAACGGGACAAGCATTGATTCAAACTAGTCGCATTTAAACGCCTGTTTCTGCTCGAGGTTGAAGCCGACATCAACGCCACAAACAGACACTTGCAGACTTGAGCACACAATAGTCACATGCCATTTCCGGTTCTCGTTGAAATAAAGCGACTGGTCTATTTCTGCTTCTTTCTTACCCGTCTCCTTCCGTTTTTGGTCCGAAATGAGCCAGCCGAAATATAAAAATCCAGTTTGTTCGGCGGTTACTCAGGTATTAAGATTAGATACCTGTTGGGCTCCAATATGAACACCCAAGGTCGGTGGGGTTGTTGGGTTGACGCTTCTTTTCATCACCTGCCCCCCAATACGGAGTTATTCATATTATGATTGTAGCAACCCTGTAGATTGGTGTGCCACGCATATGTATAGACTCGAAAACCAGGGTTTGGATCCCGCGTCAACCTCTCCATCATCGCTACTTAGCCCATCATCACATCTGACTGGTTTAGGAGAATCGACACCGACCTTGCCCTCGGGGCTCAACGGGAAACAAACGGAGTGAGGACAACATTGTTATCTCTTCCTGAGCTCTTTTCCCACGTTGTGTTTTCGCACCTCCGGGTATGAGCCATCACGGCCCCCACACCGGCCCCGATGAGGGTTGTATCTGACGGTGGCTTTTTTCCAACTTCCGTTGTTGGCTGGATTGCTTCGCCGGCAAGGCCCCCCCTGCTGTCCACTCACAAGCCTGAGGATGCAGACACTTCAACTTTAAGTGCTTGTGTTACCTGCACTGAATAAGACCACCGTAGCATCGTGCACGATGCTATCGAGCCGGTCTATACGTCCAAGCGACGCCAAATACAAATCCTAGGGAGACACCTTGCTTTTCGTACGACAAACACCGAAGAACGGAATACAATGTCAGCCGAAAAAACTATCCCGAATTCATAGTCTGAATCTTTCTTTTCTGACAGCGTTCTCTGACATGTTATGATAGTGCCCGGCAGCACCATAGCATGCCGTGTTTGCCGTCGCCTCCGATAGCCTAGGTTGGGAAGCTTTTTGTTTCTAAATGTCTTGGATGCTCCTGGTCCCTTGTACTAATTGCTACAGGGCACTGATATCGCCATGTCCCACACAAACAATAACACGGTCACATCCAATGCAACGATAAATTCTGTCATTGTGATCCTGATGTGTCCGGAATTCGTTGAGAAGCCAGGTGATATCTCCAAAGCGGCTCATGTCTAAAGCTGGGATAGTCGGAATAGTTGGCAACAACATCTGTCGTGCGATCACGGACCAAGGCACTCACTGTGCGTACTCTGTCAAGAACCGTAGGAAGAAGATGTAAACAGCTATTCGGACAAGCTTGAATCGGTCGAGTCAAACGAAGGACACGGTGCACTCGGCAGTCGTAGCAAAATGACGGTGAAGGACCAGGTCGCGCAAAATGGGAGATGATGCCCAGCAAAGACCCAAGATTCGCGTCCCGTGCCGCACGACCTTATTTTCATAAACATGTTTGAGAAACACCAGAATACGGCAATCGAATCTGCGACAAAGTATTCGATATGTGCTCACACCCCCCGCAGGCTCAATGACGGACTGCGACACCGTTTTTTTCTTGGTGCCAAGCTTTTCCGGTCTAAGACACAAGATCCCCTGAAGAAATTCAGATTCCTCATTATGTAGTAAAGGACGAGTCGATACAGAATCACACACGGGAGGGTTGTTGGTTTAAGGATTGTTGAAAGAAAAATGCCGGGGTCATCAAGGGACGTGCTCACCAGAGGGATGCCGAACGCCTTTTTTTTTTCGTAACGGATTTCACCCCAACTAGACCAGGCCTTGCATTCGTTGAAACTTCTCGTGCAACTGTCTGTCCACGACACCGGGTATTTTGGCGACAAGAGCATGCTTGGTGAGGCATCGTATGTGCATGTCGCACAGTTCAAGCAAGGGTCTCTTCATGTCCCTAGACGGAGGCGGTCTGATTCTCTCAGAAGTAATCGCTGCACCCAGGTAACCTAGGCAATTTTGCGATGCCAAGAACTCTCATCAGTGGCGCAGCAATCGAAACATCTCGCGAGCCTGGAAGAAAAACACTGGCGAGTCCTGGATATCCAGAGGCAAATTCATGGCGCATACAGCGCCATCATGTTGATGGTGAAGGGTCACACGCCTTTGAGTTACTTGGCCTAGCTGGCCCTTCGTGACTATGCTTTGTAAATCTGTACTCCCTAGATCGAAGGGCCATGACGAGGCTCTCGCTGTCGCCAAGACTCTGGATTGTGGCCGAGTACCGGACACCAGATGGTGTTTCGGTGAACGCGTAGAGCACTCCGCAATTTGCGTCGCAAGTCTTTATGCATCATGATCTGACAAAGCTAGTTTGGAGCTTGAAAAGTATTGACTCTTTCTTGGCAGCGACAAGCGTCATCAGGCGGTTCCTGTCTGGGGAAGCTTGGCGCTATTAGCTCGCAACGGTCCTGGTGTTGCACGTTGTGTCATCTGGCCCCGCGATGGTGTCCTCAAAGCCGACTGGACTGGACTGGTCGGTGGGAGGAGGGCTACTTGATCAGTCAGCAGCCTCCGTCGATTTCGCACCTGCCAAGTGACCTCATGTGCACATACACTGTACGTGCACGAAGTTGTGGCCTGGGGCACCCGTACCGTACCGTCTGCCACCAGACTTGTGTCGCACGCCTGGCCTGCTGTGGTGGCAGCCACAGGATTTGTCTCAGAGCCTCATGGTGGCAACGACTTCTAAATTTGGGATTCTGCCCAAACTAGTGGAGGCTGTGCCCGAACCTTCGCAACACATGCAGCCAGCAGCCAGCAGCCAGCCTTCTTATTAGCAATCCCAATGAATTGTTTTGGCAAAAAGCGGGATTTACTGGCAAGAGACGCACCAGGCACACACTGATTCGCTCTTGGGCCGTTTGCCATGGTCTCGCAAGCACTGCTTTGCTCCGTGCGACACCGGCAATGCCATCTACATATCCGGAGGACAGAAGCGGCATGAGCAATGAACCCTCTTTGATCACGGTGAGTGACTGCTCGAGCAACACAGCATGCAGCTGATATGGCCAATTCTGAATGGCTGGATTTCTTCTTACTGCGACTGATAAACATGAAGTCGGAGTTCTTGTAATGCAGCATTCGTCCGTTGTCACAGCGACTGTGCTCCGACTACACATCTGCCAAGCACTTCGAAACACTGACACAGAGATGGAGTGCTGCTGATCGAGGCTGATCAGTGCATATGGTCCAATGTTCGTCCACCCTGCTCCTGGATGGCCACAGACGTGTTGCGCGTCGTCATCCACACAGCAAGGATTCCACCATGCGTGGCTGGGCAAACAACGTTGCGCCCTCGTGTTTTATTCTGTTTTTGTGGAAAGGGAGAAGAAACTCGTTCGGCGATCGTCCCTCTTGCTGGACTTTTCTGCTGACGCCTGGTAGTTGTAGATTCACGTCGCGGGGAGTCATGCGTAACAAACTCAAGAACCATCTCGGAGGAACATGCCGCAGCATCTCCATGATCAAATTTACCCCGATTCGGAATCATCGATAATTGGAGGAGGCTGAAGTCAACTACATACATACTGCTCTCCTCGCGAAACGCAGCAGCACGCCGAGTGAAAAGCTGCCTTACCTGGTCCGTGAGGACAGCTCTGCGGTGGGACACTGGTTCGGAATTTCCCTCGTTAACATGGGTAGGTGAGGAGTAGCGTCTCTCCGTGTTATGAGCGACTCATCATGGCGCCACTCCTCGGCCCTGCCTCAAGGCGCAGAGTGCAACAAGTTTGAACACAGCTCCAGGGCCTCCCTGGTCTTTGGCATCAGCCATGAATGGCGAAAACCTCACCGACCCGCATATCGGGCTTGGAACCATGCTGGCGTGATGCTGTGTGGTTGCTGCGCCCGAATGTGGTGGGCAGCACAGCATTAATTCGAGGCCACCCGCTGCTCCGCTCTTTTCGCTCTGTATGGACTCTGGCATACTCCGTCCTGCTGTTCTTTTTTTGTTGCTTGTCAGTCTGCGCCACTCCACGTTTCGTAGGGTCGACGGGCCCAACCTTGCGCCGCCATGTCAGCACCGGCGCCAGGCAGCTCGGATAGCCACGACTCGTTTATATAAACACCACTGGTCCGGCAACAGACTGCCCACCTTGTACTTTTCATCATCTTGCCGTATTTTGCGTCCGTTACGTCTGGTATTTCCAACCCTTCGCTAGCGTCGCTCAAGCATATTTTACACGTCGACGGCTCTCAACATTCATCATCCGCCCGCCTGCCAGGTGTGACATCACGGGCGTCGATCGAGTATTCCACAGGACCGTCAGAAATACCCGCACACACGCACGCCCAACACCACAACAACTATGGGCGTTGGTCGATTCATTTGCGTCGGCTTGCCGCTGGCTCTGACAATCGCCTCTATTGTCGCTCTTCTCATTGCCACCCTCTCCGGTGTCGCTCACAATCAATTATGGATGTTCCGCGTGGATGTTAAAGATATGAGCATCAGCCCAGCCGACCTTGTCAGCATTACAAACTCACTTGGCATCAACCCTCGCGCCGACAAGACTGGCAACATTACCGCTGCTGACCTTGGCCTGGCCAACGTATACGAAATCGATCTCTGGGGCTACTGCTATACCGACAACGACAACAAGCGCCAGTGCACAAAAGCCCAGTTTGACTGGGCCAACAGTGCTCTCAACACTACATATATCGAGAACCTAGGCAAGTCTGCGGGCGTCCAGGGTTTCAAACTTCCAGACGAGGTCAAGGGCGCTTTGAAAACTTTCCGCACTGTCGCCAAATGGACCGAGGTTGCTTTCATCGTTGCACTCCTCGCACTCGGTATCCAGTTGGCGGTTGGCATCTTCGCCATGTGTTCCCGCGTTGCGTCATGCCTGACCTGGCTTGTTTCCGGCCTCACCTCCATCCTGGTTGGCGTTGCTGCCGGTCTTTCCACTGCCACGGCTTCCATCGTTGTCGGCGCTATCAAGGGCTCCAACAAACTCTACGGCATCAAAGCCGACATTGGCACCCGATTCCTCGCCACCGTTTGGATCGCCACGGCTTTCGCCCTCGGCGCCGGCTTCTTCTGGATTTTCACCATCTGCTGCTGCAAACCCGAGCGCCGTCGCAGTGGTGGCAAGCGAAATCTGGATTCTGATGACGAGAAGCTCATTCCCAATGGTGGTGCCTATCGCCCTCTTTCCCACAACTACGAGATGACCAGCGGTCACAACAATGGCGGCTACTACAACCCCAACCAGAACCAAGGTGGATACTCATCTGGTCCCCGGCATCCTTCTGGCCACGGCCGAACTGATCTCGCCTATGAACCATACTCTCATCGGGCCTAAGTTACAATAGATATGAGAAATTTGTCTTTTCCTTTTGTTTTGAAACGAGCTGGAGCGAAGAATTATTTGTGTGGTCATATTCTGAGGTTAGGCATTGTTCCCGGCGTTTGGATTGTCTACGATGGGGGCTTTTGGCTGTAGTCTGATCAGAGGCGCCCCCGAATTAGTCCCTAGGACATATGGTATAGAATAGTAAGGGATAAGATTATGAATAAACGCTTCAGTTTAAGTTACATGTCTAAATATGCCTGGCGCCGAGTGTTTTTTCTGTTGTACTCATTTACACAATGTTTTTGTTCGTGACGAATGCTAAGCCCACACAATGGTATCGCGCACCAACCAAACCCTCAAAATTTTTGGCCCACCGCCTTCATTCGCCGTAGCATATCACCGTATTCTTCAATCCGGCAACCAACTACTTTGATGCACTCATGAGGAAATATCTTGATTTAGACTTGCATTTACTTCCTATGGCTTCCTAATTCACGCAATTGATCGCAATGGCTCAAGCGTCATCTACCGTACCTGCCTCCGCCCCCCCGCCATTGCCTAGGTTTCTTACCACTTGATACTGACCGGGATACAGTCCAATAGATCTATCAAGCTCAAGCGGGAGGTCTCTCAAGTGCCCATCACTTCCGTTGGTTTATACACCACACTATCGGGCAAAGTATACATAATAGCTGGCGAGGATGGTGATTTGACTGTGTATGATGGCCCTCCCACCGACACAGAGGAACCCATCCATCGGATATGTGTGTTTGAAGACCAGCCCATTCACGGTATCCGCGTTCACAAGGATGAAACGTCCTCCGCTGTCGCAATTCTCCTCTGGGGAGCTTCATACGTCGGTCTCCTCGACGGGACGCCCCTCGACGACGGGAACCAGCCTCTTCTTCTGGCAACCACCTCTGCACCAGACTGGATCTACGACGCAGCCATATCCCCGTGGGACTCGTCCATTGCGGCTCTGGCGACCGCTCACAATGAAGTCGTTCCAATGACGTACCACCCTGACGCCCGCGCCCTCACCACGGGCGACGTAACCTCCCCCTCGAGACCGATGCTCTACGCCTCCCATCTACGATGGATATCGCCCACGGGCGTCCTGGTGGCAGCTGGAACGGTATTCGGCAACGTCATCGTGTGGAAGTACCACGCGGAAACTGCCTCTCACACCATGCTCTTTGTGCTCCGTGGCCACGAGGGATCCATCTACGGGGTAGACATTTCGCCAGAGCTGGCGCTGCCGAATGGATCGACGGCTCGTCTCCTCGCCAGCTGCAGCGATGACAGGACAATCAGAGTGTGGGATATAAGCAACCATGAGGGACCGCATGAATCTACGCTGGACTGTGTTACGGAAACCGGCTTCAAAGCTGCCGAGCGCTACGACGAGGTGCAGGCCGCCTGTGTAGACGGACAAGTCGTCCCTGTTGCGGTGGCAATGGGCCACGCCTCGCGCATCTGGGGCGTCAAGTTCGGCGTCGACGAGGGACACGTCGTCCGGGATGGTCGGCTGCCCATGTATTCCTTTGGGGAGGACTCTACCGCCCAGCGGTGGGAATTGTCTCTCGGCCCGTCACTGTCGGGCACGATTTCCCACCGGCAGACGCATTCGCTTCACGACGGCAAACATCTCTGGGCGCGGGCGCTGGATATCCGGAATGGATGGATTCGCATTGTTACCGGCGGTGCAGATGGCAGAATCAGCTTCATTGAGGATGCGGCCGCTGTTGAAGAGGCCGGCGCCCAGCTGACTACGATAGATGTACCGCATCTGTTACAGTCGCCGTCGGATTCGGCTAGTGCTCGTGAAATGATAAGTCGGTACGACTTTATTCTCGACGACACCATGCTCGCCATCACCAATGCCGGTAGATTGTTTTTGGGTTCATTGTCTGGAACCCAAACGTGGGAAGAGGTCAGTGTCGGTCAAGATGTCGCGCCAGACCTGAAGTCGTGCTATGTCCTGCGGAAAATCGGCCACGGCGCAGCGGTAATAGGAACCACCAGTGGCAGGATTTTCTTCTTCCAGACTCGCCAAGTCAGGCCGGTGGGGAGCGTTCCGGGGCGAATCGTGGAAATCAACCACCTCGCAAGCACTGCCGACACCATCGAGCTGCTGGTTCACCTCCACGGGTCCCCGGCATCGCGGTACTTGACCCTCTCGCCCGCAGGAGACCTTCTTTCAGAGCACCAAATCGCAGGTTTAGACGCCCGGTTCGTCGCCATCTCCGCCACGAGATTGGATGATCTGCTCCTAGTCGGCTCCCGCCACGGATGGATGTCTATCCTCGTTCAAAGAGACGACACATGGCACCCGATTCTGGATCTAGCAACACGCAGCCGCGACGCAATCACATCCATCGTTCCCCTCCCGCCTAGCCGGAACCCCTCGTCAGACTCACGACACATCCTCGTCACCAGCCGCGACGGCAAATACAGAATATACCAAATCCGACGGACCGACGCCGCCAATGCTGCCCTTGCCCTTGTACACGAGACGAGCCCCCCCTTTGGGCCCATGATAGAAGGGGCGTGGTTCTCAAACACACCCACCCCGGAACTTCTTCTCTACGGATTCAGAAGTAGAGACTTTGTAATATGGAACGAATCTACGAGGGAAGAAGTCGCCTCGATCAACTGCGGCGGCGCCCACCGCACATTTCGTCTCGACTACAGCGCGGAGCAACCGGAACTATACAGATTCGCGTATACCCGGACATCCAAGCTATCCATCTACTCACAGACTCGCGTGCCGCATCGTACGGTAAAGTCCGGCACGCACGGCCGTGAGATTCGCGCGCTGAGCTCGAACAAGCGGTATATTGCATCTGGGGCAGAAGATACCTCGATCAGGATATGGGAGTACGTTGCTGCGGATGAGAAGAAAGAAAGAGGCGCAGCGATGCGGTATTTGGCATGTTTAAAGGCCCATATCACGGGGATCCAGAAACTGCACTGGTTTGAAGACGACTATCTTCTTAGTAGTGCTGGGAATGAGGAGTTTTTCGTGTGGCGCGTTCGGACCCTGGATTCTGCGTATGCGGGCCTTGCTGTTGTCTGCGAGGGGAGTTTTGCGGACAAGAGTCCGACCAGGGATTTGCGCATCATGGGTTTCGATGTTTCGAGGGCGGTGGATGGACAGAGGATGGCCATTACGCTGGCCTTTTCTAATTCAACGCTCAAGACGTATGAGTATGGCGCAGATGGTAGCTTCAAGTTGTTCGCGACTGGGCTCTATACCGGCGCATGTATCACGCAATTGAGGCATCTTGGCCAGATGGATGAACAACTTTGGGTGTTGACGGCGTCTACGGATGGGCACATGGCCTTGTGGAAGACCAGAGCAGCATCGTCTGCCTTGGGCAGCCTCACGCTGCAGGCTGCTGCTCAAGTACACCAGAGTAGCATCAAAAGCCTTGATATGGTCAGACAGAACGGCATCTTTCATATACTAACGGGAGGTGATGATAACGGCCTTGGATTCACAGAAGTTGCCGAGGTCCGGGACGATGCTGGTCATACGGAGTACCGGTTTGCTGGTCGTGGAATCGTTCGCGGCGCTCACGCGGCATCAGTCAACGGTGTTGCACTGCTGGCACAGGGTCAAGATGACGGCAGAGACGGCCTCGCCGTAAGCGTCAGCAACGACCAGCGTATCAAGATTTGGCGCATCGCGAAGAGCAATCCGCAAATGGTTACACTGGCGAGTTGCATCAGCAGCGGCGTGGCAGATCCCGGTGATGTTGCGGTTGTCGATCAAGGGAGCTCACGGCAGGTGATCCTGGGCGGGATTGGAGTCGAGGCATGGAGTGTTGTGCAGTGAACGACATCTGAGACAGGGTGAAGATTAAGTGGCAGCCATTAAAGTGATGAGTTATGCCGTGGTGATTGGCCGACTTGACGTTGTTGCCGTTGATGGCCATCCATCCTCCGTGCGTAACGGGAGGAGCAGGCCGTAAGTCTCGGCGATACACGGAGTACATGAGGGTTCTAAAGCGAATGGCGGCAAACCCGAATACAAAGCTCCCATACGGATTAGAGATAAATGTCTTGGACAGTTCGAGAGGCAACCGCCTTGTATGACGGCAACAAGAACGTAAGCGAGAGTGAAGTCACATCACATGTCCCAGACACTACACACGACCCAAGTTGTACCAGATTCAAAAAAGAGTTTGCAAGGACAATGTACCAGCCCGTGGTTGCGTGATTTCGGGGGCTCGCCATGCTCGAGTAGAAGCTCCAATGGCCAAGTTGGCTCTGTCGGTTGAAAGCAGATACTTGCGTGCCTACAAGCTACCAGATACCTACTCAAGTACTCCGTACCTAGACAGTAAGGCAGTAGGCAGGTAGTCGATGTGGACAAGGATACACGTCACAGAGTACAAGTACCACTATCAAAGAGGCTTTGTTGTGGCTATACGAGCTGGTAGCCGAAATGGCTGGCTTGGGAGCAACGGAAGCAGACTCTGCTGACGGCTTGAGTCATTGGAATTTGGATATTCGGTACGTCTTAACATGAAACATGACACCCTGAGGTTCCTGGTATCGGCAAAGCCTTCCATGCATGACTCTATGCCAGAGGGATCTGCGGATCTGCAGCGCATCAATGACAGGACTGGAGGTGGCGGAAACGGGAAGCCACGACTCTCATCCCTTAATAAAAACCCTTTTATAAAAAAATGTTGTGGGAATAAAAATAACTTGTAAATTTAAAAAGGGCATTGTATTTCTTTTAATTAAATTTCATATGATGAAAAAGTGCTTACCTAAGTAGTATTATAAAAGAGTAGGGCCGCTGCAGCAACGGCACCTTAATAGTCAAAGGGATACGGAGTACATAACGGGAAGATGGTTTGTCTGATGAAGGAGTCAGTCACGGTTCCTGCCAAGGCGCAGAAAACAATGCGGTTTCGGACAAGACGCCGTCATTGGTGGGCAAATTTCCGCGCTAGCCCAGCACAGCACAATTCACAGCACATGCACAGAGGCCAAGCCACATCTCTGGAAGGAGCGGGCCCCGGCACCATCGACCCCTGCCTGCCCTGCGCGCCCTGCTTGCCATGCTGAGTGTGCCTGGCGGCCAACCACCCGATCTCAGCGGACCAACATTCCAATCCTCCCCCGCGCGCCAATCCATTTGCAGCCCAGGCTAGCATGTGTGTACAACCTACTGTAAGTACTTCGCACGTCCGTTTGCGCGAGATTCAGTCGTCACATCATCTCCAGGTTGGCGCCCCGGCAGCACTGCCCTCTCACGACTCACGAAGCACTTGTATTTTCTGTGCTTCATTGTGCCTTGCGAAGTGCGCAACCCTGCCGTCTAGTCGTCTGCGTGGAACGCAAAGCCCCGCAATCCCCGTCCTTGTCCGAGCTTTTCACTCGACAGCCTCCATCGCGAGAGAGCACATCGTGGATCCTCGCCTGCCGGCGCTGCATGCGAAGGACGCAGCGACCCCGGTCCAAATAGTACTATCTGCACCACCAGCTGGGTTTTGCCTTGGCCGCTCGGCCTCCCGTCCGCTGCTCCAAGTTGTCCAAGTGTCTGCACATAAGTATGTACGATCGGATCCTCCCAGGCTCGCGGCTCTCACCCCGCAAGCTTGTTCAGAAAGATCGACACTCACTCCTTCCTCGCTTTGACCTCCTCGGTTGCACAGTCGTTCCCCCGACTTTGGGTACATTTTCCATTGTTTGTCTGGCAACTCTGCCTGCCCATCTTTATATCCGGTTCCTTTGAGCCCTCACTTCGAAACTCGGTTCCCTCTAGCAAAAAAGCGCGCCGCCAAAAAAAAAACTTTTTGCATATCAGACACTGCATCTTTTGACGCATTTCACATTTCATCGACAAATCATTCTTCTCTACATATCAGCAACCATGAGGTTTCAATCTCTTCTAGCAGCTACCATTATGTCCTCGCCTGTTATGATTGCCATTGCAGCCCCCGTTGGTCCTTTGGGTCCATGCCCAGACGTAAGTACCTAGGTCAATACTTTCCTCCGGTTGAACTTAGTTTCCTAATGCGTTCTCCAGTCAAAGATTGATGCTATTCTCAACGGCCGAATGAAACCTGAGGAATGTTGTTCATATGGAATATGCAAGGGCGATGTGGTCATCTCCGTCGGGGAGTAGGTACTACAAACCAAAATCAGTCAAAACCGTCGACGGCACCGAGCAGACACTCGAATTCTCTTTATCGTTTTTAGCATTCACCGGCGTTTGATACAAAAAACCTTGACTTTTTTTTCTGGAATTGGAGCAACTGGACGACTCGGTTGGACTCAGCCACCGGCTACGGAACAGGACTGACAGAGGACCCGTCTATTTTTTTGTGTTTTAGTTTCTTTCACTGTACGGAAACCTGGGGTATGCATTGGTGCAGAATATCTGCAATTTTACGAATGTTATGAATAAAGGTCACAGGCTACACTGGGCTGCTCTTCAATGAGCTCTATAAGCATCACCTACAAGAGGCAATAGTTTCAGGACTGAGATCAACTCGCAGCGAGTTGACCTGGTCATTAGGTAGAATCAAAGGGCGGTCGTTCTATGAATCGAACGGACTCGTTGAATACGAACTGTCAACACGAAACTCTGGCATATCTTGGGCCCTCTCCGTGACTCCAGCTAAGCTTTGCACATTGGTTGGTACCCATCCAAAATTCGGAACATGCCTGTTTAGCCCAGTAGTCTCTAGTCTCTCCACCTCTGGCCCAGCATCGGGGCCATTTCGCAAACGGGTTAGAGATCCCTGCACAAGACGACTCGTTCGTAATATGTACTAGTGCTATCAGGTTGTATCAGGAGGAATAGTAGCACTATATTAGCGGCTTTTTATCCAGCGATGGAGATTGTACAAGAATGAGGTCATTGGTCTTGGCGGACTCCCGTCCGTCGGTGATGCGCGTTGGCGGCACCGAATACGATCTGACAGGAACGGCACACAAACAGACAGTAGCAATGGCAAAGCGTATCCGAGGCCTGCCCCCTGGTCGAGAATGCGGAAAAGGGTATATTCTGAGTTGGAATTATTGAATGCATCGAGAGCACCGAGCAGGAAGATGGATTGTGGACTGTGCCGACACGTAATGGGACCCATGCCTTTTGCTTTGTAGCCGGTGGGAGAAGCGTTCCCCTGGATGTGGAGGCATTCATTCTCTGCCATGCTCAGCTGGATGACACGGCGGGAGAGTGGACATCACCGTGTGGGTTGAAATACGGCCTCGTTTTCCCTCAACGGTCAGCTTCGGGAGGCGCCCGGCCCACGGCTGACGGGCTTGGAGGTTTCCCAGAGGATGGGATTGTGCGGATAGGAATGCGATTATTGATCTCGGTTGGCCGGGGGTGTTATACGGATGATGGCTGGGTGCGAGTTGGCTTGGCTTGGTTCGGGCGTTGCCGAGTGTGGTGGGTGGTGTTGGCTGGGCGGCTGGGCTGGTGCCAAGGCAGAAGGGAGGGGAGGGGACTCAAGGGAACAAGGTGCCCATGGACTGACTGGCTTTGTAGGTGAGGTGAATTTGCCCGAACTCGGAATTAATAAGCAAGTGGTTGATATCTGTTTCCATCCCGTGTGCTGCCCGCTTTGCGAATTGCGACATGTACGGAGTACTGTATGTGAGTAGTAAGTGCCCTCGAAGGCGAAATAGGTACTGGTGTGATGGATCTCTCTCTAGGTTAGAATAACCAACGTACTAGTCACCCGTAGCTAAACGGCAATGGCCACGACGAGACCAAGTCCTGCCGTTTCGTTGGGTGAGCCGCTCGTATTCCCTACATGTACGTACGCCTTTTACATGATTGTGTGCCTCAGGTAAGTAGGTACTTGGCCGATACAGGCTTCTTGTAAATGTGACCAAAGCGGCCCAAACTGGACATCGAAACACGATTTCGATCCCAGCTCTGTCAAACCAGGCACTTAAGGATTCCCCTCTCGGTATAATAGTTTGCAGCCTTAAATACTCCTACTCGTAATATTGAGTAAGTAGTCCACCTTGCACATCCGCGTCATCGACGGATAGAATCTCCCCAACTCCAGCTCAGCGTCACATACTGTTCAAGCTAGCCGTTGCGATGGACAAGCTGGGCTCTTCGCCGATGAGTCTCACTGGCAACTTGACTGCTTGGCTCTTTTCACAATAGGCATGATGGGCCATCCAATCGTCAACAAGACACTGTATCAGTGTGCAGTCGGCATATATCCAGGTCAAGTAGAAGGCGTCTTGTGCTATCCTCGCAACTGTCCAGCTCTCGAGGGCTGCAAATGAATGGTTACATTTGCTTGTCTCAAGACCAGGGTTCTCTTACAGGCCTTCACAAATTTATCAAGCCTTAGGGTACTCGCGTCAGTAGGCCTAGCATCTCCTCCCTCTGGTTCTCGTGACTCACAATCAATACCAGATCTCCCTGCGAGTGCAAGAAGAGATTATTCGCTTGTTACCCGGGCAAGAAAGTGTTCCTGTATGCGATGCGCAGAGCAGGACCAGTATTTGCCCAGATTTGTAGCGTAGCTGGGAAATTGCCTGTATCAGAAGCCTTCTTTTTTCTGGACTAAAGGAACCGCGAGGAACTTGATCTGTAAAGAGCAGTCGAGCATCTGGGTTATCTTCAAATCTCGGCAGCAATGACCAAAGGCATCCGTCGCATCACCACGGTAGTCTTGCTCAACGCCAACAAGAGCAGCTACTATGTTCCAGTTCATAAGGCTTGAGTTAACGCTTTACGAAAAAAAGATATACGGCTCGATGAGCGCGGCACTTCAGCACATCCATGGACAGTACAGTCTCTCCTCTTTCATCCTGTGCAAGAATAGAAAATTCCTTACTTTGTCGTGTCGAATATTGCTAGCTGACCAGAGACAGCGGTTGCGGAGGTCGTGGAACTCGGAATCGAGGGTATACACCTTTTCCAGCAAAAATGTGCTGTATCGTCTCGGCCACTAGGGGTTGTGGCCTATATAGGTGTAAAATGACGATTATCCATGGCCACCTAAGGATGTGACTATATCGACATCCCCATTCGTGGCTGCTATATGCAACGCGGCCTATCAGATGTTATACTCGACAAAAGCATCGCTCCCAAGTTCAATGAAGATCTGTGAGTCATTCCATATCATTTATACAGAGTACCGCACCGCAGTATGGAGTGCTGCCTAGCCTGCAGAGTCCGTCCCACATGCGTTTATGTCTATGTACACCAGGCTGGCAAGACCGCATCGATGCCAAGTATAGTCTATGCACCCTACTCCTACTTTTACACCTTGACACATTAGCTGATGATACATTGTAATCTAGGAAGACTCACCACAAACTCTTTGATGTGTCAGGCACCACTTCGGTCATGGTTAAGTACTTGGGTTTTGCCATCTACTCCGGATGCATTGATCAGGAGGTCCAAGACTACGCAACAAAGCAATAGTATATCGTGCGCAGTATTCCAAAACAAAGGACCGTGCTTGCATATATTTAGCAACGGCAAGCGTATTTTGCCGGAAGATGTGTCCTGTATGATTTGCTGGCAGGCATTGAGCGTAGAAGAGGTATATAACCGCGCCTATGGGCTTGCAAGATTGGACACAACTCTTCGTGTCATCTGACTGCATCTGCACGCTGGTTCAACCTTTCTCGTCACATGTATGATGGACCCTTACGACTCTTCCGATCCCGGCTAGTTTTGGTCCAATGGACAGGCTGTTGGACCCTTCGATCGGGTGCATCTATCCCCGCAGTCCTACTATGCAACGCCTGGAGGCGCGGCGGTAGAATATCCCATTGGAGCGGCTATAACGATATAAAGAGGTCCATATCCCAAGAGCTGGGAATTTATCAATATAGATGAATGCGAATCATGCTGCCTGTTCCGAAAAAGTGCCAGAGGTTCCATTGCAAAAGACGCAGAATTTGTGCTCAAGCGGACACTACCCCATTTCCCCATGCGTTCCCTGTCGACCGGTCCTGCAGATAGGCCCAATTCGAACGACGGGATGGATGGGGTCTCGCCGGATGTTGTTCCAAACCTGTCGACCTGTCGTGGCTTGTTGCACAACATGGCTGAACTGCCGTTGTTTCCACGACAGCTTCCTCTCCGACTGCGATATGCGGCACGGTTTCCTCGAGAAGCAGGAAAAGGGGTCTCGTGACGGCCGGGTCGCGCCCGTGTCCTGCAACCGGTCAAGACGTGACGAATGATCTTTTCCCTTTGGTTTGCATCGGAGCTGTCATTGAGCTGTGATTGGCGCGGTAGCTGGAACTCTGGCGTAGTAGTTGGCTCGAGGTTCCTCCATGTCGAGAGCACGAGCACACAGCTGGCTGGTGGGTTGCACCTTCTCCACGCAGATTTGAGGGGCTCCACCGAGGCGTGGCACTTCAACCCGCTTCAACTTCGAGCGGGGAGGACCGGCGATTTGCCCGAGCTTCACTCTGGTGCAAAGGTGAGCGAGGGCTTGCCGCTAAGGCGCCTCCTCAGAAATGCTGTTCTGCATCGATGTTCGTCTTTGCATGCTCTTGTCTTGTGCCGGCAGGGTGCTTCAGGCGAGTATAAGAGCCAGGCACTTGCTTCACCCTTGAGCCACACGCACTCTGTTTCAATACCCATCCATTCCCTTCGAATAGTCCATTTTGCCGACCAAGATGCCCCCCGCAGCCACCGGCGGCCTTTCTCTGAAGCCAAATATTGGTGTTTATACGAATCCAAAGCATGACTTGTGGATTAGCGAGGCCGAGCCTACTGCTAGGAGTGTTACCGCGGGCTCGGATTTGAAACCCGGTGAAGTGACAATTGCTATTCGAAGCACCGGTATTTGCGGGTGAGTTTGCATTTCTTCCGCCTTCTTTGTATTGCTTCACAGAAAACGTGCGTCCTGACCACATGGAACTAGCTCTGATGTTCACTTTTGGCACGCTGGCTGTATCGGCCCCATGATTGTGGAAGGAGACCACATCCTGGGTCATGAATCTGCTGGCGACGTCATCGCAGTGCACCCATCCGTCACAAGCTTGAAGGTTGGAGACCGTGTGGCAGTTGAGCCCAACATCATCTGCAATGCTTGCGAGCCCTGCTTGACAGGACACTACAACGGCTGCGAGAACGTCGCCTTCTTGTCCACTCCCCCCGTGCCGGGGCTTCTACGCCGATATGTCAACCACCCGGCTGTCTGGTGCCACAAGATTGGCGACATGTCATATGAGAACGGCTCACTTCTCGAGCCCTTGAGTGTAGCTCTTGCCGGCATGCAACGAGCCAAGATGCAGCTCGGAGACGCAGTCCTGGTCTGTGGTGCCGGCCCAATCGGACTCGTCACCTTGCTGTGTTGCGCTGCCGGCGGCGCTAGCCCCCTCGTCATCACCGACATATCAGAGAGCAGACTCGCTTTTGCCAAGGAGCTCTGCCCCCGCGTAATTACTCACAAGATCGAACCCGGCTCCGCTGAGGACACGGCAAAGGCCATTGTGAAAGCATTTAACGGAGTTGAGCCTGCCCTGACCATGGAGTGCACCGGTGTCGAAAGCAGCATCAGTGCTGCCATATGGGCGACCAAGTTTGGCGGCAAGGTGTTCATCATTGGTGTTGGAAAGAACGAAATCAACATTCCATTCATGCGCGCCAGCGTGCGTGAAGTCGACATTCAGCTGCAATACCGGTACAGCAACACCTGGCCTCGAGCCATTCGCCTGGTGGAAAGCGGTGTCATTGATTTGTCGAGGTTGGTGACGCATAGGTTCCCCCTTGAAGACGCCTTGAAGGCCTTTGAGACGTCGGCAGACCCGAAGAGCGGGGCTATCAAGGTACAGATTCAGAGTTTCGACTAGAACCGCCGTTGATGAAACTATTTGCATCGATTGTAAAGTAGAGAGTGTGGTGTATGCCGAAGTGAAGGTGACTTCCCAAATGGGAGCGTATATGGGTGCAAGGGACTGGCGTACAGGAGATGTAGCATGAGAACTTGAAAAAAACACGTTTTGGTGTATGAATGAATGCGTAGCACAACAATTTGTGTTCACATTGATAGATAACAACGCTTTTGGTAGCTCAGAAGGCTGGCAGCAGAGAACCCTGGGCTAGTTAGCAGCATTACAATACCACCACCTGGCTAATCGTGTAAGTTTCTATATCAATAAGCCTAGAATCCATAACGGAAGTCTCCGTGCATTCACGTGGCAAAGAAGCAAACAACCCAGAAGATACAAGATCAACTGTCAAGGTTATGAGAAAAGACTGACAGGACCAGAAGCACAGATAAGATAACTCCCAGAACATACTACCAGTCATCAGCAGACGGTAAAACCCCGTCTTTGACACCGCCGTTGGTTTTACCAGCCCTCCGAGGGGCTGATCAATCCCCAGTGCCGGACATATTGCCAACGCACAGGTAACCATGTCCACAGAAATCCTGGTCTCGCACTTATTACATATATCTCAAGATTGTTTGTTGCAGAAGACTCTATCAAGTCCCCCTCGACAACACCCACCACTCTGCGGTCCGCTTCTGGAACGTGGCACAAGAGCCAGTCAGATGAAACCCATCGCCACCTCCTCCCACAATCGTAAAACGGCACGTTGCGTGCCGCCCACGTCCCGCTGTATATGTAGGTAGTCCGTTCACCGCTGCGATCACGCGTTCTCAAGGCCCACGGGTAGTCCCAAGACAAAACAACCTTATAGTTGTCGGAAGTCAGCCGAGTGATGTTGCTCAGCTTGACCGCCGCAAACCAGAAGTTTTCGAAGACGGGAGCATTGGGGGAAACCGCTTCCATTGGCTTGGACGTTTTGGCTCTCTACAAGCATGGGGCCGAATCTAGTGGTGCGGCGATGTTTCCTATCCCATATTGCGGCTCACAGTAATGCCGTGGCGGCATTTTGTACGGTAGTGACGACGGAGAAGGTTTTAATGCCGTTATGCGGAGACAAGATTGCCAGCGCGCTTGCTGTTGATGAGAAGATGGCGGCATACTGGGTAATTTTTCACCTTGAACCAATGATGGTCTTTTTTTTTTCAAAGCTATGATAGCATTAGTGTTTCAGAGGTATCTGTATGCTTGTTCTTTTGCTGGGGGTGATTGTATGATTACACGGTGCAGGAATGATATGGGTGATAACAGAGCCGAGGTCATCATAACGCATTCATTCGCACCAGACCAACTGCGTGCGGCTAGAGAAGAGCCTTTCGTTTTGTGCACAAGCTGTATTGTTAAAGACGTTGTGATTGCTGCGGATACGATGCACATTTCGCCCATTCATCAAGACACAACAAAGTTGCAGGCTGTGAGCTGGGTGGGACAAGATCGAGTTGGCATGGCGTGCTTCCCTTTCGTATAACAGAATATATTGAATTAAAAATAGAGAATCATTCGAATCGCGAATCCCACAGCACCAATGTACAATGAGTAGAAACGCGCGTTCTCAGGCTTTGATACCGACAAAGTCAACTATTTGCTTGCGCCACGAGGCTCAGGAGTCGGGATTCAGGAACATGTGCCTGGCCAAGACGTATCCGAAAACAGCCTAGCGCCGACCAACCACGAACCATCCAATCCAATCGGCCAAGGAAACCACCTCACGAATTCTCCCGAGCTTTTTTTCTCCCTCAGCCAGAAACAGCCGACTACGAACGCCCCAAACCGCCGTCAATTGCACCCGCAGCGCATCAATCCGCACCGGAAGGTATCTCGTCGTCTCATCCCCGACTCTGCGAGCAAACCCTCTCGTCTCTCGTCTCTCCCGACCGCGCCGCACCGCACCGCACAAACCGACACACCATGGCCATGTCGCTCGCTCGCCCCATGATCCGCTCGCCGGCTCTGCGGATGGCATCTCGCCGCTTCGAGAGCACCGCTGCCAGCAAGGCCAGCGAAGCCGCCAAGGACACCGCCTCCAAGGCCCAGCAGGGCCTATCACGCGTCACCAGCGCCGCCGGTCCCGCCATTGCCGGCGCTGCCAGAGGCGTTGGCAATGCTCTGGGCAGGATTGGCGGCCGTACCGGACGTCTGATTGCCTTTGTTGAGCGTGAGTGTTTCGCCTCTTCAGCGCATCGTTTTTTCCACAAGCACCGTTAGGGCGGTGCCATTGGGGTGTTTGTTTCGATGCTAACGTCTTTGCTAGGCCAAACCCCCTTCGTTGTCTACTACTCCAAGGTCGGCGCTGAGGTTGCCAAGCTGGTCTTCCAGGGCCAGAAGATGAGCCCTCCGTACGTAGCCATGCACCCCCTCTGCCCAAGCAAGCCATTGAGCGTGGGCCTCTAACATTGAATGCGATGCAGCTCCGTGGCCACTTTCCAAAACACCTACCAGACCCTCTGGCGATCCTTCCAGCGAGGCACCCTCTTCCAGACACCCCAGAACATCCTCCAGCAGGCCCGCAACCTCAGCAACGCCCAGCTCGCCACCGCCGGTGTCGTTGCCGCCGAGTGCGTCGGTTTCTTCACCGTCGGTGAGATGATTGGCCGCTTCAAGATTGTCGGATACCACGGCGAGACCGCCTCGCACCATTAAGCAAGGCACATCTGCGTGATGACGAACAACAAACTGGGGAGGGGATCCGACAGTCTTCCCTTTAGCGTGCAGCTAGGGGAGGATCAGGAAAGATGGGTATATGAGCGCAAAAAGAAGCCGAGATAGAGATGGACGGGGGGAATAAAATAGACGTGAGGATAATTCGTTGGTCGAGGCTGCCTTTTCTTGTCCCTGTAGATAGGACGAACAGTTTGGGCGCGTCCGTTTTCACTTGCTGCCCGGCCTTGGGGAATCCGACGGCAGCGACAAACACCAATGTGTTTGAAGTTTTTTTCTTTTGTCATATTGTACATCAGACGCATTATCATTACCACGGCGGTTTCCGTCCGGCGTGGCAATCAACAGGAACTGACATGATGATATCAAGGACATGTGTCTTGCTGTGGCTGTATTATCCGCGGGTTCACTCGAGTTCCCGTAGCAGGGGTGACATGTTGATGCGGCATCTGGCAACTACTTAGACACGGCTCCAAGAGACCATACGCTGCGGCCACCACATTGAACATTTTGAACATTTCCTAGTAGCACAGCAACCTGCAGCCGTATTGTGGAAGATACTAGGTGCCTTGAATACCTGACAGGTACCCGTTGGCAACTAAGTGGACTCAAGTGCTACTTACTTAAGTACTTAGACTTTAAGTGGCAAGACCACTTGGTCGCTGACGGGTAAACAAGAACCAGACCAGACAGTTGATATACGGCGCCACCCGAATACGGAGTACTGACTAAGGCACCTAGTACATATCACTACTTAAGTACTTAGTAGGTAAGTACTTAACGTTACCGTCCAAACCAACGGGCCAGGCCGCTCATTGGCAGACTACATACTTACTACTTTAAGTATGTATATCGGAAAAAAGTAACCTCTCATCAAAACGGACCGGCATCACTCAAGACGCAAAATCAAACATTGGCGCCGTCAAGCCTTGTACAACCCCCAAACACGATCCAAACTGTCGTGCCGTGGCTGGAATGTGTCCACCATGGTATGGTGGACGGGCGCTGAAGCCCGACAATTACATGTGCGCTATTAAAGCTTCTACGCCTACTCCCGACAACACGACGCAGCGTTTAAACTCGAACACTTGTGCCCGGCCGTCCTCCATGTGCCACGGCCTTCCAGCAACGGAAAACGGAAACTTTTCAATCAAAGTGAGCTCTGGGCAAGCTCCCATCGGCATTGGCACCTCGGCACTTGATCAGCCGCAGACGCCGCACATGACGCATCCAACGCACAAAACGAGGCCAATGGTTCATGCCTGTCTCAACACCCGTCGTACACGAGGCTCGGTGCTGACATTACTGCTCCCTCACTATGTACTTGTCTGCAGCCCGTTGCTGGCTTCTGACCCTGGTCGAGCAGCGGGCGTGCACCCCAGCTTTCCCATTGTACCACCAGACGGCATAAGGCGAACCAACTAGTATCCATGTAACTACAAACTCTGTACATTTTTGTGCAAGTAATGACTATGTACATAACTTGCGAAACTTCCTGCTCCGTCGTCCGGCGCCTTAAGCCATTCGGCTGGGCCTGGCGGCAAATGGAACCCCTCCGGTAACCCTCTTGAAGCCAGGGATAACCGATCAAACTCCCAAACATTCAACATAGACCCACCGTCGCAACGCCTGCAACCCTGCAACCCTACCATCATAATGCTACATCCAGTCTTGGGCCCGAAATCACGTCCGCTTTGCCTGTACACTGCCCCTCCCTTGTCCTTATTAACGATCCGGCTCTAGAATCTGCCGTCCAACAGACACGTGCGCCCAAAATACCGGCCAAGAAAATCAAAAACAAAAAAAAAAAAAGGTGCCAGTCGAGCGTGCGAAGTGAACGCCCACGAGATTGGTCGCGCTTTGTACACTTTTGACCATGAATCAATGGGGCAATTCTTGCATTTGCCCTTCTTTGTCTTTATTCCGTGCTCCTGCCGCTTTGTGTCTGCGTTGAGGCTCTGGCTCGGTCCTCTGGATTCCAGGGTATTCATGGTTGTTCTCCCGTGCGGCCATCTTTCCCGCAGTCCCGGGAGACATATGTTACTTCAAAGTAGCTCTTTGCGCCCCTTTGCGTCCTCTTCTTTGAGTATTACGGGACGCTTAATGCTCTTCTTCAATGTCACACGGTCAAGACTTGGACAAAGGTATCGAACTACAATGGTTACACAGTAACAAGGAAGGTATCACGAGAGCCCGGAGTCGGACTTTAGCGACGGCTGCCTCAGGCCTCTAGGGCTCTCCGACTTCTTGGATTTGTAGAGACCTCTGACCCCTCAAGGCTTTTTAAAAAACCAAGGACCTTTGATACTTCAAAGTCGATTATTAAATTGATATATAAACCATCCGTTCCAAGCCCAGTCACGCTGCCCTTGTCACATTCAACTAAAGTCTCAAATTTCATGCCACACTTAACAAGAGTGCACCTAAAACACCTGGATCGTCGGCACCAGATACATGTATTTGGCGTCTAGTCGCAGCGAGTCTAGGCAGCCTGCTCTGGTCTGCTCCCAAAAGTAACCAACAAAAGCACGTGCTAGAATTCGCTCTCCAAAGCCGTCCACAGGCTTCTACCAGCCCGCACATCGAAGAAAGTAGTATTGGTAGCTCATGTGCCTGTAATATTTGCTTGTTCGTTGATAGCTGCCTTGCGGGCTTTGCAAACCGACGCTCGTTCCGGGGGCGGGGGCCTGCTGGTGGCCATATCATGATAGAGGCGTAATTTGAACAATACAATAAGATTATGGACAAAAATAGCGGGGGAAAGGGTATCATATGCGGCACACACTGCTGTTGATCACTTGCTTGACTGGGATCTGTACCGGTACCCTTCACCCAAGGTCCGCCCATAGCTCCTTATTAATAATAACAATAAAATAAATACGTTGAAACTAAAATGGGCCTCGGACTACTCATTTCGTGACATATGAAACAAGTATCTGTAATTGTAATTGCTGTAGTGTATGCTACTTTTTGTTTCGTTGTATGAAGTTTCGACGAAAGGCTGCTTTATGCAGCTCCCTCGTTTACATCTGCTCCTATAAAGGTCCTGAACAACTCGGGGTAATCAAAACTTTGGTTGTGTGATGCCGTAATGCCAACTTGGTTAATTGGATGGTTTTCGTGCCAACCAAATATGCCTGGGTAAAATGTTGATTAGTATCGTCTCGGCTTGGCTCTTTTGTCAATGTATTAACAGAGAACTTACACATTAAAGTAGGTGCGAAGGCGCATCTCCAAACTCTCATAGATGGCTCTCTCACATATGGCACGAACTTCATCCTCCCTCATGCCCAACCCTATTATCATAGGCCACAAACTCATGCCTTCGACCCCACGAGTAAAGCACATGTTGAGCCATCTCGCACCCTCCCGCTTATGATATTCGGGCATCCAGGGTGACATGTAAAGACGAATAGTTTTCTCCTCGACATTGGTAAATCCAACATCCTCAATTGTCTGTCGAATCGCAGCTCCATCGATTCTGCCATTGCGGCCCAACGTTTCTAACCCTGTCATATAAAGGTTTGACCACTCCTCGAGAGCCGATGGCGAGTCTGGCATGCCGTTTCCCTCTTTATCTACATCATTTTCATCCCAACGAGGCACCCATTCGATCTCAACATGCTCTAGATACCCCGAGCCAGGGAGCAGGTGACTGCAACATTGTGAGTTATACCGAGCAGAGAACTAGGGGTTATGAGGAAATGGTTTTCTTTTCTTACTTGTATATGTTGCGGTAAATTTGCGGCCACAGGACAGTGTGGATGCTCCCAAAAAGCATTCGAATATGCACTAAATCGCAACGCGTCATCAAAGAGTCCCAACATGGATCCTCAATGTCAAATTGTACAGGCGTCATCCCAATGGGAACGCTTCTCCAGGTTAGCTGTGAGACTGCCATAGTATAAAGGTTGGTACGTACTATTGGGGCTGAAATTTATGAAGGTCCACAGTCATGATCTCCGACTGCTGACCGGTTCTGCTATATGATCAGGACATAGAAAATTCTAATAGAAGCACATAACTAACCTTTCCGCAACATGAATGGCCCATATACCACTTCCAGTGCCTAGATCCATGATTCGAAGAGGCCGGTTTTCGGCCAGCGGAGCGAGATAAAGTTCATCTTGTTGGACAACCAGGAACAATTTGTGAACCATATCCAATCTGCTACTCTCTTCCTAAATAATCGAGTTAGGAATTAAGGAGTAAATATATGAGTACGAGACAGCTAACATACATCATCAATCGGAAATAGATATTTCCCAGGTCGCCATGATGCATAATATCGTCCATACCGTACAAAGTAGTCTTCTTTTTTAGCTCCATCGCATCTGCAAAGGTATTGTTAGTTATAGTCACCTTACTGAAAGCATCAAGAGTTTTGAGGGGCATACGGATTGTGGGACATCTTGCCCTCGTTGCCCGAGCAGAGCTGGCCGCTGAGACAACGCGAGAGTCCGGCGGGAGGCACTGAGACGTAATTTTTGGCTGGAGTCCCAGGGTTCGACGGGGAGACTTGATTGCGGTTTAACTGTTGTCGATAACTTGGTTTCGTGGTCTGACGAGTCGTCTTACAGCACTATAACCCAAATGTTAGAGACATCATCAAGGTAAAAGGCAAGGAACTGTTCAAGCCGAGAGTAATGACAACGTATGGGAGATAAGTAGAAAAGAAGACTGCCTCTAACATGTCCATGAGAGAGACCATGACTTCTAGAGTAAAGACATGTAACAGGATTATCTGTATCGGACTGGGAAAGCGAACTGAAGGAATTCTACTGGCAGCTTGATTCTTGATGACGCGGCAAACAAGGAGGAGGAAAGAGTGACAACATAGCAGATGGTGTGAGGGAGAATGTCCTATGCATGAGAGTCCCCACAGGATAAGAGGTGCAAAGTCAAGGGTTTAGGAGGACGAGATGCTTGACTCCGACAGAGAGTCTTTGCCAACGCATCTGCATCAAAAGGCGCTCAATACTGAGTTTGAGTTCGAATTGATACAGCAAATCGGGCTCGGTGGGTTCAAGAGAGAAGCAAGTGTGAGGGAATGTAAGGATGGGAGCTGGAACAAGAAGTACAAAACCACTTACATGAATATAACAATGTTGACGACTCCAATTGGAGTGAAGCCCACTCAATAGACGAGTGTTAGACTGAACTGATAGAAATGAAGCAAGTGAGAGACTTGCGCGGCACAAATGGCCGAGTGCGAGGAGAGGCCTGTAAGTCTGTTGGGATTCCTAGACGATACAACGACGACTTCTCCGCTAATGAAACCGCCTGGTTCGCTTTCCTCTCCTCAACGAGTATGCGACACGGGTTGCCTTGTTTTGGTGTGTCCTCATGTAGCTGTAGCCAGGGATGCGAGGTGTTCCGAGAGAGACCAAAATATCGTGGAAGTGATGACCCCCAGAACAATTGTTCCAGTGCAGGACACGGGATTGGTATGAAGGAGGGCTTGTCTTGTCTGCCAAGGTCGGCAATCAATGTGCAGAGAGATTTTCCAAGCACGGAGCTAAAAGGCGGAACAGACAAACAAGAAGATAGGGACAACGAGAGAGGCGTCGAAGGCCCCAAGGGGCAGAGTAGCGGGTTATGGGATATGGGTTGTGTATGTATGTTGGTAGAATAAAGCCGTAGGCGAAAAGAGTTTGTGAAGTTGTGATGGTGAAGAGAACCAGAAAAAATAAAGTAGAAACCGGCCGGGGATGACGCCTTTTAATATCGGTTGGTGAGGTTTGAGCGGTAGTCTGTTGTGTCGTCAGGGCGCGAGAGGTGTGCGTGAGAGACGAAGAGGCGTGTGTGTTCTGTGGTTGATGCAGATGTGTGCGCTCAATGTGTGTGGTTACCTGAGGGCGAGGCCAAGTTCAAGTTGGGTTCGGCCAGAGGCCAGACATACCTGCCTAGGAAAACAGACTTTGACAACAACAGACAGGCATAGGGTCCAGATAACTTGCGGAGTCCTGGAGAGCTAGAATCCTACTCGGGCAGAGTCCCGACCAGTCGACCTCTTGTGTCGCCGGGTTTGGAGTGAAGGCAGCTCCTGTTCACTCGAGGTACTCAAGCTGTCGGTCCTGGGAAGGGCGGCGAAGCGCACCGAAGGGCACCCCCAGGCCTTCACCTGGCGGGCACTTGGCGGATTGGCAGTGGCAACCGGCGGCTGACGCCAACTGTGGAAGGCGCACTCTGGTCTTGCCCACGCACCTACCGATATCAATAACTGCGCCTGCAGTTTTGCGCTTGGCGGGCGCCGCTGCTAGTACGAAGCACGAGCTCGCTTTTGCAAGTGGGTGTGTGGGCAAACGACAGACATTGAGCATCACGCTCGACGGCGAGCGGCCGGGTGGGCAAGTGTGTACACTAGGTTCAAAAGTTATCATGGAGTTGTTCGAAGTAGGGGAGCTACAACAGCTGCAAGAATTTTGCCGTTGGTGGCCAGCGGTGCTGATATTATGCTCCAGTGCTGCACTGGGCTTGAACATGCGCGCGTGGATCTGACACGGCACCCGGGCTTGGGCTGCCCAAGTCGGCCAACGTACCTAATGTGCAAGTCTAGAGGTCGAGGGCTTGTCTAGCGGGCATCGGGCGCGTCATTGGACTTGGCTCGACATGGCATGAACAAGAACGCCTCGCTTGGTATGGTGGTCAGTGGCGGCTCGCCTTGGGCGTGTCCAGAGTGAGTGCTCCAGTACCTACCCACCTAAGGTACTTGGTAGGAAGTTCTCTGCCTGAAAAGCATGCCACGGCAAGTAGAGCGAGAATAGGGCATGGAGCATGGTGCACTTGATAGTATCTGGAGCTGGAAACACACCACATGAACTTACCTCCCTAGGTACCCAGGTACGGAGTGGCTTATGCATATACGGAGTATGGAGCTTGACATGGACCCCTACAATGAACTTGAGGCGGTGGTGCGCCGTTGGGTCAGATGTCAACTTCAAGTTGGCGCCATCCACTGACAACGGCAGACCACGCGACCATAGTCACACCTCCGAGACCCTTACTTACCTAGGCATCCATGGACGGGTGTGCGTAGACCGAAGTGGTGAACAAACGAGCCAACAGTCGCAACAACATTGAACCCAACAACAACGCGAGATGCGGCCGGTGAATTTGTAGAGGCCACGACGATTGAACAGGCAAAGATTGGCACATGTGCAGGTTGAACTCACGCTAGGGTCGAGGCAAAGTTCAACTGGAGTGCAGCACCCACGCTCAGTACGCATGGTGCCAGTTCTCGGGAAATCGAAAACTGAACAGAGCAGATATCAAAGATATCAAATCAATTCTGAGTCCCAACCGCCCATCCATTCCTAACGCAGCTGGGTGCCCAGGAGAGTGCTCTGTGCAATGCCCAACTCTCCTGAACTCGACACCGGGACAGGCGACAAGCGATAGACGACAGACGACAGACGACAGACGACAGACATGGGAGACCAAGCAACCAACAAGAAGTAGCTTTATTAGACCAGGCATTGGAATTCGGCCAAGTTTCTCAAGCACGTCAAGTGCGAGAGATTAGACAGCATTGGCCAGCAATTGACCAACTTGGTGTATAGACGACTGTCTGCGTACGATGCCTAGTTGTAAACTTGTAACATGCGACGACGCCATGTAGCTCTCGACGGCAAATCTCCCCGTATGTATGTACGTGTCCGAAGCTCCGTGTCAATGTCAATGTCGCAGCGTGATCCCTTGACAGTTGGTTTGCCAGCCACCCGGTGCCTCGACGCGGTTTCTCACCCTTGGAATTGGGTTCTTCTGGGATCTTGAGGCTGGACCGAACCATCCCTGGTGGATAATATCCGGTGCCCATTTGGCCCCCAAGGTCCAAGTGCCCTGTCGCAAAATACATTAGTACTTAACGTATTACTACTAATACCTCGGTGCTCCGCTTCGTTGTCATGGGCGGCCTTGACTCTTGAGCAACCCCTGCAAGATTGGAGAAGAAAAGCAAACCATCCTCGCTTGCCCGCGTTCCCGCCCGCCCGCCTGCTCAGGAGACCCTGGTCTTATCCCCTGCTCATTATCGCCTTGTCGCCTGCCGACCTGTCGCTGTGTGCAAGGCACCGGACGCCTCATCACACAGCTAGCTTGTTGCCCCTCCCCCCTGCTCCCAGATGTGCTCTTAAAAAATTGCCGCCTCCGTCACGCCCGCGTTTGGGCTCGCGTCAAGGCAAGGAAAAACTTACTGGAGGCCACCGAGTGGTAGGGCATGAATTGCAACTTGCTTCAAATTCTCTTAGCCGCTATTTGTCGCCGAAGTTCCCAAACCAATGCAACCCACTCGACGTTGGATGTTTGTTGAGCGGACACTTTTATTAGCTAGCCCTAGAGTGGAGGACGAGCTCGAATTCGTAACACATGTTTGTGTTGTCTGCCAGGTATGTACTTGGCTGGTCTCCTAGCTTCCCTATGAGGTCAATACTGTGCATAAGAAGCATGTCGAGAGTAGAACATGACGTGTGCCTGCCCACTGTCCATCTGTGAATTCTGGTCGAGCGGCGTGTCTATTGCAGAGTGCCGCCAATTGGAGGCTTGCAGCAGAAGAGATTACTATCAACGATATTATTGATGAGGTGGGGGATCCAAGCTTAGTTCGCACAGACCCTGGAGCCATCAAATGCAAGAAAGCATGGGATGTCGTGTAATGGCTAGGCAGGATGGTAAAAACACTTGACCAGGGCGGGGGACGGAAACCTGAGAGCTAATGGAAGTTGCCGTCTAGGGGGCCCTACAGTCTGGAGGCTGCGAGAGCATCGCCGCTTTGGTAAAGCTTCTCCGTAACCCTAGCGTTAAATTTCGGAATGCAACTTGACTTACTCACAGCAAGGTGCTTAAGTGTCAGAAGCATCATACTCGATAAACGAGTCTGCAAAGTCTAGTGGGCCGCTCCCGTGACCGAGGTGTTGTTGTGACTGTGATGCCGCGACTGTCGCCGCGACTGCCAGGAACATTGAATCATGATGCAATCAATGCCTAGCGGCTGCCTTTGCCCTACATATGCAGCCAGCGTGCAGGCAACATGCGCCCCGTCTCACGCCCCGCACCCCCGTTCTTCACCCTCTCTAACCTCATGTCTCCTGCATCCGTATCGATCTTTTATTCCAGAATGCGCCTAGCAATATCACCCTGGGCTCTGCACGCCTGTGAAAACTCATGTATGTATGTACCCCCCGCTGTTGTGCCACCCCAAAACCCTCTGGAGGTTTTCGAATGGTGTACTCTGTACCGCAATCTCATCTGCTGCGCCATGAACCCGACTTGCTGACTTGCTTGGCTAGGGCTCTGGGCCATAATCTCGGGCTCTGAAGTCCCGCCACGTCTGACACGGGTCACAAAAAAAAGATTTCTGTATGGTTGTCATGTCACAATGCTATTCCGTCGTATACCCAACTTCGATATTGT